TACTACCAATTCTGGTATACGAATGATCCAGCCGATGGCTGGCTTGATGAGGGGGAAAATCATTCTATTATAATAGTACACTCTTCTAATAATCAAAATTCCATACATACATAAGTCCGAATCATACTAATAATAATTCTGCCTATCCTAGTCATAATCCATTACACACGGTCTTCTTCTTTCCGATCGTTAGTTAGTCTACAGTTAGTAGCATCCCTCCCCCGGTGGCCGATTAAGACCATCGAGATTATTGGGGCTTTTCTGGGTCGCGCAATCTTGCCTTCTCGCCCTCTTACCCTTCCTCTTCTTCCTTTTCGCATCCCGTTTTGGAGGGGCTTGATTTTCTTGGGACATTCCTTTCAGTCCATCAGTCAGACTTTCTGCTTTCGCATGCAAAATCCGGGTTCCCCTCCCCGTTGACAGTTGTCGCTCAGCTCACGCCTCTTTTCCTGCCTCCGTTTCCGGATCGAGCCCTGGCGGGGGATCCACGGCCGTTAGAGACTTTGGAAGACCAACAGAGAAAAATAGAAAATTAAAAAAAGAGAAAAAAAAAGAAAAATTAAGATAAACCGTGAAAGCTAAAAAAAAATTACAGAAAAAGATACGCACGGCTCCATAACTCACCCATTCGGGCTGCCTTTCCGCCCAAAGCTGACCGTCTTCCATCTTGCTTCTTACTCCAACCATCCGCCGTCTGCCATCCCATCCCATCCTCTCTCTCTCTCTCTCTTTCGCTACCTTCGCTCTCTCTCTTCCCTACTGACTTGCTACTCCTCCTCCTCTTCCCCTTTCACCTTCCCACCACACCCCCCTCCTCCTCCTCCTCCCTCCCTCCTCCCTCGCCTCTCTCTCTCTCTTACTTACTTTCCACTCCCTTCCTACGGTTGAACCACACCTCCTTTCGTTTGTCTTTATTTGATCTCCCTTTCTATTGTCAAGTCTTCCTTTTGTGATTCCCCTTACTTTCGTTATCGACGTCCTTGGCGCCTTTCGCGTGTGTCCTTCAATAGTTCGATCTCGACATCAACCCTGGCTTCAGTCGTCGTCGGATTGCGTCCCTTCGTTCCGTGGTTAGGCAGCGTCAATCGCGCCTCTAGTTGTGGTTCAGGAGATACCTAATTCCAGTCTAACGGGTGCATTGCTTTTTCCACAACCACCGCGTACTGGCTGATCGGATCACTTCTTTCCCATTTTGATCGACTATTATGGCTCCTCCGCCGCGCTTGCGCATTCTGTCAGGTTAGTGCTCAGCCGCTGCCCAGAAAGACACCACCTATCGTCATTTCCCGACAACCCTTTATCCTGGATGATTTGCTGGTCCACTCGGTCGCTGCCATCCAAGAGACTCCTAGACTCCGTTGAGACTCAGGCATTATCATGGGTCGTCTGCTAACGCGGGTCTGTTTAGTGGGCAGCAATGCCATCTCGGCGTTCCTTTCCTGGAGGCTCCAGGCGACAACCTCCTGCGACGTGACACTGGTCTGGAAATCGGGCTACGAGGCAGTCTCTCAATACGGCGTGTCTTTCAAGTATGGCTGGTCGCTTATTCTTATAACACGGCGAGGTTCTGACAGGGCGTGATTTAGGTCAAAAGCGTTTGGAAACGAACGGTTTAAGCCACGTCATGGTGAGTTCTGCCCCTTGGTCACACGTCTGTTCGCTTGTGTGCTGATTAGAGTTCTGCGATAGTCGTTCGGACGCCCGAAGAAGCAGCATCACGAGAGAACGCATACGACTATGTAATCCTCTGCGTCAAGGCTCTGCCCGACGTATACGACCTGGCTGCGGTAATAGAGTCCGTTGTGACCCCTCAGCATACCTGCATTTTGGTCAACACAACCAATACCCTCGGTGTCGAATCGCATCTGGAACAACGGTTCCCGACAAACGTCGTCCTTTCGCTTGTCTCAGGCGTCGAAATCACCCAGATCGGAGCCAGCGAGTTTGAGCACCTGAACTCATCGGAAATATGGATCGGTGCTACGAATCAGAACTCGAACGTTCCCTCCTCCATCCAAACCGATATGGCCGCGGCGTTAGCGATGACTCTGAGCTCAGGCCAGGTGGATTGCAAAGTATCGAAGAATATCAGACAGGAACAATTTGAACGTATTATAGGGTGAATTATCTCCCCGCATGATTTACGAGGACGTCGATCTTTTGCTAACCACTGCATATTCTAGTCCTATCGCCTTCTACCCCGCCAGCGTTATGTTTGATTCTGGAAATGTACAGCAATTATTAGAAAAAGTTGGCGTGCGTCAGCTGATATCGGACGTGATCGACGAACTCATCGATTTGGCGAAAGCACACGGTTGCTCTTTTCCCAGCGACTTCAACCAGAAGACTATGGAGAAGATGACGACCACCCAGACGCCAAACACTATGTACCAGGATTTCCAGGCTCGGCGTCCCATGGAGATCGAGACGTATCTTGGTTCTCCCATCAAACTGGCAACGGAGTCCAATGTCAAACTCCCACGCATCGAGACCCTCTATGCAATGCTGCACCATATCAATGCCACTAATCTGAGCAAACCTCGTGATTCTCCCCCTCCGGCCCTGGCTCAGCCTCCGCCCCGGGTGTCTTCGGTTCCTCCTCCCAGAAATGGTCCTATGCGCCCGCCCCCCGGAAGGTCAAGTTCCGCCATGATGATGCCCCCACCGAGACGTGGACCTCCGATGCCTGGAATGTCGCGACCACCAAGCGCTCAGCCCCCGGCTGGCGGACCTAGGATGCCCCGTGAACCGTCATTGGAAGGCCTTGAGGAGTTCAGCCATCTGGTCGTCTATGATGATGCGGGCGATCAGGGTATGCCTGCAAATGGTGCCAATGGCTATCCGGACGTTCCGCCAGGCGCCGGACCATCTGGACTGGCTTTGAGAGAACGCGAGCTGGCCATTCGCCAGCGGGAGTTGCAGCTTCGAGAGCAAGAGATGCACATGCGTCGTGGTCCCCGCAGACCTCCGCCTTCCAAGGCAGCTGCTTTCGATGAGGAAGACGAAGATGATTACTTCGATCCCATGGATACTAGCTTGGTCCCTCAGATCGACCCCGACAACGTTGATATGCTGAGTATCACATCAAAGAGGACAAAGAAAATCCCCAGTGCTAGTCAGATTCGCAAGAACCCCGAGCTCCTTTCGAGCACTGGCGGGGGTGGTGGTGGCGGCGGCGGCGGTAGAACTGGGACGTTCAGCCGCTACTTTGGAGGAAACAGGAAGCGCGCCAGTGACCGTATCATGCAGGAAATCCCTGGCCTTCATGACTCTCTCCTAGACAACCCCATGATGGCTTACTCGTCAAACCGGTACGGGTCTGTTGACCGAAACCAAATGGCTGCGGGTTCCCGGACCAACTCGATGACTACCAGCCGAATGGGTGACTACCCTCCTCATCCGTACCCGCAAAGCAGGAGGAATAGCCATTCTCCTGCAGCTCCTTTCGGTGGTCCTCCTGGTCCGCGAATGGGCCGCCCAGCGACTGCCCAAGACCAGAACTTTGGCCCACCTCATGGGCCCCCGAACGGCGGCCACCCGTCGCCTCCGGGACACATGCGAGCGCCAGTCCCTCGCCATCCTCCTGGGCATGGCAATGCGGTAGGTCCGCAGCAGGTTGAACAACAAATTGGGGTGAGCAAACCGTATCCCGCCAAGGGCACTCCCAAGCATAGAAGTCTGACAGGAAGTGCGAGCGCCAGCGCGGAGAGTGGTGACAGCGGGGCTAGTGCCAACCTCGATTCCGAGACCTCTGCCCATAGCAGCCAGATTAGCCTCGGCGCGCAGCCAGCTGCAGCGCCCGTTCACTGAGTCGCGAAGCCCGTCCTTCCTTCGTCTCTCCTTCGAAACCGCTGAGCACTTGCCTTGGCCCTGACTGCTATGGACACGACTGGTTTCGTTAACGTCTCCATCTTTTCCCCTTTCCAGTCGGGAGGGTGATTTCCATGCCTTTTGGGACACCCTTCCCCGTATTGCTTTTTGCTTCTTATAAAGGATATACTTTTAATGAGATGCTTTGGCAAGGAGGGTGGGCACAGACTCCATGTCAATTGTCTGTTGTTTGCGGCTTTCTTACATATACACCAAGGGACATAGGGGCTTTCACTTTCTCACTTTCTCGTTTGATGATTTCCACTACGGAGTGGTCGGGCGGGCGCGTGCGTGCGTGCATGCATGATTGTTGCATGTGGTGATTTGCCTTGACTTTGATTATCTCTTTTTTTTTCCTCTCAAGTTGCACGGCATTCTCGAACATTAATGAGCATGAGCATGAAGCTCCACCAGATAAATACGTTTTCTTGACTTTCTACAGCTATACCACCGACGTTCATTGCCAGACGCACACCATACATGCCTTGTTTCTGCAAGACCCAGTGTTGTACACTACCCAGCTCGGCGCATCGTCCTGTTGTCTATTCCCTACCATCTCCGCTGCTTTGTTTGACACGCATGCCCTCCTTTGACTTGATTTCCTTGGCCGTCTCCTTCCATAGCTGTTCTGTGCTGTTCTGTATGGGCTCTGGCGCGAACATCACACCACCCTGTCATCTTTCTCATTCATGGTCCGGTTTCTGGCGCATAAAAAGAGCAAGGGGTTGATTTATTCGGTTGATTGATTGATTTGATTTGGCTGGGTTCATGTTCCTACCGGGTGTTAGTGAGAGGAACTGCGTCGGGATTGTCGGCGCGGCAACTGCTCCATTGATTAGAACATGTTGACAATAAACGAGACTTAATCGAATTTACAACAGTAACACTACCACTCGTGTATGATTCAAGAGTGATGTCTAAAGGTAGACAGACCATGGCAGCATTTGTTGCCGGAGGCACCTACACGTGACCTGCAGTACCGCGGGGGTAAACAAATCCCCTCGATCTGCAGCTCACATCACTTTGTCCAACACACCACCATCTACACAACTACAAACACTTCTCCTCTTTACAGACTACGCCCCAACCAACTCAACCACCAAGGAGGACTAATTAATAAGGAACCAACAATGCCCTCCCACCAATACACCCACTCCCAATCCCTCCCCCGACACTCCATCCTCCCCGCCTCCACGACCGCTGGCCCCTCCTCCATGGGCAGCTCCTCCATGTCGATGGCCAAGACGCGCCAGTACAGCAACCTGCATAATCAGCTGGAGCAGCTGAACGCTAATCTTCGGGACACGGAGAATCTGCTTAGGATGACGGCCGTGCAGGCGGAGGATATGCGCTTCTTGGGCGGGTACGTTGGCGCGTTGTTTATGGGGTCTGCGAAGGTGTTGGGGGAGGAAGGGGTAAAGGGGGATAGTAGTGGGGAGGAGAAGAGGGAGGGTTGAGTTGGGATTTTCCTTGAAGGTTTATTGGAGAAACTTGGGGGTATCACCTTTCATGATGGATATGTTATGGATTGGTACAAGGATATGGGTATTGTGAGTGTTTATTCTCTATTGACTCTCGGTCTATTTGCTGATTGCAAAGATCTTCTATAAGCAGTCAGTCATCTCAGCTGTCGACTACGAATCCTCCTCCTAGAATGATTGCTGGCTCGTCGATGTTGTGGTGTTCGTAGCTGGCGTACAGCGTCAGCTAAGCTACGTACAAATCTCCAGGTTATATACTCACCTCAATGTGCCCACACCACCCGCTTCCAAAATCAGCGCCGTCTCCGTCAACGGCTTCCCCGTCCACCGCATCGCAAACGCACGCAGGATATGTCCATGTGCCACGACGAGAACATCGCCCTTGGAAGAAGAGTCGCCGTCGAAACAGGGCTTGTGGAACTTCTCTCTGATCTCTGCAATCACGGCGTCTAGACGCTTGATCACGTCTTCGGGGGATCTAGTGCACCATCATCAGTTAGCTTAGCTATCCAATACAAAACATCACACACCACCATCAACAACAACACCATCATCCATGACACCATGCATAAACGCAAAGAAATAGATGGGATAACATACTCTCCCCCGGGACACCCATCTCTCCAAATCTCCCACTCCCCCTCTCCCTTCTCCCTCCTCATCTCCCGTATCTGCTTACTCGTCAACCCCTCATACTCCCCATAATCCCACTCCCTGACAGCCTCCGTAACCTCCACCTTCGCCTCCGTGCGTATCGGCTCCTCATCCTCCGACTTCCGCGCCTCGTTCCACGGTAATCTCTCCTTGCATCCGATCTCGAGGAGTTCGAGGGTACGTTGGGCCCGTGCGCGCGGCGACACGTACCTACACCACCACCACACATCTATCATTAGCCTACACCCCCCACCAGTTATCGTATATAAAGAGGGGTGGAATGGGGGTTATGACATAACATACACATGAACCAACTTCCTCGGCACAATCAACCGATCATTCCCGACCAGAGCCTTTCCCGTGGCTTTTATACGCTTCTCGCCGTTCTCGGTCAGCGGCAGGTCCGTCGAGCCGGTGTGTCGGCCGTTCAGGGACCAGGAGGTTTCGCCGTGGCGGATTATGAAGCAGCGGGGGGTCATTTTTCTTTCTTTCTTTTGGTGTTTTCTTGGAGTATGTTGGGGGATGGGTCGTGGGGAGGGGAGATTGGGTGTGTAGTAGGGAATGAGAGGATGGCTTATGGGGACTTAATGATGTGGTGGTGGTGAGTAGTAGTAGCGGGGAGGGCTCGCTGGTTGCGTCATAGGTTTTGTTTAAGTGGATAGGTGATTTGGTCGGTGAGTGAGATGGGATTGGGTCTTATCGATAGGGACGGAGGGTTACAAGTATGCATGGGATTGGAGAGCTGTCAATGTTGCGATGGAGAAAGGTTTTGCTATTTTTGTTTGCTTCTAATATGGAGAGGGTTTTTGCTGGTATGTGACACCCTTGAGATCCTAAAGTGCTGCTGGCTTACGGCCGAGGAGTTGGGCAAGCTGATCTGAAGCAACAGTTCCTAATCAAAATAATCGCAACAATTGATAATACACTGTCATGCTAAGAGGCACTGGCCCAAGACACATCCCAGGCATCTAGTTATTATCCTTATCATTTAGTACGCTTTTTATCCTCCAGATGTCCCCTTCCCTACCAGTGCCTCCCAGAAAGCGACATGTTAAATAGCAACCGAACCATCACGCCAAAGGAAACACGGAAACCGAAGACGAAAAACCTGCGATAAAATTCAACTCAATTTCTCCTGCTACATACTGTTCCGGCGAGCACAGGCCCAATCATCTAGGCCATGTAAGTGCTCGAGTCGACGCCGCCCTCGGGGTATTCACTGGTATTCATTAGCTTCGCCCGCATGGTTATAAACATCAGTCTGTACTTACGGAAGGGCAACCTCGAAGCGCTTCTCGATGTCCTTGAGCACCTTCTCGTCATCCTCGGTGCTGACAAAGGAAATCGACAGACCCTTGGTACCGAAACGACCCGCACGACCGACACGGTGCAGGTAGGAGTCGGCATCAGCCGGCAAGTCGTAGTTGATGGCAAGGTTGATGCGCTCAATATCGATACCACGTCCGAACACGTCGGTCGCAACACAGATACGCTTGTTGAACTCCTTGAACTCCTTGTAGCGTTTGATACTACTAACCGTTAGTCATAGTAAACGACATGAACAACAAGTACTCTTACCGCTCCTCCTGGCTCACACCAGAGTGCACCGCAATACTGGGGAAGTTGCACTCGCGCAACAGCTTGTCGAGCTCATTCGCACGCAGGGTGCTCTTGACGAAGATAATAACCTGGTTGAACTCCAGGCTATCCAGGAGCTCGTTCAGCTTGCGGTTCTTCTCCGCTTCGCTGAGCTTAATGTAATATTGCTGCAGACCGTGCAGCGTGAGCTTCGTGTCGTCATCGACGTAGACCTCGAGAGGGTTCCTCATGAACTTCTTGCACACGGGGCGGATCTCCTGAGAAAGAGTGGCACTGAACATCATAACCTGCTTGTCGGCAGGGGTGGCACGGAAGATCTCCTGGACATCACGACGCATGTCTATAACGAATCGTCAGTACGGCGTAAGATAACCTAACACAAAGAAACTCACCGATCTGGTCCAGCATCTTATCACACTCATCGAGAACGAAAGCCTTGACGTTGCGCAGAGAAAGCTTCTTGTCGCGGACCAAGGCGTTCAGACGACCAGGAGTACCAACAACAATGTTGGGGTAGGACTCCTTGTTAGACAGCAATTCAACGTCCTTCTGGATAGGGGTACCTCCGTAGAAGACAGCAGTCTTGACATCAGGAAGGTACTTGCTGAAACGAGCGTACTCGTTCTTGATCTGGTATGCCAACTCGCGGGTGTGGCACATAACAAGGATAGAGCACTCGCCAGGAACCGGCTCCAGCTGGTGCAGAGTGGTCAAAACGAAGACCGCGGTCTTTCCGAGACCGGACTTGGCCTGGCAGAGAACATCGACGTTCAGAATGGCGGTAGGAATGCAGACTTGCTGGACTGTAGTGAGGCGGAACCGTATGTTAGACTTGTACTCGACCCATAAGTTTTGAGAAAGAGAAAAAGCAATTCGCGTCGCAGCGTCCGTCCATCCCCGAGGTTTTGAGTCTGAAGGGATGCATTATAGTCCCACATTTTCTTCCACCAAACAACGAAAGTCAAATGAACTTGCACACAGTCGAAAATTGTGTCAGCTGCAGTAAGACATCTTGTTCAGAGCTCTTTCTGCAGGCGGCAGGAGGACGGCTGCAATTCAGAGAACGGTGGAAAAGCGTCCGACCCGTGTTCTTCGGAAGCAAACCACGATTCATCCAGAATCTCTGCAGGCGAACAAACCAATCTGTGGTATTCCCTGAGCATGGTGTTGCCGTAATTCACCAGAGTAAAGTGAAGCAAACAAGCAAAGGCTGTAGATGCACTACTGCCGCAGGGCGACTCGTCTTATGTATGACGCGAAACAGACATCCTCATGCCGCCCGCAAGCTGAGGCGAGATGGGCGCCCCAAAACGACTATGGATTTTCCCCGCGGAGATGGACGGACGTTGGAACATGGAGCAATGGAGGGAGCTTTGGGAAAGAATACGTGATAGACTAACCCTCCGATGGATGTTCGAAACCGCAATCGGTGATGGCACGTAGGAGTTCCTCTTTGAGCAAAAAGTCGCGGAAACCGGTCGAATGAATACCGACGTAACTACCCTTCTTGTCCGGACGGCCGCCAGAAACCGTCAAGTCGCCCTTCTTAGCCTCTCCGTTAGAGGCGGGGGCAGCGGTGGTGGCCGCCGCGTCAGTGGTCTGAAGCTCCTCGTCGGAGTAGTCGATGAGATCCTCTTCGTGAGACATGGTGATGGATGGTGTTGATAAGGGAAGTATTCGAGAAAACTCTGTTGTTGTCGCGTCTTATCCCAAGGCAGTCGAGCCGGGGTAGGTGTCGTCAAGATAGAAACCGGGGGTGAAAAGCTATGCAAGCCGAATATCTAGTTCGAAGACGATGCGAAATCCTCCTCGTGACTGTTGTGAGATGAATTGAGGATGGGAAAGGTCGAAGCGCGAAGGAAGACGATGGAGATGAAGAGAAGGTTGTCGACGCGCGAAGGGATGGAAGCGGCTGAGCCTCCGAGATCCAAGTCACGTGAAACGAGTCCATTAGTCACCGGCGGCCAACTTCCTTGCCGCATCGGGTTAGTGCCGGACGGCTGCTCGTGAAGCTTAGACTCCCCCGCTGCCTCCATGTGAATCAATTTCTTTCTTAATACTTCAGGCTGATTACATGTCTACTCATCATGGCTAAAGCCAAAGCAAAGGGCAAGAAGGATTCTGCTGGTGGCGCGCACAGCCACATTCGCGCGAGAATCGACTATCTCTACAATGCTGCCACCTTTCTACAATCTATCGGGAAACCCTCTCCGCAGCAGCCATCCGCCAGTCAACAAAATGATCAAATCGACATAGCAGAGGATGCCACCAAAATGCAAGGAACAGAGCGCATAGTACCGCAAATTGTGAAATCCGATATGGCATTGGTGGAGGAGCCGACCAAGCCAAAAAATACATCGATGAGGGAGCGACTGCCTCAACTCTCTCGAGTCTATATGTCGCAAATGCGCGGTGTCTCTCTCAAGTCGCAGCTCCGACTACCCATCGACGTCAAGAGGTCTTTCTGCAAGCGCTGCGATACTTTCCTCATTCCTGGAGTAACCTGCACGCAGGATATCAGAAACGCCAGCCGCGGCCGCAAAAAGCCATGGGCGGATGTTCTAGTTGTCTGTTGTTCTACGTGTGGGACGGAAAAGCGCTTTCCTCAAACGGACAAGCGGAGCAAGAAGTTGTCTGAGCGTCGGAAAGAACTGCCCAAGGAGGAGCAAAAAGATGAAGTAATGGCGGGTGCTTGATTACGTATTACGAATCTCCGATATCCCACCCTACATCTGCCCTGCATCGTCAGAGTCGCCTACCTGAAGTTGCGGCGGATGCGAAGTAGCCCACCCGGATCGTTCGGTCATGGCTGTTGGCCTATCTGCAGTCTTCGGGATTGAAAAAGATATCCACCGGTATGATCGGGGCGAGGGTGAAGAGGCTTCCACACAGAATATCAACTTCCGTGTACTCTGGTGCATGTATGGCACCGCAACTCGGGAGAAGATTGAGCACTGGGTGCGTCACACGCAGCAGATTCCATAGTATCTGGCACAGGAGATGAGTTGTCCAGCGCAGATTGACAAGCCTTGTAGGCGCAGAAATGCATTGAGAAAGCCAACGAAAGAAGGACAATATATTTACATATAACACTTGCCGCTGAAGCTTCCACATTCGGGTATCCTCTTGGGCATATCAGGCTGTGACTGGTTCAAGGGGTACATGCTTGAGGCTGCCGATGATTAGGTTGTCAACGGGTATTGACAGGGCCATGGTACAGGTTGCTTTCGGCAGCTGACATTCAATAACAGATTTCGAAACGAACACAAACGCAGGTGATATCGTTGCAAATGGATTCCGCTCAGTCAAAACAAAACAGAAAGGATAGATGCTCGTCGGGGAATCGAAACATGATAGAAGAACAGCGGCGTCATCAACTTCGTAGGGTGAACACGTAAATCATGAGATGAGAGGGAGTCGCACTCCAAGTAGACGATAAAATGCAGAGGTACACCAACGCTATCAACACCTTACTACCCTGGCAATTTTCAGGGTGGTTTTGGAAGCCAGAAATAGCCGCGAGGCCGATATTTCGATCTTTAAACAGCAGTCCTCTCCAAATACACAGACGAAGGTAAAAGAGCAAAAAGCAACCCCTTGCCTCTGCGATGAGAATCAGAATCAGCATGAAGAACGCTGGGCAGCACAGTTATAATAACATAAGGTCCGCGAGGACACAACTGGTTTATGAACACATTTTTCGTTCGTCGGTCGAGCACATTGTCGCTCGTCCGTCATTTTGCAGAAGGTTTTTATTTTTGCAATGACCGTCATCGACCTCCGAGGTCTCTGTGAAGGGCATACGAGTAACGTGAGGCGTATGAGCAATCGTGGGGTCGTCAACCGATAGAGGAAAGTCGAATGCGGGGAAGCCTCCGGGGCAGAAAGACCATGTAATGGTGTTAGGGTAATCCGAGTAGAGAAGAAAAATTTGAGGGTTGAAAGTTCAGGAGTATAAGGTGTGTTGGTTGGGAGTGTTGGGAGTATAGACGGAACATATCGCAAGGGTTGGCATCTCAGTGTCTCCGGCGGGCGGCTTGATCCAGGCGTTGATCGAGACCTTCTATACGGCCACGGTACGCTTTCACGATTTCTCTAATATGCCCGATTTTCGCAAGCTCATTCTCCAAGTCGTCAATTGAGGCTAGAATGGAACGGGTACGGGCAATCTCAGCATCAGCGTTGCGAATGACGTTGCCGGCGCGATCGTAAGTGCTTTGGATAGATATCTGCATTTGCTCTTCCAGCTACTGTGTGTTAGTGTCTGAGTATCAGGCGATCATCAGGAAAGATTATCAAGGGGAACAAGGCTAGTCAGGGCCACGGTAGCAGACAATATCAAAGGGAAGACCACGTAACAGCAGAGTGGACCCCGACAGTATATAGAGAAAGATAAAGAAGGCGCGGCACCTACATCATCAAGGCGATTGCGAATCTGTTGTTGTAAACCATCCAACTGCTGCGAAAGCGCCCGTAGGCTCATAGGATCCAGGATTAATCGACCGTGGCTGCTGGCGGCGCTGGCGGCGCGCGAACTGGAGTTGCTGGTGCGTCCGGTCCCTCGGCCCCTGGAAACACCATTGGCACCGTGGCCGCCCTGCAGCGCTATCTGTTGTTGTTGCCTCAGAATCTGGATCTCGGAGGAGGTGAGGCCAAGCGAAGTGTCGGGAATCGAGGCTGATACGGACATTTGGTCCCGGCAGAGACATGCTCCTACCGCGACAACAGTCTAGGAAGCGCCGGTCGATCTCGTAGTGGGGAGATTGAACGAACCGAAGTTCATGGTGAGGACCGATATGCGCAGGTGAGAGATCTCGTAAACGAGCGTCTGAGAGGGGAAGTATAAGAAAGCCGGGAGAAAAGGAGGGAAGAGAGAAATGTCGTAGGTAAAAACAGGCAAGGATAGACACCACCCGTGGGATGATGGAGGCGGGGGGAAGGGGAAGAGGAAACAGATCAAGACCCGGTCAATGGCGGAGTCTTGTCAGTTCCCCGAAGTGGATGTTAATCCCTTGAGAGAATCAAGGTATCATTGGAAGTTAAAGGAGGGAAGCCAAAGAGGGGACGAGGCTAGATAATTGGATCGTTGGTGACAGAGAAAAAGGAACGAAGAAAGTGGCCCCCGTGAGTCGGTCGGGGGTTACACTGACGGGCGACAATGCTATTGTTTCGATCTTCCAGGGGGAAGCCTGGCACGAGCGATTCAAGACGGCCGGGCCAGTGGTCAGCCTCGGAAGTTGGCTGGAAGGTGGAGGAGGATGAGAGGAGGAGGAGGAGCGAGCAAGAAAGTCGCGGGCGAATGCAAGGAAGAGAGGTTGTACTAGTAGGAAAGTGTAGATAGAAAAGATGGAGGTGCGGGAACCCGTTCGGAGGGGAAGGAGAATGACAAGGTTGAACAAGAAGAAGCAACGAGGAAAGTGCTAAGATCAGGACAGTTGGTGAGTAGACCAGGCCGTGGGGGCTCTTTTTATGCACCGTATCTCATTCTATAGAGGTTCCTGTTCTCCTCATTGACCCTTGGTACCTGAATCTGGGAGACGAGGTACTTGTGCTGGTGTAGTAGTAACAGCCGGGGTGACCTTCTATACCGACGATATCCTGACCGACACGGGAAAGATTGGCTGATGCGATAATCCTCTTGACTTACAATCGCACTGACAATCAACTCGGGATAGAGTACTACGCCAATCGATCAATCCATTTGGAAGCGAGAGTCAACCAGGATCATCCGATTGTTGGACGAACAGCACTGTTGGAAGAGAGCGTGACCCGAAACAGGCAATCAACTCTCTCAACTTCGCCCGCCCGCAATTTTGACGGCATCGCGTCCTTCTCCAAACGCTCTTCTCCCACTCCACCGTCCTCCCCTCTCAGGCATCCAATTATCTTGTTACCACCTTCATATATCCTACTCGAATCCTTCGGCCGAGGCGACTCTTAATTTCCAATCATTTTCCCCTCGAGCCCTAGTGTGCTCTGCGTCCGTACAGCTGACAAAAGCACCTCACCAACCATCTTGTCCGAATTGCCGCACCAAGCGCTTCTTCAACCGCCATCGACGACGCCGTCATCGACACACCCCATACTTCAGGCCGACTAGGCCTCCTCATTATTCGACAAAAGGAAAGAGTAAGACTCGTTGCGCTGCCCAACCCGTGAGGCTTGAGCCTTGCGCCCTAGGTCGTCGTGACCTTCATATTATTGGTCTTGGGTCAAGGTTCCGCAGCTACAGTCGGCTTCGCGAATCCGCTGCGCCCGTGGTTGGCTTTCCATGCAGCTTGATTAGCTATTAGCCTGTGAGCACTCTTCTTTCTTTCTCCCCATTGCTTAGTGTGCTGCAGGAGCTTCCTGATGGCCATACAGCCTCCGGAGCTCGTCATACCCAAGCCTGCCCCTCTAATCCCCGACAATTCAAAGGCTAGATTACAAGGAACTACATTGATATGTGAGATTGCGTTTGAGTGACTGACATGGAAAATCAATTTATCTAGTACACACATAGTGCCTAACAGTCTGACGGAACAATACCCATCCCCGTGGAGTAATTGACGCCCTATCCATCCACCTCACACCTCAACTCACAACTTCACCCTCACCCAACCCGTCATCCACCATGCCCAAAGACAAAGAACGCAGCTTGAACCCGGCAGCGGCGCAACGCAAACTCGACAAACAAAAAAGCCTCAAAAAAGGCAAAGCAGAAGCGCAAGCCCGACGAAACGAGAAACTAGCACGTCGCAACCCGGAGCGCATCCAACGACAAATCAACGACCTCAAGGCATTCGAAGAATCAGGACAAAAGCTACGACCCCGCGATCAGGAGCTTCTGGAAGCCCTGGAACGTGATCTGCGCGCCGTACAGAAGGCCAGAGAAGCGTTGGGCGATAAGGCGCCCAAATTCGATAGCTTTGAATCTAGACGAGGCGGCCAGCACCGTGGGCGCGGGGATGCTGCAGTCTTGGGCAAACGCAGGCGAGATGGCGGCGACGGCAACCGGTTTAGGCACGATGGTGATGGGAGTAGTAGTAGCGACGAGACAGATGAGGAGGTGAGAAGGATACCCATGCCGAGGGATACGCCTCCGCCTATCCCGCGACAGTACCGGAAGGGAGGGCCAGGAGAGGCTGCAGGTGGTGGTCGGGGCCCGCACGCTCTTCCGGCGAAACCGCCCGTCGTTGAGGCGAAGACTGTGTACGAGGCCAAGCCGGAGATCAGGAATCTCCGACAAGAGGCGATCAATAAGTTCGTTCCTGCAGCCGTCAGGGTTAAACAGGAAGCTATTCGGGGACAAGGCAAGCTCTTGGAACCGGAGGAGATGGATCGGCTGGAGCAAGCAGGGTATAATGCTGGGCCTGCAGAAGGCGAGGAGAAAGTTTCATCAGCTGCACCAGCTGATGATGAGGACGCTCAACGGCGACTCTTGGAAGAGGAGGAGAGGCGGTTTAATCAGGAGCTTCGGTCCGTGCAGATCGAAGAGGTGGAGGATGAGGATGCATAATAATCAATCACATCCTCCACCCGTCATCCCATGATTAGGATCTTACGAGGCGTTGGTCGGGTCTCAAATCAATGTAACTATAACTCGATGCGATACGAAAATAACATCAAAATCTAAAATCATCTGTCCATCGACAGTTGGATTTCCAAACAAGCCATTTTGGTCACGAGTTAATTTCGGACATATGCACCAATTTAAAACATTGGAGTGAGATGACACGATCAAAGCAAAGTCTGCCATTGCAGAATTTAAGGAGAAAACCCAAATCGGTATGTACACAGGAGCCCTTCCCATACCATATGTAGCCCATGAATCACCAAATTAACACCAACCGTGAAACACCATTAGAATGGGGGTAAAGGAAAAGTGAGGTTCAAAAGAGTGTGGCAGAGGATATCCAGGGAAAGGCCGTAGTGAAAGGCTCGAATCATCAAAAGCAGAATCAAAATCCTGTCGAGTCACCAAGGTGTCTTTCAGTGGCAGTATTCCAAACAGGGGATGTCAAATGTAATATCTGTACAAGTGGAGAAGTGAAGTGAAGATCAAACAACAGGGGCATCACGGCATTAGAGAACAAAGGAAAGTGAAGATCTTGGTGAGATAGGATTAACGACGATGCGGCGCAACAAAATGCATCCCACGTCCCATGACTGGCATGGCCAACGTTGGTCTTTGAGATAATCCACCAGCCGTAACTCCGGAATATGTTTCGACTATTAATAGTAGATATGGTGAGGTGAGGAGACGTCCTCAGGGAGATACCCAAAAGCCTACTGCAGCTATTCCCGTGGGTCAACCAGCAAGAAGCCTGCAGTTACTATGTGTATGAGAAATGGTGGCAATATCTGAACATCGCCCAGGTAAATAGGCCGATTGGAATCACCTCAGATTGCGGATAACTTTTCTGCCTCGGGCCAAGAAGGGACTAGGCATCTCGTCCCTCTCGGGGTCCCAAACAGCTGGAGAATCGCGCTCTGTCGGCTTCAGCCCAGTGCGGGGATCACTCGCACACCGCTTGATTTCGTCAATGGGACGGCCACCGGCACGCGCCTGTGCCAATTCAACCAAGGTTCGACCGCCCATGTTGCGTTGCATAACGGCCTTGTACATCTCCTCCCCGCCTCCGTTTGCCTTTGAGGCTAGTTGCTTGATGCCTGTCTTGCGCGTGGGTGAGCCAGCATCGGCAGCCAGGTTTGCTGATGACGGGATTTTGGACAAACGTCGGTGAGGCGATCGTGATTTGGCTTCCCTCTGTTGGCTGTCGCCAGATCCACCAGATGACATCTGCGGCAGTCTTGACCCGTTGGTGGGAAAGATGGGAGGCTGAGTGCTCAGCTTCTGCATGAAAGCAGCGGTGTTCTGACGGAGGAGGGGCCTGGGCGGAGCCTTGAAGGGATCAGGCTTGACCTTGGGGCGTGTTGGAGAAGGTAGATCGGGGATGTCATCTTCATCATCAGAGTAAGCCAGGGTGGGCTCCCACTTCGTACGGTTTTTCTCCGCCTCGGCGAAGATGTTCTTGCCGGAATGAGTCCCAGAGGTCCGACGCGGGGACAAAGAGAGTGATGCAATTGAGATCGGAGAAGGCTCTGCCATCTGAACATCCATAGGCGATTCAACCACGGTTTTTGAGCGGTTGAAGGGGGTGCGAGTTTCCTTTCGTTGTACTTTGCTCGCGGCAGGTGATTCCAGAGATAAATTGCTGATATCAGTACTAGAAGGCTGTTCCGTGTCGTTGTTGCTCATAGAAAGCCGGGAGTCGTCGCTAGAATCCTCGCGAACAACGATATTTCGCTTTTGCTTCTCAACCTCGATTGCAACTCGCTCCTGAACTTCGCACTCAAATCTCTTGCGAAGCTTTTCTATCTCGTTCTGCACCTGACGATCAATTTCTAACCTGGCTTTCACTTCCCACTCGCGGCGCACTGTATTTTCAAGCTCAACTTTCATTTGTTGTTTTTCTTTCTCGAGTTTCGCGTAGGCCTGCTCAACGTCCCGAACCTTTTGCAAGGCGCTCTCTTCACGCTTGCGGAGTGTCCTGGACAGATCGGTAACTTCCTTCTCCTTGCGCATCAAGCGGATGATCGGCAGATTGATGAGGGCAGCAGTATCGGGACGGTGGTCCGGGTTAACTCGCAGACAGTTTGCGATGACGTTCTTCAGCTCAGGCGAGTAGAAGTCGGGTAGAGGAGCAAATTTTCCTTCCCGAATCCTCTGCACAAGTTGGATATGGGTTCTGGCATTGAAAGGCGGCTCTCGCTGACAGAGCTCGTACATGATGCAGCCGACCGCCCAGATATCGGAGCGCAAGGTATACTTCTCGGCCGCGCATATTTCGGGGGACATGTAGAACGGAGTTCCGACATAAGTAGAGGCGAAATCATGCGAGTTCATCAGCTTGGACAGGCCAAAGTCACCCAGTTTGACCGTGTTGTCGCTTCCGAGGAAGATGTTCTCTGGCTTAAGGTCACGGTGAAGGATAGTCATCTGGGCCTGCTTTCCTTTAAGACCCGACGGCTTGGGCGCAGGACCAAGTATGTTTGACCCGACGTCGACGGGATCCGAGCCATAGTGACAACGGTACAGAGCAGTCACTAACTGCGACAGGATGCGCCACACAAATTCCTCTTCTGCGTACTTGTTCGTCTTCTTGAGGTTCTTGATGACCATACTCAGATCGCCACCACCGCAGTACTCCATGTAGAGATACAAGTCCTGGGACGCCTTGAGGTGTTCGCGATGGTAGTAGGCGACAATGTTTGGGTGTCTAAGAGAGCTTAGGATGTTGAACTCGGCCGTGAGCTGCTCTCGCTCTTTCTGGGACATCTTGATGTAATTAATTTCCTTTCGGCATAGGATCTGCATCATTACGTCCATAAGCACGGTGTCATATTGTAACGGGGGCTCGCGATCTTACAAAGCCATCTGTCTTCCGCCGAACTTTGCGAATGATCCCGAAGGAACCGCAACCTAAACATGAACTGGTTAGCCCTGTGTATATCAAAAGGATGCAGATAAGTAGCAAAAGATTGACATACCAATCTTCTCTAACACCTCATACTTATCAGCCTCCGCCAATGCAATTGCCATTGTGGCTATTGGGTGAATCCGGCCACTGATAAGGAGGTAGAGGATGGAGGTAAAGTCGGAAGGAGATGTGAGAGGAGAGAGATGAGGGGTGTCCTATTGCATTTATGGACCGAGGCTTGTGACTGGAACCTGCTGGGTTAGTAGACGACGTGGTGGGAGTGGCACATTCAGTTGAGTTGTAGATTCCAAGAAGTAGACATGCAAGAAGGTAGAAACGCTGGATGTTTGGGTGCAGGGCTGTTGCTAAGCAACGCATCCTGCCAAAGCCCTTTCCTGCATGCAGCAGGCGGTCGGACAGTAGGCGGTAAGCACTGTTGCATCACGGACGACTGGATCACTGGTGCCATCACTTCACAGGGATGCACTGGCCTCGTCTGCATGGAATATCGGATAATTCTGGCGGGTATATTGTTGACTAAGACCCTCACCACAAGATCTAGTGATGATATATCTGCAAGGAGAGTGAATATGCGATGGATGTTTGTCTACCATGTCCTTCCAAGGGAGACTCTCCTTTCGGGGGTGGCAATCGCGGCTCCACGTGATCTCGGCTTATCGATAAGATGATGGCATCGGCGCCGTTTGAGTCCCGCCTTTCGGACATTCGGCATCTGTCAACGTTCGCCTCCAGGACACTGTGACGGCACCGCCATAATGACGGAAGAACCGAAGGTCCTCCGGAAGGACCAGCTTGAGGTCAGCTTGCATAATGAGAAAAAGCTGATCAAGGAGGGCGCAATCAAAGACGACAACCCTCTGGACCTTAGCGAGCCGTTTCGCGAGCTATGCAATGCCTGTCGTAAGGGGGATCTCAAAGTTTGTCAAGAGAAGATCACAGAGGGAGTCAATATTAACGCCCGTGATCCCTATGACTACACCCCCTTGATTCTGGTAAGTGGACTCGTTGTGAGAACTACGGGAATAGACCGCCTTGCTGACTGAAGCTGTGCAATAGGCGAGTCTCTGCGGTCATTACGAAGTTGTGCAGCTACTCCTCGAGTCTGGTGCTCTATGCGAGCGTGACACATTCCAGGGCGAGAGGTACGTTGCTATTACAATGGCTTTTCTTCATGGATATCGTGTGAATTACTTACAATTGACTGCCCATAGATGCTTATATAATGCCTTAAACGACCGTATACGGAATCTGTTATTGGAGTATGATTATTCGAAATCGACGGATCCACTTCAGCCTCTGGCCGCGCATATCACCTCTCTCCTTACTCGTGAAACTCCGATAACGTCAGATATTGTTGTCACGGCAGCTGATGAATCCCTACACCTCCACAAGTTTATCCTGGCTGCACGGTCGCCGTACTTTCATCGAAAGTTGGAATCCGCCCCTGGTACGTCAACATGGAAACTTCCAAATACGATTCCACCAGAGGCGTTTGGCACAGCAATCAAATATCTCTATTTTGGAGAAGCTCCTCGCGACTTGAGAAGCGGTCCCGGCACGGGATTCACGGAATCGGAAGTTTTCGCAGGCATCGACAAGATAGCCAAGCATCTAGAGATCAACACCCTCGTGGATAGTATACTTGACAGTGGGGATAGAAGACTTGCCAGACAGAGACGCACCATGGAAGTTGCCAAAGGACGAGACCAACTAGAGGAGTGGTTCCGGGCGAATGTGCTCAAGCACAAAGTGACGGTAGAGACAGCAAAGGCAGACGATATTAAGTGGGACAGGGACAATGCCATTTATGCGGATGTTCTGCTCCGAGCAGATGAACTCCCTGACGACGAGGAGGATATTTTGGAGGAATCTGAGCCGACTGAGGTCGAACACGGGCGCTCCAACGGGTCTGGCAGACGCGTACCGATGTCTACTCTTTTCCCTTGTCATCGGGCAATGCTTCTGCGATCGGAGTTTTTTCAGACCATGTTTGCCTCATCATTCCGGGAAGCCCACATGAAGGATCACCTGAATGTCATCAGCGTGGACTGTTCTCCGGATGTCCTGGAGATTGTACTGACCTTCCTCTATACCGAGCGGGCTGACTTCCCGCTCGATATTGCGGTCGATGTTCTGTTCGCATCGGATATGCTATTTATTGAAAAGCTCAAAACGAAGGCAGCCATTGTCATCAGCACACTGGGTAGTGGCAATATGTCGCAGGCAGAAGCTGCCCGGACACGCGGCACCAAGGAAGAGGATGATCTGGATATCTACGCCATCATCAAGGCTGCGTGGTTGACCCGTGTTCAACGACTCGAAGAATTTGCTGCGCGATACCTCGCGTACCGCTTGGAAGCTCATATCGACTCGCCGGAATTTGCAGAACTTATCCAAGAGTCGGCGTCCCGCATCCAGTCCCGACAGGAGACGGATTCCATCGAGCTGCTGGATGATATCCGCTTCTACCTGAGTGAACGATTCAGGTTGCGCTTCGATGACGCCGGTATCGATGAGATGATGGAGCCCACGCAGCCGGTGGCCGATGGTGCTGGGGTCAACGGAGACGTTGAAAAAGTCACAGAGGGAGTGGAGAAGATCCAAATTTCAGAGGAAGGTTCTGGAGATAGAACGAGCGTGACTGTTCGGTCATTACAGGCCGATGCGAAGGCACAGGAGCAGCCACTCATTCATACACTGGATGGCGAAATCGCGGTCGACGAGTTCGACCAAGATGCGATCAACTATCAGATCCTAATGGAGAAGCTTGACAGGATCCTAGAGAACTTGAACCTGGACGCCTAGAGCCTGGCAGCGAGCCAGACGAGCTGACGATTGATGACTTCTACAGGTGGTATTTAGTGGACAGTATATAGTATACAGATATAGAAGGACTGGATACGGTGCATGAATGACATTCGGAAATATACTACATGGCTCGATGAGCAGTGTCCCGGTCTACGGGGATACTTGACGCTGAATCAACGTGCATTTTGATCTTTACATTGAGTATGAAGCGGTCCTCATGCAAAGCACCAGACTGCCTAAGCTCCAGGCTTACCCCTATCATTAACTTGTTAGTACCTCGACACTGCAAAGCACACCACGCAACCTATTAGTGAACCTCCTACAGGGGTATCTCAACCCCATCTTCTGATGCCGACCATCCCACCCTCCATCCGTCCGGGCAGTCGTAGTCCACGCAAGATGCATCCTAACGCACCCGACAATCCCAAAATAAAGTTATTTACCATACAAGCTAGTATATCTAGTACCCCCTCCGATACCGCCCATGCCTTTCTGACCAGGGCGGAAGGCGGAAATGTCGCAGTAGGCACAGACATCAACACATGGATACATGAACCAGGATGCCAATCCTCCCAGAACACACCACGCCACCGGTCCGTAGTTACCCTCTCGACTAGAATCACGCCCCGAGCCGCAGAGGTCAGTGCTAGAGAGGGCCACCTGTGTACGTACTTTAGGGGGGGCGAAAGAGATAGTACAGTAGAATCATGTCATGCAAATGAAACTTCGAGACTAAGCCGAGAGATACTTTGGCGGTTAGGAACTTGGACGAAGCGAGAGAGTCTGTGCTTGACTTTTACCACATATTACTTAATTTACATCCATACAGCCATACATACGTTGATATGATACAAAGATACAGACCAGGAAACATACAGGAGGGGATGGAGTGGACTGGATTAGATTGCGAGAAAAAATAACCATCAATCATCATTGAGAAAGTATGCAGCTACATACTTACTAGGATGCAAGAAGAATTTCCATCTCGACTGACTGCACTGAACGAACCCGAATTCGACCGGGATTGACCTCGTTCTGGACTCATTCGATGAGTAATAGGAGGATGGGAATGCTTCACACTTGCTTCCTTTTGTTCTATTTTTTGTTTTTCTTTCCCCCAAGTGCAGTGGTTGAAAGTATGTAGACACTCACTCTCCGAGTCCGCCCCATGTTTGGGGTCCGGTCAAGATGCAGGCCAAGGTTAACATATGTATAAGAGGCGATGTTATTCTTGGAATAATGTGACGAGATTGTCTAAACTGCATATTCAGCATGTAGGTAACTGTGTATGTATGTATTCATGTATGTATGTGTGTGTGTAGGTATTGTCATATGGACTTGGATAGTATGGCAGTGGGAGGGAAACAGCTGGTAATAGATACTCCGTACGTGAACTCGACACTTCCACCTTCGCTCCGCTTCACCAACCAACCTACAACCTCACCAACCACAGCCAGTCATGGATAAAATCATGTACAATTACTGTTACACACTCCCGGCAATTTGGCACTTGAATTGCCGGCCGCATGGGGAAACAAGAACAGCAGGATTCTCGGTGAGCAACAGGCTGCATGGCAAAGAGGGAGATCATCGTGATCTCCCGCATCCCACGCAGGTTTGGCTGGGTCCTGCGTGGTTTTTTTTTTTTTTTTCGACTGTGGAGAGAGAAAAAAAAAAAAAAAAAAAAAAAAAAAGAGGAATGGGTTGGAAATTGGGCCGGGATGATGGATGACTGGCCCTGCAGGTTGGAAGTGAATCATGAATGGGAGAAAAGGTAAATTGATTGATCATCATCATCAATCAAGCAATCAGCCAACCAACGGAAGGGCTGAATATTAACTCCATAGCAGATGCAATATAGTAGGTCCTGCCATTCCTCGACCCCATCCTCCTAACTCTACTGTCAGACTCAAGAGTGTCATCTAACAGGCTGTTACTCTTAAAGGTCTTAGTGGATGCTCGGGATGATCAGGACATAAAAGACTCCAGAACACACAGACACTAAAGTAACCCGCAGCCGAGCCAGCCAGTCAGCGACATCTGCTGCAGGTGGGAAATCGCCAACGCGAGATGGGATGCTGATCAACCGGACTGATTGGTGATCCGAGCCCTTCTTTTTTCTCCTGGGGCTGTTCTTTGCGACGGTCGGGCATTTCCGTTGCGGATCATCTGGCTGGCTGGCGGTCGGGGGTTTTACGTGCCAATCGGTCGGGCTGCGCAACAACAGGGTTCAGGATTATCGTCCATGTTGGGCGTCAAGCTGCCGAGTGCTGATGCTGGCTGGCTGGCTAGCAAGCAGCCTGGCTGACGCTCGCTTCAAAGTTTGAGGGTCTGCAGGAAGGCCACCTACTGGTGGAGAGGAGAAAGATGGAGGATTGCTCTCCAACTCCAGTGGATCGTGAGATAGATGAATAGTACGAAAGGGATTGCAGTTGCGCCCATTCCAACCCGCGCCTCGATGCGGCCCGGTTTGCCACGACCAAAGGCAGCTTCTTTCCCACCCCCTGCAGTCTACGCAGTACTCACTCATTACTGGATATACTGGTTGACTCCCGTTGATCCTCTCCAATCACTCTTCTCGAACTTCCCAATAAGATCGACACCGCCATGGCCTCGATCGGGAGTGCGGGGATACAGCACTGATTGGTGCAATATTCGACGAGCAACGCGCCGTTGAGCGATCTCCAGCATCATCACATCATCGCGTGCGTTTGCTGCGTGGGAAAACTGGAAACAAAGCATTGCAACAAAGACTGCTTGAAACAATGAACTCTACTACACCGTCTCCGTCATCCACGGAGTCGCCGATATTGGATGGGGTCCATTCGGATCCCCAAGTGGAGGCGGGAATTCCTCCCCTGAGGGGCTCCAGCTTTTCTCCTCCATTGACATCTCGACTTGCTTCAAGCGACCCTCCACTCGCTGGACACCGTGTACTCCCGTAGGATCACGCCAGCGCTAGTCTCTCTGTATGGTAAATCATGAGGGCGTGGTAGGATGCTCGCCAGCAACCCGCCACCACACTTAGCCCATCATTGTTTCCTTCCCCGCCGCCGCCCAACGTGGCCAAACCCGCCTCTCAGGCATCGCCATCGGCTGCCATATCCCTGTCTGCTATCCTGCCAGCTTATCACAGTTTCCCTCTCGACGGATGATCGGTTCTGTGGCATGCTGATCGGCTACGATGTGGAAGCCCTAAGGTCAACCCTGCTCCATTCTTGCATTCCTTCTGGCCAAGGGGGTTTTCCACAGTCTGAGACTGACTGGATTCTATCGTGCCGCCGATGCTAGCCATGGCGCCACTTAGATCCCCTTAGCTGGGAATGCTAGTCAAGGCCCTGGTGACCTCGATTCCGGTTTCTCGGGTCCGTCTAGGATGTGCTATCCTGTGAAAGACTTCCTCTTTGGGGTAGTTAACGCCGCTCTGGGCGCTGTCCTAGTCTACTAAGTGTGTTTCTAGTTGCCACACTGGCGGAAATGACCCCCCAATTCATGGAGCCCTCCTACGCCATCAAGACAAGGTTATCCAAGTCCAACGGCCCCCAAGCCCATCGATCCGATAAGCGAAGGATTTAGCACGAGGGGGAAAGAGTGGGAAAACGGCGGAGCCGAGCTTCAGGTATCGGGCCCCCGATTGATTGTTATCCCTCTTGGTATACTGCTCCGACACTATGGCACGGTCTGCCCACGAGCAGAGACGCGCGTAAGCAACCAGCCCAGCCCCCTGCCCCTCAGCCCCAGGACATAATATGAATCGTCGAGGAGATTGGCTCGGTTTTGTACGGCGATGGCACCGTTACTCTGTGGGGGTGTTGCCGTGTTGGCTCACCCAGTTACCCATCCTAATACCTCCGACCTCACAGCCACAGCCATCGCTATCTTTTCAGGCCACACGGACCCTGAGCCAATGCAGGAAACCCGGTCGATCAAGGACAGAGCGTGATTTCGTGCAGAAAGCGCCAGTATAGTATACCGAGTATAGCCGCCGTAGTTACTCCGGGATTGAGGATGTACCTGCGGCCTGGACTACAAGGAAGGTAAGTATCTGCGGAGTAAGTCGATACGGGATATGCGCGCAGGCTTCGTCCATCAAATCAGAGGCATTATATCCAGCTGCAGCGTTCTCATGTCTCAACTTTCGTTCGCTGCAGCGGAGTTGGAAGATCGCCCGGATGCTAAAAATTCATCCAACCATCTATTCTGCAAGTGCCGGCCCCAGAATAACGAGCGGTCAGACTGAGAGGCTGAAACCCGGTCTGCGTGTCAAGTCACATCTTCCATGCTGCTCTGACTAAATATGAGTCACTACATTGTGTGTGAATGTGATCGCTACGGGCCTCGCGTACATCAGCCACTCCCTGTGGGTGCATTCTGCAGATGAACTCGAACTCCAAGATTTGAGGCGCCTGCAGGTGAGTGATCTGTCTGCCAGTGAGTGGCAGCGGGCGGATGGATCTTGTCATCTGACATCGATTAGTCTTGTGATGTGTAGATGCATGATATCATGGCGGATCAGTCTCGATGATCAGTCCGACACACATCAGACGCCATTTTTGAGGCGAGCTGTGCTGCTGCTGCTGTAGCTGTACGGAGTAGAGTATAATCCGTAGACACATCGAAAAGCGCCAGATGTCAGTCAGTCACCCTACAGCCAGGAATAACGATCTACACAATACAGAGAGGCATGGACGCCTAGTGCTGACCGAAATGCTGCCCTCAAGCATCATCCTTCCCTCATGCTGCACTAGTTTAGAATCCCGGAACCGCCTCGGTGACATTCCGAGCTGCCCTTATTTCCAGGCAGATAAATTCTTCTCTACTCAACCAGGTAGACCTGCAATGGACAACACCAGAATTTCATGCAAGCTAAACATCTAAATCATCACTATATACCGTCTACGTAGATACATGCATAGTTAACAACCATACACGAAAAACCATGAATAATACAGAAGAATTATAACAATACCATACAGACAGCCAGAGACAGCCGACATGAGATGATTGATTCGCTCCACATAATCCCGACACTAAACTGCCGTTAGTGACCTATAACCTCGGGCGTCGGACTTGTTCTGGAGATGTTCTGGGTCCACACTAGTCTGCTCTGGGTATAGGCGACCCGCCTGCCACGCAGCAGATCTGTAGATTTGTTACGTGTATTACGGTTACTGTTTTGCTGATACTGTTATTTTTGGGAATAAGTGGTGAGTGAGTACATTTGATTGAGTAGCAGGGATAACGAATGGAGGGGATTTTAAGAAGGGTTCCTGGAATATCAGGAGAGAAATACGGACAGAAGAGCGTTTACTTACTTCACTAAGTAAGGACTAGTCAGAGGCATTGTGGTTAGAACAACTACTTTATGTAGTGGTTGGTGAGTAGGAAATATATCCACGGAGTAGAGTATACCGAACACATAATAGGGAGTAGTATAGTTTGAGTGTTCGCTACTGGTTCTTGCTTAGTATAAATCATGTTATTGTTCATTAAGAAGTAGTCCTGATCGTTCGATTATTGAGTAGATAATAATCATCTATGTGGAAGCAAGAAAGTAATAGACACATTCAACTATACATCTATACTGCTACTTTCTCGATATACCCTTCATTATTTTTACTACGAAATATGGACAGTTACTAATAGTATATTTCAGTATATTCCCAATACAAACATCATCACTCAAAACGAATGTAGATCACTCAGCTTGAGATAGACATGAAAATCCATATGAGACTGCCGCGGAGAAATATATATCAGCATGATATCCAATAAGATTACCTTTTTGGCAGAATTAAGTTTGATTGACATGTGTTCAGACACTACTATTACTTAATACCTCTGGACTAATGTAGTCCGTGAGAGGGATGGAGATGAGAGAATTCTGATTCTGGCTCGATGGTTGCATGGGTGGGTTCTGCATGCATGTACGAAGTGTATGTATGTGCTTGCTCGATAGGGGGGTTCTCTGTTAGTTGGAAGTTTGGTTGGTTTAGAATATTGTGTTGGTATGGCTCAGAGTATCTTGGTACTAGTAAGTAAGAAGTGATGGTAGGTTATCTAGTAGTCGTATGCCGGGTTGAGGTGGTACATGATTCATTTCCATTGTAGTAGTAATAAGTAGACGTGCGTGCATGGATTAGAAATATATAACTATATGTATTTGACGAGAGTATACTATCACTGCTTCAAGATCTACCACTAGCTACTGCTTCAAAGGTACTATTAGTGTCTATTGATTACAGGAATTACTATATAGTTGAAAAGAATTGCTCTAATGTGTGAGAGGGTTATATATGTATTCTAATATACATTTGCCGTGTACATGAGTTGGTACTTTCAACATTATGTTTACAGAATGCTATGCACCTGGCTGGCAATTATCTCACTTCACTATTGACTAGTATATAATCCGTACTAGTCAGGTTCCATCCTTGCTTTCAATTCAGACTTACGGTGGCAACTTCTGCCCGGTGAATGTCTATTACATTGTATCAACCCAACCAACGATCCATTGGCGCCGTCGCCTCCATGAACACCCAATCAAACTACGAAGAGAATCCATAGTAGAAGGAATCTGACTGTTTTGCCACAAAGGAAGCGGCGAGTGCCACTGCTCCCAGCAACCTAATCAGGGCTTAGATAGTATATGGGCCGATGGCTAGACGGAAGCCCAGTAGAAGGAATGGGTGAGGTCAGGTGCTCTACAGCCTTGGTGAGGCTTCAAGTAAGAAGTAGGTGCAAGGTGTCTGAGACAAGTGGGAAGAAGTAAGCCAGCCTGCTAGACAATAATCCTAGACTACAGACCTTCAATAACTACGGACAAGTTATCCAACAACTGAACCCGGGAGTAAAGAGGGGAAAGACTAGCACAGAATGAACAGACCACTGCACAGCTAACCAGCTATACCACCCACCCCCAGCATAACAACCAAATGAACAATCGAAAGAACCACACACCCCAAATTCTAGAACCCATCGAACCCATCAACCATGTGCTTCCATCCACCGTTCGCCTTACCACCCAAAGGTTCACCACCACCGGATCCCTCATTCTCCCCTTCATTTCCGAACCCTGACTGAACTGACCCATGGCTATCCTTCCTCCCCTTCCACGCTTAGCCGAGAACACCATCCATCTATCTCCAACACACACTATTCATTCCCTTCTACACAATACTCTACACCTCGCATGTCCACCCATAAACAGTATAGCACAAAACTCCACCTCGGACAGACAGATCTACTAACAATCTACCAAGTGGACTGACTTAGTGTCTCATCTCGTCTCATCCATATTACTTTGTAGCATGTATCCCGTTTCCCGTTTTTCCCGGCATGTGGGCTTCCACGTTCCCAGCTGTCCGCGCCCCACTTCGGATATGAAAATGTATCCAGGGAAAGACATCAGTAAAAGTGGGTACGAAATTTGGCCCAGCCCTAGCCATGGCATGAGAGCCGATCCTTCCATCATCACATTAATCAAGGATGAGAGAAAGGCAGAAACAGGGACAGGGACCAGACAGGTTACAAGGAATAGTTTGATTGGGACATGCCGATAGCCGACCGGATCATGATTCTTTACGTAGATTCACATATGTTCATAGTATAGTAGACCTGACTGAGTGGCTAACATGACTGAGGGAATAAGTGGGTATATACATGACTAGCTAGTTAGTCAGAAAGGTGGTTACCTAAACCTGCTCTGGACTGGACTCCACTACACGCACTTTGCCATGCAACGCACACACACACGCGCGATAGTACCTAAGTGGGGTCCTTTCCCTCGTGTATGTGAGAGAGAGTGTGTGTGCGTCCGAGTTCAATCTCCGGGTTATATCTAGCTAACTAACTAGTCTTGCTACTAAGTGATTAGTTCATGTCTTGGGATGGAATTGTACCGAGGTTCATCGATGGATCGATCAGCCTCGTGTATATTGCAGTCTTGGATAGTATCTAAATAGTGAGTAAGTAGTAGATGAAGTATACACCACTAACTAACTATCCGAACAATAGAAGAATGACATATGAAAGGAAATTCGGATACGAGCTGCACATCATGCAAGCTGCTCAATATGTAGCTCCCGTGAACTTTGTCCTACGTACCTCTCCATCTACTACCTATTTATCCATGTAGAAGAGAGAATTGAATCGACCAACTGACCACTACCAAACTGGTCTCCAAAAGCAATGTACATGAACCAGGATTAAAGATTCCCCTGTGGTCGCTAAAACATCGGCTAAGCAAACGGCATGACATGACTCGACCCATCCCATCATCTAACTATCTGGCCGGATTAAACTGTAAGTAAATGAGCACACGCCAACAGACTAACCAAGTGGCCTTATATCTAGGCAGATATATTACTTCGGAGCGAACTAACTATCTACGATCTAAGTAGAGGACCCGTTCACATGTCTCTCTCTGTGACTTCACTGTCTCTCTTAGCCTAACTCCCTAGACAATAGTAGTTAGTAGTAGTAGTAGTTTGTATACGAAGCCACAAATTTGTTTTTGACAGAAGCAACGAACATCAAGTGATCTCATCACCATCAGCTGCTGCAGCGGCAACTGTCACTGTGTCAATTGCAATGCAACGTAAAGGAATAAAAATAAATGATCGTCAAGAAAGTTTTATGCGAAAGGAAAAGTACCCGAGAGATGAATTATTTACCATACAGACACAATGTGGGAAGGAAAAGGAATGCGGATTGCGCCGCCTGCCGTCTTGGGCAGCCCTCTCTCGTCATGAGTCTCTTCCTATTTGTCGCCGTCATTGCAGCAGTGAGTGAGTGAGTGACTGCCATGTGAAAATCACGCGTATCACACACACACATTATTACGCAAGCTACCTACTTAGAAGCTAAAGTGTAAGATATCTCCTGGCAGCGCCTCCCCCCTGTAAGTTGACTAGCTAGCTAGCTAGCAACTTTAACTCAAACACATCATCCCACACCATCCATCATCGTTCCTTTTTTCGCCTTCTTGCTAAGACCAAGAAAAGAAAAGAAAGGTCGGATTAATGGAAAGGTAGTATCTCGGTAAAACCAGGATCAACACTAGCATGGTATTTTACGGTAAGGATATCACGCTAGTAAGATACCAAGCGGCTTGTCAAAAGGCAAGCGTCACGATAGTGCATCGGCTTTGGTGCCAAACTCGGGAAGGGCCGACCGCAGCTGCAGGCGGAGCCGACGTCTGCCACGTGAAATGACCAGGGTCCAGACTCCAGGGAGGCCGCTAGGACCGCCTCTAGTCCCAGTTGGGTTTGGAGTGTCCGACGCCCGCTCCAGCAGTTCTTAGCGAAAAGGAAGGGGGATTTTTTTTTGTTAATTTACTAGTTAGTTAGGCGGTCGGTCGGTCGGTCGGCATCTTTGTTCAGGGGCCGAATTGAGAGGTCCTTCCATGAAATGGAGGATGGAAGGGAATGAAAGAGAGGTAAAACAGAGAATATGAGAAAGGAAAAAAATAGTGGGATGCTAAGCCCAACACGGCCGAACGGGAGGCCTACTCTCGTTTCTAGCTCGCAAAAAAAGGTGTTTGCATCACCTGCGCGCGCACACATCGTCAAGTCACGCACAACCAGCGCCAAACTTACATAGGCGACTTGAACCACACAGCCTCCAGATAATAATGAATGAGGCGTCATCACACACACATCATTCTCTCACCAACCCCCTTACCCTGCAGCAAGTAAAGTAAAAAAAGGAAAAAACAGCGCTTCATCCCGACTCCCCCAAAGAAAGAAAGGGAAAAAAACCAGATCGGTGTCCGGTATTAAACCCATTCCTTAACTCCGGGTTTCAGTTAGGACGTGTCCCACTGCCATGAGGCGTGGCACGAATTTTGAACCCCTGGCTGCCTGGCTGCCTGGCCTGGGGGGGTCGCGCTTGCGACAACACTGTTCGTTCGTTCCCCACGAACCCACGGCTGTGTCCCTAGTTTAGTTCCCTGATGACGATCTGCGCTCGACGCCTTGACTAACCAACGTGGCGTTCGGGGAAGATGCTGGTTCTAGACAAGTTGATACCCCGTCGTTTTGCCGGTTGCTTGAGAGAAAGTAGGCCACCGCAATCCTTTTGCCGGGCCATAGCTCTAAGCTCCAATCACAAGCCTTGCCTAAACCTCTTAGCGATCCCCCGATCGTGACATCTGTCAAGTCTATCAAGTGCCGGAGGGGGGTTTAGGTTCTAGATCTTGCCTTTTCCAGCAAGGGGAAAGCCCTGTATCTTGTCTGTCCCATCCTACAGGATGTAGGGAATATCCTTCATAAGATGTCGGCGCAACAATTACTGTGGATTATGGAATGGAATGTTGTAAGTCAGCTGGAGCCTTGGTCAATCAAGTCGTAGGACTCCGTAGGAGTGGTAGTACGGCGGGGCGCCAGGGTAGGCCCAGTGTGTATGGGCTGATTCTTTCCCAGCGAGCTGGGCAAGCTAATTGCCTCCCTCTCTCTCTGTTCCCTTCTCTCCTGGGGCCGGGCGGGACGAGATGGTCCTGCAGAATGGCGTCCATGCGTCAGATTCTTGGAAGTTGGCACGCACCAAGCAAGCCAGTCTGCAGATGTGCTGGAGATCAACCGTCTTGTGGTCAAGCACAGCCGCCACGTCTTGTGCAACCCCCGACCGGTGGAAAAAGCAGAAATCGATACGAATTACGAAGGGGAAATAATAAGCAGTTACAAAAAAGCAAAAGAGAAGACAACCTAAGGCCAAGAGGGATGGATGAATGATCCATGTTATTAGTCATGGCTCGTTAGTGGTGGACACAATACGGTCGCAAAAGCAACGAACGCAAGGCATGACGGCGTCACGCCGAGGTTGAGTTGAGCTGAAGCTGAAGCTCAACATTGCCTGAGGCACACAGAGAATACAGTCAGCAGCGAGTAAGCGACGATCCGCCCACTCGTGGCTGGGAGAGCTGAAACCGGCACAAGGTTTCGCTTCCCTTAGTTTGATCGACCGTCACATCTTTGCCGCCCGCCTATCCTTCGGAACCGAAACTGTGACCTCGACGGGGAACCGCGACAAATGAAACAGACGAGCTGATGGGTTGAGCAAGGGTGGCTTGGAAAGCGGGTGGTGCCGCTTGTCCATGGTTGCTTTGGAAGGGGAAAACAAGATGGGATCGACACGAGAGGCGCAACTTGACTTTTCTGATGCCGTGGTTGTTTGGCACCTCGGCGCGTGTGTGTTACGTATGTCTCTGTCGGCAAAGAGACAGAGAGTTAAGTTAACAAATGCCAAACCATCGGTGCAACATTCACACGATAATTTGATGCTACACAAGACAAAAAGATAAGCGATCCAAAATAGTAACGCGGACACAGATCTCAAGAACGGCAAAGTCTCCGAGGATTATACCACCCTGAGCCGGGATCATATCAATAGAAGCAGTAATCAGCAGGTAGTAGGGGGGATAGACTGTAAATAATGCAGTGGGCTCCTCCGACGGCATTTGTTCCGGGTCGGGGGGAGTGGATGCTATTATTAATCTTGTCAGGGGGATATTATTTCGATACCCGCACCTAAGCGACTTGCGGTAGGATTCCCGACGACTATTGAGGCGGTCAAAGCTGGAGCGTTGGAGAGCGTTGGATGATCGGCGTGCGCATCATTGTCAATCTTTATCAAGATTCCAGAGTTTATCTCGGAATCTCCCCGTCGTCTAGAAACTGGAACCGGCACACGTCTTTGCCGAGCTGGCTGGAATGGCTGGAATGGGCCCATGGATTGCACTATTACTCAGACTAGTTATTCCTCTGGTCTATAAGTGATACATAATATTATGCTCGACTCGAGGACACAGAACGGAAGCCTCATACTGGTAGTAGAGAATGAAAAGACTCCCTTCGAAGTGAATTTAGACTATCATCTACTATCTAGAAGATCATCAAGATCCCCTAATGCACAAACACCTATCTCATTCCCTCACCGTTATACCTAGATACCCAACCTACACACACATACCACGAAGCCAAACCTAAAATTGGGTTGTAATGTCGTGGAAGCCCCCTCGAAAAAGTAAAAAGAAACGAGAATGAGATGCATCCCACGAAGTCAAATTCACACCACACAAAAAGCACATCTGCACTGTAACTCAAGAATGCGACCGCAATTATTTCCCACTTCTCTTCCCCAGTTTACCCCTACCTACCCCCTCTTTTTTCACCCCCTTCCCTTCGCCTCACAAACATCCAAGAAATTAGAAAGAAACAAGAACATGATCGGTCGGTCGGGTCGGGTCAGTCGGGTCGGGACCCAACAGCCAACAAGTCAGTATTCGTCGAAATATCCCTTTCCGGTCATGATGTGCTCGTTTAAGCTCAGGGCGATTTTCCCGACAGGCGCACCGCTAAGCGAAGGCTATCTAAGTTGCCTTTAGCACAGCCATAACCTTCACGGCGTATCTACCATAGATATTCATTTGGATCATCATCAATCATCGTATCTGATTGAGGCTGCTGCTGGTGGCTGTCGTATACCATACTCCGTAATTGAAGGCCCCGTCCCAGTATGGAGTCTATGCTTTCGAGCGACGAGCTTGTCAATCAATCCCATTATGTACAAAATATGAAAAGATAAAGTAACCCAATACGTATGCACCGCCCACTCTTGATTCATTTCATTTCCATTTCCATTTTCATTTCCTCTTTGGGTAGGGTGAAGTGGTGGGTTCGTTCATCGGCTCGCCCGTCCCTCTTCGGTCGGGTTGAGTAAGTTGAAGTGGGTGTATGTGTGTATGCGTGCCGGGTCTCTCGGTCGCTCATCTCATCGGTTCGGTAAGTAAACAGGTAGTAGTATGTTCTGGAACTTAGTGCTTACATCTCACCTACTTGAATAGGTAATATTCCACTTTGCGTATATAGCCATTTCATCCATATATTGCCTGATCTGCCCTGAGGGGAGGGTGAGGGGAGGGGGAGGGGATGAAGATCACCGCGGGACTCTTCCGAGGGGGGATGTGGATGTGGATCTACATCAGTAACCAGCTACATACGTAGTAACTATTCGGCTGGCTTATGCTGTAGATACTTTGGTGTTTCGATATGTTGTTCCACGTATTGTGGAAGAGGGTTTGCTTGGCGAACTACATTGTAATTGAACTGCGTTTCTCATCATTATTGGGTTTCAGATACTTTTTTTACCCTTGTTAGGTGAAACTTAACCTCAGGGCGGGGGAGGGGAGGGGAAGGGAGAAAATGTCTCATGGTTACTGACTTGCTACTTTCTTTTGGTTTCTGGGAAGTTGTAAGCAAGCTTCGAGGATCTGAACTGAACTGAACTGCCGGGTGTTTGCCGCGGACGGGATTGGAATGGATGCTATACTAGACTACTTACTCTTCCCCCCCCGCTTTGTGGTGGTGGCGGCTCAGTTTCGCCTCAGAGTTCAGAGTCAAGATGAGACACATAAGACAGATGAGACAGATATAGTTCCGGTGTTCCGAGGATCATTCTTACTATCTACCATGCATCTACTAACTAGTAGTAGACTACGACGGCAAGAAACATACCCATACCATAGTAACCAACTATCAAGGGTAGCAAGTAAATAGTAGAGCCTCCCAACCAACCCATCCTCCAGTCAATTCAAGATTGATGAAAATCCCGACCGTCTGGACCGACCTCCTCCGGAGATTAATATCGCAGTTCACTATCCCTATAATATAAGATAATATAATCTAAACTAACACACACTACGGGAGTAGTAGGCCGTAGGCCTAACTAAGTAGATAGGCTGCATGGCTCGCTCACTACGCAAGAGCCGACGCTTAAGTGGAGAGAGAGACGGACTCGGGGGGCAAAAGCAACCAAAACAATATGATTGGACGGAGGGACCAGCTTCGCTTCCACGAGACAAGAACAACCTGAAGGCAGGCTCGTTTATTAAAGTTTGGGACCGCTGGGGAAACAATCAATCTGCTCGCACATGGAACTGCTGGGACTGGATCACTGACTGGGACCGGGTTTTGATCATTAGTTAATTGTGGGTTTGATTTGGTTTGGTTTTCTTTCTTTTTCTTTTCTGTTCGGGTTGGGGTCCCATATGTAGAGGAGAATACTTACGCGTATGTCAGCGCTTGCGCTTCCATTAATCGTGTTGTCTTAGTAGCTTTATGAGTAAAATAAGTTCTCTGTCCATCCATGGATGAATCAATCTCCGTATGGAGTAGTCAGCCGTTCTGGATGACCTAACTATCTACACACAAAACAACCCAGACGATCATTTAATCTATCTTGCAGCATCCGGGGGAAGGAGATACCAAGTGGATTTGACTAAGGATGATGTAATTCGGCGTCGCCGACAGTTGGCAGTTTGTTTTTTGGGTGTTAGGTCACTTTAGTTGGCAGGTTGGTATAATGGATGGATGATCCGCTAAAGTCGCCAAGGAGGGGGAAGAGGGAAGGGATTGATCGACTGTGCCATTCCATTGTTGCGTTTCCTTTCTTTCGTTTCCCCTTCGCTAGAAAAATTAAAAAGAAACTACACTAAGCCATCTCGGTACTACGGCCGGGAACATTACCGTTTCGGGCGATGGGGGCGCTCGCGTTGGCATCGCTCAGGTACGCTTCCGGTAATCGGGTGGTGGGCGGTGTGGTCCGCCGCTAAGGGTGATTTGTGCTGATCAGCTTCGTTCGGAAGAATACCAAGAAAGAGGTAAAGTGTAAGGCAAGGCCATTCACTGAGGCTTGAGACAGCGACAGGGATGCGGCCTGTTTAGATGGTGATGATGATGATGCTGATGATGATGCTGATGAATAAATGGCCTCAAAAATAGAGACTTTTATTTTATTTTATTTTATTTTAGTTTTACTTGGCTGTACCTACAGCATAGTACCTTACTGTGGTAGATCTACTCATACTTCCCTAACGACTACCACGATCATTCTTGTGAAACCAAATTCGTGACATAAGAACAGCAGCCAGCCAGCCGGAAGCTATTCACCCGACGGGAAGAACGCATAACTGACTGATGACTGATCTCGGTTCACAGAAATAATACCGGGATGATCAACAACTAAAATCACAGTTAGTAAGGTGGAAGTAGGTCCGTCCGTTCCTTCCCCCCTTCGTCTCCATAACCCTTTTCGGGATACGTTTTGTAGCTCTCCCGGCCGAGGTACATCTGTCTCGTGTGTGAGTGTGTGTGTCCCGCCCTGCTCCGGCTACGAGGCCCTTGAGGACCTCCCGAGAATCAAAAGTATATTTGATTCTGTTCTTGAAATGTCTCGTTTATCCATGCTTATTTTGGACTTGGGACCGCCCGTAGGTAAAGCTTTTTAGCTTAGACGTCGTGATCTGACGGTCGATCCCAATCGAAGAGAAGGAATGCGGACACCTTTGGCAGAGAAATCCAGCCATCTAGTCTTCTATCCACTTCGGCAGTTGATATCGGTGGTTATTAGTCTCATCAGTCAGCCTTCCTTCCTTTGATCATGGTTGGTGGTGGTGATGGTGATGATGACGATTATGATGATGATGATGCGCTGTGCAGTTCCCACTAACTAAACTGATGCGGCCCGAATGTGGACGACAGACAGAGTAAGAAAGAAGCAAAAGTGCATGTACGTAGATATCCGGTTTTGAGACAAAGTCAATTGTCTCAAATGATATTTGCGAAAAGTGGTGGTGACTTAGGCACACACACACACTCACACAAACAACCCCAGTCCTGGTCGACGTCATTGACCAGTCACCGTGAAATGCATGCACCATGCAGCATCCGCAGCATGGTTGATCAATCAGGGGAGGTTTTCCCTGGATCCCTTGAGTTACGCCTGGGCCAGTCAGTTATCGCTTGCATGGACGATGCATTTTTCTCCATAGCCGTCGCCGGCTTCTGTCATTCTCGTTGGATAGTTGTTTTTCTCCGTTCTGCAAAACAAAATGGCTCTAGTGAGTGGTCACTGCCCGACAACACACCCTTACCAGCCCCCAAGAAGCAACAAAAAGAGAAAAAGAAAGTATCACTAAAATTGAGTAAACCGAGATATGTATCTACATCGTACATAGATACAGCTCCGTAGTCTATACAAACTAACCCTGGGGGCCAGATGATCTTACAACAATAATCAGCCGAAAGGGCTCTTCTCCCCCTTTCATTTGTTGGTTGGGATCGGATCAATCTAGCTGACTTGGGCTTAGTAGTTAGTCAGCGGCATCCTTTTCCTCTTCTTTTCTTTTTCTTTTCAGTAAAGAAAATTGCTTTTGTTGGCTGTCATTTGCCATGATAATCTCCGGCATTCCTCATCACCGAAAAAAAAAGAAAGGAAAAAGAAATAAGAAAATAAGAATAAACCATCTTGGCCCCCCGACCGACCGAAAGGATGATGCTAACCTGAGGATCGTTCAGAGATTCCTTTCTTGGATGACCAGATCTAAGCTCTCTTGGGCTTAGAGCCCCCTTTTGCTTAGCAAGCAGGCCAAAAGAGCGAGCTGCCATGCCATCCGCGCATCGTGCCGCGACTCCGTCAGCCCGGCCGGCCCCAAGGGATTGGACCATCCCCGGAGACATTTCCCATCCCAGAAATCAAGCGAGTCATGGCCCTCACGATGGGCGTTTCTCCATTCCCATCTCCGTGGTCTAGGAGAAAAACTAAGGGGGTGTCTGTGTAAGTAGTGTAGTGACGCTATCAATGGAGTCTTTTCCATCAAAGTAACTTTTCTATTATTATGGTAGTGTGCTGGTCTGTGTTGCAGGACCACGCACGCATTGTCTCAGTGCCAAAGGATCTCCGGAGAAATAGATTCGAGTAGTAACAATAATTAATTTAAAGAAAGAACACGATGGATGGAATGGAATCAGGGTCACCTTTCCAGATTGCTTTCCAGAAAGGGATGTTTAATCGACCGCTAGAATACGGAAAGAACGGAGATGGAAACTGAGACCAACCAGGGTTGGGATCTGGGAATAGATTGGATTCCTTCTCTCCTTTTGCTTTCCTCCCCCTCTGTGTGTATGTAAGTGTGTCTGCCTCTTCCCCTCCCCCCTCTTCCCCTCAAACCGGTGATCTGAGCCATGCTGGACCAGGGTTGCACAGTTGGGTCACGGACAAGTACCGGGAGGGAACCAGCCAAGTGGGAAGGAGGGAGGGGTACCTTAGGCACCGAGTTTCGCCCACCGAGGGCCCCGAACACACAGGATCTACGGGGAGAAGGAGGAGGGAGGGGGCCGTGTATGGAAAGCAGAGGAGAGAGGGGGGAAGGACCCAGAATTGGACAGACAGGACTGGACAACCATGAAAGCTGGTTGGAAGCAAGCTGGAACCACATGAGATCAGGTTCTCAAGCAGCAACAGCAAGCAGCCAGCAGCAACAGCAACAGCCAGCCAGCAGCAGCGTGATCGTGCGGCAACGATCAGCCGTTTATGGGGCATGGGATCGTTGTGACAGGTAAAACCAGGACGGAGCCTTGGGGGTTCCACCCCGAAGAGAAAGATCGGCTGCTGGCGTAAGTGCAAGCCAGATGGTAAAGTAGGTCCAGCCCAGAGTTCGATTCGATTACCACCATGATACCGGACGGAGATTTCCATTTCTTTGCTTAGGGTCGTCGACTAGTAGGGGGGTGGTGTGGATGGTGGTCGGCTCCGTCCCCATGATGAAGGATGATCTCTGATTTGATTCCTGGAGGGCGCGCATGATGGAGAAAGGAAAGGTGTCCGTGGATCTGCACTAGCGCCAGACTTACTGTAGCCGAGCCCCGAAAGTACCGTTGGCTTTGGCTCCATCGGCCGATCTCTGAGTGAGAGAGACAGAGAGAGAGAGTGTGTGTGTGGGAGTGTGAGAGTCAGGTCAAGAGAGTCAGAGTCAGAGTCAGTTCCTGTGAGGTTGCTGTGCCCTTCGTACGACGCAGTTACGTACCCCCTTCTCCTCCCGCCGCGTTGCTTCTTTCAGGAGTAGATCTCCGTTGGGATCTCATTGTTCGTAACTTTTGAAGAGTCATGCTCGTGATGCTTGCTACTGCTACTGCTACTGCTGCTTAATGGTCTAGAGCAAAGTGGAGGAAGATTTCCTGTCGTCATACTTTCACTACTACAAAATTCTCCTTTGTCTATGTATAGCACTTTGGGATAGAAAGAAGATGATCGACTGTCTCTCATCTCGTCTCTTTTACCCAGTCTCAGCTTGATCTACCATCATCTTACTTCCGTGCTCATCAGCTCCCATGGAAAAACCATCCACTATTCCCAGGGTTAAGGTGGCCTGGGGGGGGGAGCGAAGGGTGTGGAATAATGGTGGAGGCGGCGCACGTTGTTTTAGCTCTCGTTGAGCCTACCTAAAAGGTATAGCAAAGCTAATGGCAAATCATCCCGGTTAAGTGTTTTTTCATTTTAATTTTTCTAATTTGCCTTTTTCGGATATCCGAAAGCGGTAAATTAGAAGACAGGGAAATCCAAAAAAGAAATTGGAAAAATTAAAAATAAAAATTCCAAAAAGGAAACGTAAATTACCCGCCAAGAGCAAGACATCGCGTGTGGTGCTCCGTACCGGGACCACAGCCCATTAATTAAGCTTTGGGACGGAGGTATCAGCCCTTGTGGAAGCGAATCGAGTAAAATAAATTAAAATAAAATAAAATTACAAGAAATGTGGCCACTGCGGGCTCGGGAATATTCAAGATGCCGCTGGGACTGGAGGGATGAAGAAGAGAAAAGAAAAAAGAAATTAGAAAAATATTATGAGGATAAACCAAGCCAGAACGGAGGATATCGTACCTGTTCGGCTGTGTGGCAGGAAGAAGGAAGTTAGTAGGTTCATCCCTCCTACTAGACGAGATCCTCATCAGACGGGGGGAGGGAAATAAAAAAAAGTGTAATTATTTGGGAACCAGCGATTTGCGTCGGATTCGCCCGCTCTCTTTCCCTCCTGTGAGTCTGTATTTTGGCTGTCTGTGTCTTGTCTTGTCTGGCTGCCTCTTTTATTTTTTCCCTCGTCTCTTCTTTTTTTCTCTCTTCGGGCTCCCCACCCGTCGGTTGAACCACTACGGCCGGAGTATACTCCCCAGCGGGCAGCTATAATTAAACTGCCTGTCGATTGATCCTCCCTGATTTTGATTTTGATTTTATTTTATTTTATTTTATTATTTTATTTTCTGGATTATTTTACATTTTATTTTATTCTATATTTTATTATTTTTCCTGTCAACCTTGCTCCCCACTTTTCGCATATCTCCACTATTCCACACCCTCAATCATCGTCTCTCCTTCTTTTCCCCTCTGCCATCCACGCGCTTTGGTCTATAAACCCCGTTCACATCCTCCTCCATCCTCCCCCCCTGTTCCCATCAAACCCACCCCCACTTGTACCTTGCCTCCAATTCCATTGGATCCATCTTTCGTTGCCTCTTGACTCGAACTCGCTTTTATATATCTACCCTCGGTAGCCTCCTTCTTGCTATAAGCTACCTCTTACCTTCCCACTCGAGTTCCAACCTAAGATACATACATACATCTATATACTACCCTCCTCCCTCTATACCACCTCACCTCCATCACCACCCACCTATTACCTTCCTACCTATCTACCTCAACACTCAACATGGATCTCGCCAGCCTCATCTCCCACCCGGGACCCGATCCCATCATGAAGTCTAGAGCCTCATACAGCCCTCCCATGACTTCCTACAAGCGCTCCATCGAACACACCTCGGACTCCTACTTCCCCTCCGTCCCGATCTCCTACACCCGCTCCCCGCAACCTCCTCTCTCCCCGCCTGTCGAGGACCAGTCCCCCAAGTGCTCTCTTCCCTCCATCTCTACCTTGCTCGAGGGCGCAGATGGCGCAGCTATGCATGCAGCAAGTATGGCCCCCAATGCTTAGGAAATTGTCCGGAGAAGACCGAAGGAGTCAATGCTGACAAGAGATTCCTGCAGAGCGCACTAGAATGACCCCTCCTCTGCAGCGCGACCTTGATTCCCGCCAACAGTCGCAAGCATATGACCTCAAAGCCAACGGCCCCCAAATCGCCTTGCCCCCCACCCCCCCATTGCGCCCCGGTTCTAGCTTCCACAGCGCCGGACACTCCCCCGCCTCCTCCATCTCTGCTGCCAGCGATGCTGCTGCGCCCAAGCGCTCCGACTCCTACCCTCAAGTGCCCATGGCTCTGCCTAGCCCCTCGGATCGCTCGTCCATCTCCAGCCAGGGTTCAGTTCAGGGTGTCTCCAGTGCTTCCTACGCTTCTCCCGCTCCCAGCGTCTCTTCCTACTCCTCTCCCATTGAGCCTTCGGCCTCGTCCGCCATGTTCTACCAACGCACGGCTCCCTCCACTTCCGCCGCTCCTCTCCCGACGCCAGCAGCACCGCAACAGATTATCTCCCCTGTGAACCCTGCCTGGCAGCACCACCACTACTTCCCTCCCTCCAGCACCACGCCCTACCAGCAGAACCATGATCGCTATATCTGCCGCACCTGCCACAAGGCCTTCTCGAGACCCTCCAGCCTGCGCATCCACTCTCACAGCCACACGGGCGAGAAGCCCTTCCGCTGCACCCACGCCGGTTGTGGGAAGGCCTTCAGCGTGCGCAGCAACATGAAGCGTCATGAGCGTGGCTGCCACAGTGGTCGGCCCGTCGCAACCGCCATGGTTTAAAGTCCGGCACTGGGTGTCCGGTCACCTTGATGCGCCTCGAAGGCAGTCAAGGCAAGAAAAAAAGCTCGACCAAACCAAAGAGCAATACGCCAAATTAAGAAAAAAGGACCATACCACTCCATACAACCAACCTCCCTGAACCCAGCGACCATCTGCTCTGTTTTCTTCTTTGAGTGATACCCTTTGTGCATGTTTTATATTCACTTCTTCTGATCCTCACGCACCCGGGAATCCATGGGACTTGGGTGTGTCGTGATGGGAATCCCCATTTTTTCTTTCTTCACTTCCACCTGTGTATATTTGGATGACTTCTTCCTTTTTTTTATATTTTACTGTCCATGTGAAAAGGAGCAGGCGTCGCTGGTTTTCGGTCTGGGAAATGCAAAGCATAAGAGTCGGGAGGAGAATCATTGGGCATGGGATAATCGGAGTCTCAACTCTGGTTGAATTGTTTCTTTTCTTCTGTGTTTCCTATATCTTTTCCTATTTTTTCCTTTTTTTCCTTGTGTCATCTCATTTCCTTTGTTATGATGTGACATGACCTTGTGAACAAGAGATGTTCCTACTATACGATTATAACAAACGCACAACAGCTTTGTTGTACTCTGGTATGAAGAAACCAATTAAGAGCATAGACTCGCATTCAAGATGAAGAACCAGCCTTCCCCCTTCATTGTAATTGTAGACAACTAGCCAACTATCCTATGATACAACGTGAGACACTGAACCTTGGGAAGTTCTCCCCACTCCGTACTGTCATTCCTACCCCCTCCACATCCACCTAACTTGCAAATGTACCCCTGTTCTTTCATCCCATAAAGTATAGAAGTCCTCACCACCCGCTCTCCTTCAGGCCATACGAAGCAGAATGACACAGGCTTCTTCTAGACTACTCAACTAAATAATATTCCCTCCTACCTAGATTATCATCCTTCCCTCCATTCCCCTACTTTACTACCCCTCACGTCTTGACTCTTCTGTCCCTTCAACTTCTTTCTCACTAGCACCGAGGAATTCGTCAACGCTTTGACAACGCAAGATAAGTCTTCTTTACCACTTTAATCTTTATTTCCACCATCATTACCATCATGAACGACTGGAAACTAAGAACTGAAATAGAAATAGATAAATAACTTACAGAATTGAAAGCACGCCTTTCTGTGATTCATTGACTACTAGTATTATAGAAACATAGGTATTTCAAATTCAAGCGATCTATATACTCATACTCATCCATACCTGCAATGGGAATAATTGGAAACCTGCGTATAATTCCTTCCAACACCGCCGCCACCGCCACCACCACTGCCAAATCCCCGCTCGCTAACTGACTAAAACTACTTTCATATCAATCAAATCAATAATATTTGCCTATTCTCCCAAACGGAAAGAAAACAAATCGACGCAGCCACCCGGGACAAGGGAAAGGGAAAAATAAAGGTATCATGACGATCGTAACCAAAAACAGAGACACGGTATTCCAAATCGGAAGGAAAAAAACAATTGAAATTGCGCGTAAAGGGGAATATTTCCGGATAGTATGTTATAGAGGAAGAGAACAAGGAGGAATAGGGAAGTTGAAGAATAGAGAAGACCTTCGAGAAAGGAAGGTATCAGGAGTCAAGGGTAAGCACTTCACGGCCGTAATCGCAATCTCATCATTATTGGGTCGTCATCATCAACCATGAACACTGACCCTACCTGTACTGGCAGTAGGTCCCATGGTCGTTCTCCTCACTGTCACGGCCTTTCGTTTGGCAATGGCTCCCTTGAAGTCGATCGAGTTGTAATCCTCGGGCATGTGCTCGCCACTGTAGATGCAGAGGACGCGCATGCCTGGCTTGTAAGCCAGTCCGCTGAGCAGCTTGGGCGTGATTAGGAAGTACTGGCCGCCGCCGCCGGTTTCAGACGGGGCGCAGGCTATATCGACCAGACGGCCGTGGACCATGCGCTCGTTTCGGGGATCCATACCCTGGTTAATTTCGTCGACCACGCGGAAGGGCGATGCGGAGAGAGACTGGAGGGCCATGAGGTAGAAGATGGTGCTGACGGCGCGTTCACCACCGGACTGGCGGTGCGAATCCAGCAGGGAAAGGTTTTCGTGTTCGCGGAATTTGACGTGGATTTGAATCGACCATTGGTCGAAATCGCTGTCACCTGGTTCGCCGTTCGGACCAGTCTCTTCGGCCTTGTCCAGGGTGACTTGGCCGGCGCAGCCGATGCGGGCGAACGAGTCGGAGAAGGCGTCGCTGATGCTCTTGATGATCGAGTCGAGCTTGGGTTCCCACCGGCCGCGGATTTCGTTGATGGCGTGGTTGTAGTCGTCGAGCTTTTTCTGGAAGTCGGTGAGTTTGTCACGCAGCTTGTCGATCTGACGTCCACGTTCTTCGAATTCTTTGATCACGTTGCTGTTTCCGCCGTGGGTGAGTTCGAGACGAGCCTTTTCGGAGTCAATGTCGGCCTCGAGTTGCTCCATTGTCTGATCCTTGATGGTGTGTAATAGGTCCGCTAGATCGGGCTGTTGTTGTGAGAGGTTGGCGACTTTCACGGCGTCCTCTTGCAGCTTCTTGACCGTTTTGCCTATGTTCTTGATTTCTTGGTTCGCCTCTTTCAGTTCATCGTGCTTGGCTTCCAGCGTCTGCCGGTGTTCGACGTTCCGAGCTTTCAAGACTTCTAGGTCTGAGACACCTTCGATATGCCGCACTTTCAGCTTGATGACCTCTTCGTGAAGTTTTTGGAAGTTTTCAACAGCGTTCTATCTTCTGTCAGTAACAGGACTCTTAATTATCCCCTGGTGAACTTACAGCATATTCAATGACGGCTTCAGCCTTGCGAAGGGATGCCTGATCTTGCTCACTACGGAGTTTGGCGACTCGCGTTCTCATCTGTTCGAACATTTTCTGGTTTTCCTTCTGCCTCGCTTCTTGTTGGCCTGTTGGTGTGTTAGAGTACTCGATCAGAGAAGAGAGCGACGTGTCACCTACGTATTCTCTCCGGAATCGCCCTGAATTGTGTCAGGGCTGTCTGCTTTTCTCCCTTCTCCCGCTCGAGCTCGCTCTGCACAAAGATCCCACGTTAGCACAGTAAATATTTAAGACAGCATAAGCTCAACATACCTGCTCCTGTTTGAGATCAGTGTGCTTCTGACCGAGCTGTTCCAGCCTGGCCTTTTCACTGTTTATCTGCTCTTGCACTTCCTGCACTTCGCCTTTCAATGTACGAATTTTCTGTGTGACTGCTTGTCTCTCTGACGCATCCACTGGTTGCGACGTCCAGACTCTGGCTGGCCTCAGAGGCCTAAGCCGGGAGGAAATTGCGTCGTATTCCCTTCGCCGCATAACCGTATAGTTTATCCTTCCAGAAACCCAGGAAACTAAGCGACCCGCTTTCAAGCGTTCGAAATCATTGTCTGCCATGTCTGCATGACTAATAGGTATCTGGTGCAGGCCCTTTTCGCTACAGAGCATAGCCAGAACTGGATCTGGCCCACTGAGACAATCCTTTGCCCAGCACTCAAATCCAAACTCGCGGAATTCGTCAGCCTCAGCTGCAGAAGGCTGAAGTCTATCTAGTGGCGTGGAACAAGTTCGAATACTGATATCGGTCAACTTCTGTTCGCCGCAGAGAATCCTCTGCAACGTCCTAAAGTCATTCCGAGTTTGTGTTGTGAAGGCCATGAAATCTGTGCGCTGCAAGAAGGACTCCACAGCGTCGGCGTACTTTGGGTCTTTGACTGAGCATGTAACCACCGGAGGCCCAAAGACCTCCTTTTCAAACTTGTCTTGGTTTTGTTGGATCCAATGATAGGCGCGAACGGAATCGGCGGAGAGTCGTCCAAGCTTGTTCTCTTGCTGTCCAGCCTGGGATTCCAGGTTCTGTAACTGACGTTCCGCCTGCTTGATCTGATCGGTTTTCACATTCAAGCTCTCGAAAAGTGGTCGTCGGTCGCTTTTGATCTGGACTGCCTTCTCCTCAATTTCCCTGATTTCCCGTCGCTTTTCTCTCTGTTTCACGGATTAGCAGAGATAGTGAACGTCATCTGATAAAACTCACTATTTGCTCGTTATACCACTCCACATCGAAGTCATCCGGTTTCTCATTCAACTGACGTGTGAGTTTGTTTATCATTTGCTGGATTTTAGTCGCTTCTTGTCTATAGCCTTGCCCGCCCTCTTTTTCGGCATTAATTTCATCGTCAAATCCCTTTATCTCCCGCTCATATTGTTCGATTGTTCGGCCAGCGTCGGAAGCCGCACGCTCGGCTTCCTCTAGACGACGCGTTTTATACTTGATCACCTCGTCCGTTTCGAGACAATATTGTTGCTTCGCATTGACAGATCTCAACGCAGGCTCAAGATCCCCCTTGAGCTGCGCCAGTTCGCGCTCGATTCTTTTGACTTCCCTTCTCATAGTGTTATATCTCTCATGTCCCTGCTTGTACTGCAGGACAGGGCGTGCTACCTCCAACATTTCGATTTTCCTTTTAATCTGAGCCCTCTGGCGCATCCGCTCAACGTCGGCTCTCTGCATTTCTTGCCGATCCTCAAGGTTTGTCAATAGATCACGGTCACCTTGGTTGTCCGCTTGCAGTTTCTTCTGCTCCGCTCTCAAGCGCTTCAGGTTCTCATGCCATTCGATCATCTCCTCGCCAGCGGCGGCTCTTTGTGTCGAATTGAGCAATTCAATCGGCGTAAGAGCTGCGAACTCGGCAACTTTATCCTGGGGAAGGAATTGACACAGGTTATCAATTTGGATAGAGAATGATTGTGCTAGCTTCAGCACCTGGGAGCGGGAAGCCTGTTTCCCGTTGATCGTGAACGTGCTTTTATTGCCGTCACGCTTGATGGTTCTAGAAACGACAGGGTTGTGCCGAGAACCCGGCTTTCCGGCCAGCTCGATCTCGATCGTAGCTTCTCTACAGCCATGCTTGACGAACTCCCCGGTGTCTTTTGCACGTCCGAGATGCTAGATGGAAGACCTGTTAGGGCACGTGCTATACTGTATACGAGAGATTACCGTACCTGTGGACCCCATCCTAAACCTAGACATATCGCACAGACAAGGGTACTCTTTCCGGTACCATTCGGACCAATAACCATATTCAGCTTTGGGCCAGGGAAGAATTCCGCAGACGTGTAGGTTACGAAATCCGTCACTCTGATACGCACAATAGCACCTGGCTTATACGCTTCCTGCGGCCCTCCGTAAAGCAGGCCACTCTGCGATAAAGTCGATTCTGTTCCCGCAGATTGGGTGCTATGATGCTTGCTAGAACCGGACCCTGCTGCGTTTGACGCGACGTATTCATCGGTGTCACGGTCAGCGCTCTCTGAATCTGCACTATCGCTATCTTGATCGTCTTCAGTACCCTCATGAGCATTTCCCGTCTGGGTGATTCCCTTCTGCGAGGCATGTCGGGTCACTGTCGACTCTGCAGTTGCAGCACCGGCGTTGCTCTTGTTCGAAAGCCTAGAGCCTGTCGACTTCGCAGGATGATATCTTTCCGTTTCGTTCCCGCTGCCTTCAGACTCTTCAGGATCCTGATCGTTCCCTTCTTGTGATACATCGTCCAGTGTTCCTATCGCCTCTGCAGCTCCCGCTTGGGCCTCGTTATCGTTCAAGGTCCCATCCCTTGCGGACTCGTAATTTCCATCGGTTGTCTCCTCAGATTCTTCTGTATCTTCGTCCTGGCTGTTCGTAGACTCACTGCCTTGTCCGTCTTCCACCACTTCCTCTTGTAGCTCCTCATCCTGGGTGTCCTGGCCTTCGTCTGAACCCTCACCCAGTTCCTCTGACCCCTGATACCCCAAATGATGATCATCCACTTCCTCTTCAACCTCTACCACCGCATCCTCCACATCAGGCTCCTCAGTACTTAATCGGAGCCGTTTACTATCCCCCGAGCGATGCGACGACGTGCGCGAACTCCTCATCGGCCTAGAAGACGCTCTCTCACTAACACCACTCACATCGTCATGATCGCCGTCATCAGACCGGCGCCGTCGGCGAGGGATCGACCCCCGAGAAGACATCTTGAATAAATCGAGTCGCGCAACAACGCATACACATCAGCTCACCAGCGCATCGACATTGGTAGTGGATGGATTTCGGAAGGATGAACGGGGTCTGGTCGAAGGCGATGCAAGCGGGCGGAGTCCTGAATGAAACTCCAAGAGATGGATAGATAAAGAACACCCCAAAGGTAGTATAAAGGTTATCAAATCCCCAAAGTAAACGCGGCTCACGCGTGATTTGACGCGATGGGCGGGACAAAGGGAAATACACTCAATCTAACCCCTTTTGGGTTAGGCGGGGATGGGTGGCAGTTTCAAGTGGTCCGCCGCGGAGCTTCGGAGTTGCTGCTACTTTGTTTCTATTTCAATTTCGGAGAAGGCCAAGTCTTGGGCGGTTGTTCTTTTTGTGATCTCTTTTTCTTTCTCAGAAGTTACCATTCATGGCATCGAATCAGAAGGTTCGCCGGATTGTCCTTACGGGCGCTGTCACGGTCATAACTATTGCTGGGTCGCTTTACGGTGCTGGCATTAAGACCGGGCAACAGGTTACTCAGGTAATATTCTCCAGCCATTACGTTAGCGGTTATTGGCTTTTACATTTGGTTCTATGGGAAATTATAAGCGCTGATACGGTGGTCATGGTATATAGCAAGCCAAAAAGTCCCAAGAGGTCACCATTGATGACCGAATCGACGGCCTCCGAAGCATGCGACAGAATCTGGTATCGAAGAAGGAGCTCGTCGAAAAGCAGCTCCGCGACCTGGACGTGAAGATCGAGGAAAGGAAGTTGAAGAATATGGACGGGCCAAAGAGGGAGCCACCGAATTATAAGTAATAAGGGGTGCAATTCTCCTTGAGCTGTTCAGGTGTAAAGCGGGCAGGTAGGTGGTTCATGAAACCGGGCTGTCAAGGAATCGGTCTAGATGCTCATTGTGGTGTTCTTAGAGGATGCGGATCTGCACCGCCTTCTTTTCAGAAAGCCGCTTTCACCTTTGAACTCCCTGCGCTGGTTGGCTCTGCTATGTCGTGTCGGTAATGCACCTCGCTCGCTAGCCCAGGGAAGAGCAGCCCCTTCCAAAGCTACATGCTCGCGTCCGGGGACAGAAAAATGTGAGGTCTTCGCTTCGTCGGCATTGATCACCCGCTGCGCTTGGTGACGATAGACGACGAGCTTCTAGCAGAGCTGTGCAGAAGCGGCTGTCCCAAGTCGCTGGGTTCGGCTAGGAAGAGTGGGTCATACTGCTCACCACCCTCGCCCAATTCCTGCGTGGCGAGACTCGTTCGTGATATCATGTTTGGACGCTTGCACACCAAATACTGTATGGAACCAAAGTGGTTCAATGGTCTCACGGTGGCTTGGTACATTCTACCATCTACGAAGTGACACTGCCAGTACCATGAGTACTAAACATTGATAATCAATGCCACCAACAATGCACCGGCATGACCGTTCGAGAGCAGGTTGTATGAAGCTGACAGAAATCTATGAATTTATATGATATTTCATCCCAAGTGCCAGTAAATCGCGCCAAAGCCCAAAATATACACCAATAGATAGACCGCTAAACCAGATGAGCAAAATTCCAAGCGAATATATCATGCATCCAAAATACCTCGCGCAAGAGCAGCGAGACTCGCTTCGTATCTCGCTGGATTATGGTCGCTGAACATGCCCGAGCCGAACTTAAGTTCTCCGAATAATGCTTCAGTATCTCGAATAAACTTCAATTGCACTCTTGTTGCGGGCCGACCTAGCAATGGATAGCCATCCTTGTCCATCTCTGAAGTAAAAGCATTCCGCTGGAGCACACGCATCGTCTCAACCACGAATACCTCTCCCGGCGGCATCAGCTTTGGAGCACGCATTTCGTCTCTAAGCATCTTCAAAGTATCCCAGGCCCAGGCATCTTCCCCGACGTCGTTCCCGGCGTGTGTAAGAATTGGCGGTTCATTGACGTAGAATTTGTTGACTATACTTTGCCTCAAGCCTTCCCAAACGCGGAACCGCACGTGAGACTTGGCATTAGAGACATCGCTTTTGAATGCTAGGGATGCCGTGTGCATGTCATGCAAAATGCCTAGTGAGAGACTAGGCACTACATCTTGACCATTGACAACTGTTGTTATCAGGCCGCGCGTTGCACGACGTAAGAAGGGGGACATAGTCGAGGGAGGGCCGTACGCATAGACATGTATCGGTCTTCCAGGAGGAAGGGAAAGGGCTGCGCTGCTATGACGCTCATTGTCTCCAGTCAGACGCAGGTTTCCTTTTGCAGATTGGTAGGAGGTAGTAGTGAATGAAGTTCCGGAACTATCGTTGTTTGGCTCTGAGATCATTGTTGCCAGGAGTGCAGCGACGCCCCCTCCCAGTGAGTGACCGCAGAACACCACACCATAATCCGGGAATTCCTCCAGGGCCGCCCGAATTGTGATCATAACTCTGCTGCTTCCACCCATTAATAGCCGTTTTGCAGAGGCATGCATACCCTTGTGGACTTTCCAACTTCTACCTTGCCATTCGAGATCATCGTAGTCACATGTCATGTCCGTCAGGATGTCTTCAAAGCCCCATGTCCCTCTTAGGGTAAGAACTACCGCCTTAGACTCATGGTCCACGAAAAGGTAATGGACTAGAGGAAAGCCACTCTCTGTCTCCCCAGCAGCATTAGTCCCACCTGCAGGGTCCACATAGGATGATAACAGAATTGTAGAAGCTGGTAGGCCTGCATGGTCCGAGAACTCGCTGTGCTCGGGACTGTATGATTCTTGGTAAGGAAGAACCTGCGTGGTCCGTGGGATACCCATAACTTTGAGTGCGCTCGAACCATAAGAAGCTGAAGAGAAGCGACAGAAACGTCTGATGTTGTGCACAAAGTGCTTTTCCGGAAAAATGCCGGGCACGGTACCGTCCCGGTTGAGCGCACGAATTGTTTCAATGTCGTCGTATGCACTTTTGCGCGCACGGTGAGCCAAGATAAGTGATGTTTCAGAGCCCGCAGTTGCTAACGAATATAGACTTGGGGAAAATGAACCAGACTGCCGGTAGAATACAGGCGATCCCGGTCGGGAATCGTCGTTCAGAGATATCGCCACATCGCTTTCTGACCTGGTTAAGGACATAGAGCTGCTGCTACGTACGTGAGCCCTCCTTGGAGTTGGTGTTCCCGGTCGTAGGTCCAGCGATTGCCGAGTATAAGCATCCGTCTGTGCCATGAATGACTCATTATTCTTCTCATGTATCGTATAGTTGTCTGTTCTGGGATTTCTTCCGTGGCTAGTATCATGGGATGGGCATGATGTAGGAGTCGGGGCGGATTTCATTCGGTGTCCTTGCAATGGTATCCTCGGTAAGCCTCTATTTGCCACGGATGCTGAAGACCCGCGATTGTGCGGTACCGATGAGTTGTCGAGCTTCTTTGTGGGATTGGAATGTTTTGGTGCTTTTCCGCGCTGACGTAGGTTCTCCGACGAAGAAGGCGTCTTTGGCTTTTCGACAACCGACCCGGAGACCTTACTAGGATCTTTTTCGTTCGAGTATATAGGTTTCTTCTTCGGGGTGAGCTTCGACAGTGTAGCCTTCTCATGAGTGTCCCTAGACATGTAATTTGCCTGCTTCTTCGGGGAGATGAGTTGCGGTTTCCTTACACTGGGCTCAACACCAACGTGTCTGTCTGCGCAAAGAATGCCATGTGATGGGTTGTCGGCATTCGAAATCCCATCCCCAGTATTTCCCAGTAATTGATGCTCGCTTAGGTCCTCCATACCACTGTCAACACGATTCACTGCCGTATCAGATCTGGAAGGCCTCACATCGGAGCTTCGGGTACTATTGAAAGCTGTGCGGAATACAACAGTATGTTTAGGAACCTGTGATCTGTTTGTGTGGCTATGATCGAGCTCATCACCGAAAGTCTCCTTGACTATCATTGTGCCTGGTGGTGGGGAGATTGGTGCAGTGGCGTCGTCGTAAACTTCCACTGTAATCGTACGTGCTGTGACCAGATCCGTCCTGATAGATGCACGGCAACCCTGGGGAAGTTGCTTCATAATGTATAAGCGGATGTCTTCGTCTGACACTTGATGTTGATCTCCAGGAGGAAGCGAGAGGTATGGGAATTCATCGGAATCGATCGTACTTGCAGGTCTTCGTACAGCATCGAATACCTCTTCATCATTTCCAGGCGATATGAACGATGAGAGATTCATATTATCGTGTGGCTGATCATAAGAAATAGTCGCCATTTCTAGTTCGTGTGAACCAACAACATCTGCCCTCAGCCCATTATCTAAGATAACAACATCCCAGACTGTTTCCTCCCCATTGTTTGCGCGGAGGTGTCTTTGCGTGTTTGTCCTTCCCCAGCGTTGCAGGAGTGCAAACCCAACACATCCAACGAGGAGATCGCCCACGCCAATCTTGTCAGTGCCAAGGTCGGCATGCGGACTCCTGAATTCCCTCCTAATGAGAGTAATGATGGCAGCAATCGCCCTCGACGACTCCGTAGAGCCAAGGATAGCGTCGAGGGTAGACAAAAGAGACTGAGACATGTTGGCAGCAGAAGATAGCGTGGTTGAGGAAAGATTAAATGACGCAGCTGCAAAGAATGATGCAGACGTGACTGTCTTGTGCAAAATGGCCAACTAGGTGCTGGGTTAGCCTTGAGAAGATGCGAGGTTAGTATCAAGGTGAGAACTCACGCTTCGTTCTAGTAAAGACTCTGCTTCTGCCTTGCCATGCTCTCCGCTGGACCTGATAGCGACGTCACGCCCAGCTCGAGTCAGTATGCCTTCGATCATAGCTCTACTTAGTTCGAGCCCTGTTAACGTCGTCGCTTTCGCACTGTCAAGCGCAAGACCCCCAACAAACGTCCCCAGCCGAAGAGAGAGGGAAGTCGACTGCGTCATGAACGACACCATGGACGCCAGGGGACGCGGGAGGAGAGGTAAGCCCGAAGTGGCAGGAACATGAGCGGCGCCATTGTCACGGAGGACATCTACTTGCGTTTGTTCTTCGACATCCTGCTTCTTCGCCCTCCCGAAGCCAAAGAATCTAGACATCTCAGGGCCTCAGGTATTGGTTGAGACTGTCTTGGTTTCCATTAGGCGGATGTTGTGCAGCCATGAGGCACTGGTCTCAAGTCAGAGACGGAGAACAGAGGTAGAGGTACAAATCCGAAGAATACTGGCTGATAAGAGATGCCCGACCAGATCAGCGGTTGAACGTAGCAGTCAAAGTCTGGTTCCTGCAGTGGTTGACCGGCAGACAGAAATGTAGATCAGCAGCCGGTGGCGACGAATAATCAACCACTCATTAGGGGCTGCGGTTGAGAGCCGGCATGTGATTTTGCGGGATCGCCCCAACAAAACTTGGGTCGTCGGCTTCATCTTCGGGCAGAATCCACCCCTACGCGACTAACTCATTATAGACACTGGTAGTTGTTTCTTCTTCCTCTGTGTGGAGCTCGCAACGCGAATACATTATCGCGAAGCAAGTATACAAGTTTCAAGATTTGGTGCTACCCCACAGGCTCCAGTTTCCCCTCATTCCTTCCCCAAACTCCGTCATCAGATCTTCTCCTGAATTGGGCATCTTCACGTTGCCGGCCAATAATATGCTACATGTCACAACATTGCCTTCCCATCTCCAGGGTACACAACTTTTCTGATCTTGTCGCGGGTGCACTCGGCCACGGTACGTATCCCTGACAGACTCATAGTCTGCCAGAGATCCGCCAAAAGTCCCTTCATCACGGCTTCAGCCCCATTTTTTCCATCGATTGCCAACCCATAGATCACGGGCCTACCAACCAAGACAGCATCCGCTCCCAGACAAAGCGCTTTGATGATATCTGCTCCAGTGCGAACCCCTGAATCAAACAGGACTGTCATCTTGCCACCAACAGCATCAACTATCTCAGGGAGAACTTCGAGGGAGCCGATCGCACCATCAACCTGTCGACCTGTATACATATTAATACAGAGAAGCCTCGCTGGAGAGTGGCTGCCACATACCTCCATGGTTTGAAACGACAATACCGTCACATCCGGCCTCAAGGGCAAGCTTCGCATCATCTACATGCTGAATGCCCTTGAGCACAAGTGGACCATCCCAATTCTTTCGCAAAAATGCAATTTGCTCCCACGCATGTGGCTGACCATAGAATACCTGGGAAATCCATGCCTTGGATGCCCCCACGATGTCCTCTTCTACTGTCGAACCGGATTCCTTCTCAAATTTCGAACGGAACACGGGATCCGTGAAACCGAGTGTGTTGCCGACGCCCCGTATGAACGGAACGTAGGCATTGTCCAGGTCCGCTGGTCGCCAAGCGAGCGACCAAGTGTCTAGGGAACTACCAGGACGGAGAACCCATTGTCTTTGGCGCGTTTCAGCAATGATAGCGTAATATCATCGTCGCGCGGCCAGTAAAGTTGGAACCATCTTTTACCGTCTCCATTTGCCTGTGCAACCTCCTCAATCGAGCTGCTACTCGCGGTGCTCAGGATATACGGGATCCCGACATTCCCGCAAGCTTCTGCAAGGCCAGACTCCTTATCATCATGAAATATAGACTGGACGCCGACCGGCGCCATGAGAAGAGGGGTTGGATAGTGCTGGCCGAAAAGGTTTACCGCGAGGTTCTGATCATTCATCTACGCGGACACAACCATTGGTCAGCGCTGGGACTTGGGAAAGCGACTGAAGTCTACTAACCGGTTTCAGCATCCGCGGGATTCTTTTCATTTCATCAAGCGTTATACGCGTCAGTCTTCCGACTCTACATCGCAATATCGCGGCGGAAACGACTCAACTCACAGCTTCCATTGTCGAAAAGCCAGTCGATTGCTATCCATTGTAGCCTTCTCTCCAGCACCGCCAGCCACATAGTTGAAGCTACGAGCGCCCAAGGCCTTCTTTGCCTGTTTTTCAAGTAAGCGAGGGTCGGTAGTGACATTAGGCAGGACGCCTGTCAATGCTCCTCGGCCATAGATGTCAGTTTGATAGTCGCCGTAGTTCTCCGACATATTGCGTGTGAAAATATTTAATAATGCCTTTCGATTTCAGGATTTTTACATGAAAGAACAGATGCTGACAGCAAAAGGTAACTCTATAATCAGCCCCCTCACGGATAGACTTGTACCTCATGCAGCCGGCACGTGAACCAGCCATGCCTCGGGATCCTGATCATTACCCGATATGGGATTGCGGCTGACGTCATGGCCACCGGTACCTTGATGCAAGGTAACTAGTTTATTCAATGACCATGTGGAAGAAATATCAATTCGATTTAGAGTATATCTACCGCTTAACCTCAAATAGTAAAACCAACAGACACAAGATGCTACCACATGTAGGAACAAGACGTTAATTCCACGTCGAAGTAATATTGTGAACATCAACGCGGACGTCCTCAGTAGCTCCACCAGTAGACACCAGGCGGGCGTGAACCGCATCATTGCTAGGAAAGATCTGAGCCGTCAAAGTCGTCTCACCTTGGCCTCCGAATACCTCGACGCTGGACCTGTCGACGAAGATACTCAACCTCACCATGCCAGTGCTATCCGGCACCAAGGGTCCATGATAGACGCTCGCGAAGGTGTTATCAAATGACACATCCCCTGACTTGGTCCGGTCGAGGAAGATTTGCTGCTTGGCGAAGTCGTAGCCAGCAAGGGTCTGCTCGGTGAAGTTGGCGGAGGCTCGGAGGGCGATTGCAAATGTTGAGGCCTTCGACGTAGCAGAGAAGCTCAGATCTACCCTGAACGTTTCTCCAGTCGTGCTTGCGTTGGTGGAACCTTCAGAGAAGGTACTGTAGGTGCGCGAATAGAGCGGATGCTTGCTCGAGATGGAAGACCACGCTTCCTGGGGCTGCTGGACTAGCGTCGTTTTGTTGTTGATGGTCTTCAGAGCCAGGTGGCGAGGAATGGCCATGGCGCTGCGCCAGGGGTAGGTGGGGATGTTCGCACCATACTGCCAGTTGTTCATCCAGCCGATATGGACGTGGTCTTTAATTGAGAGGCCGTTGTAGCCAGCCGCGGCATAGAAGTCCGGGCCCCAGTCCATCCAGTTGGCGGTTGAGTTACCCGGGTATACCGTATCGGCGTCAGGTGTGAATGTGGTTCCGTCGAACTCGCCCACAAAGTACTGGGTTCCAGAGCCGACGGTGCCTGGAGGACCACCGGGGTTCAGTCCGCTCGTGATAACCCATTTTGTTGAGCTTCCCCCGTCAAGGGGTAGCTTGAAAAGTCCGGGGCACTCCCATACGCCGCCTTGCGCGTTGTAAGGACCGAATTCGCTCACTAGCTTCCAGTCTTTGAGGTTGTCAGATGTATAGATTGCAAGCTTGTGCAGTTCGGCTATACTTGTAACGACAACCCATTTATGGGACTCGTCGTGCCAGAACACAAAGGGGTCTCGGAAGTTCTGGTATTGAGCTTGGTAGGGCTGGGGAGGGTTGGGGATGACTGGGTTGGCGGCATCGTATGTCGTCCATGTTAGACCGTCATCAAGACTGTAGGCGATGGATTGTGATTGCTGGTCCTCTTGGACGGTTTGGCCACTCGGCAATGTCTGCGCAACGGGGTACTATGAAATTACTGTTAGTGATATGCACTCCAGGAGATGGTTCGGTGATGGGGCAAGTACATAGGAAGTATACATGGCAACTAGAGGCGTCTTGCCGTCCTTTCCGAAGCCACTGGTGTTATTGACATCGGCAACAGCACTTCCGCTGAAGTACATCTCGGTGACATCGCTGCCGTATCCTCGGGCCAGAAGGGCAACGGGCTGCTCCTCCCAGTGGGTGAGATCCTCACTGGTAGCATGCCCCCATGATATGTTGCCCCACTCGATACCACCAGGATTGTACTGGAAGAATAGATGGTAGGTTCCATTATGATACAAAAGCCCATTGGGATCATTCATCCAGTTCTTCTGGGGTGAAAAATGGTATTGACCACGGTAAGGCTGGTCATAGTTGAAGGCATGAGCGATGCCCGCCAACGCACAAACAGTAACGGCCTTCAAAAGACGAGCCATTGCTAATGAGCCCTTTGAGAAATCGCGCTGTGACTGAAGATGATTTCTGAAGATTGAGACATTGGATGACCGGGTTTATATGTGCGCCAGTGGACTCCTCAAGTCTGTCGTTCAATGGGGTGGGGGTCTGCAATAATGCGCCCAGATATACAAACTTCTACGTTTTGACGCCGAATCGAAGTTTAATGCCTCATCTTCGTATCTGGCCCATATTTTCCGTAAACACGCACTGGCTTCCTGTTTCTTGAACTTGAATTTCCTCTCCCTTTCCGTCCACATATATGCTATCGAGTGACTCAATTGTACTTGTGCAATCAGCCCCGGTTGTGTTTCTTACAAATCCGGGGTGCGTCTTTGAAGAAATGCGGTTATCCAACGTCGATGTATCATTCCCCGCGTGGGGTGTTGTTGACATCGTCCGAACACGGACCTCATTCGGGATTGAGCGGATAGCTGCTCCTTGACCAAAAATCGGCCCACCGGCCTACGCTTTCTCGGTGAAATTTCAACGTTTGTTCGGTGAAATTGACTAGATACTGCGGAGTATAGCATCGGTATACCCCTGGTTTCCACTCCACAGTCCCTTCAATTGGCCCCGGACTGCGGGGCTTTGCCGAGTGCGGAGAAACATCGGGGACAGCGTTATTCAGGCCCAATCAGAGTCGGCAGAGTAAGCCGGTGTAGATGTTGCAGGACTGAGAACATTTAAGCGAATACCCTTACATGAAGTAGTTTCTGTTCGTATATTCGTAAAGGCAGTTGTAAGAGGGGTCTCATGGCGGGGTTAGAGTCTTAGACTTCTGTGGATGGCGTTGGAAAACACCATCCCCACTCAGTCATGTCAGTGAATACTATGTAAGCAGTTGCTTGAAAAAGACAATCGAAACTGCACAAAATGCTCTCTACTTCATTTCATAGACTCCAGTCCGCGCAATGGCTGGCATATAACAAGCAGAAAAAGAAGCTAGATCAAGATTACATTCAGTTGTTATACACAGTGTCGGCTCCTGGAGGCTAGTTGATTTTAGGCCCAAAGTACGGCATGGCCCCAACAATGAAATTGTGGGCTGCTTTTGATGATTGGAGGTGAATAAATACCTCAATCAAATAAGAATACTTTTGGCGAGAACCCCACTGATCATAACATCACACCCTTAACTACTTCACCTAATCCGGAGGCGATATCGGACTATCCAGGAGCTGTGCAAGCAAAGAAGGATGGGTAAGCCGATAGCAAGTTGCCCGTGAGTACACCCTGTATGTCCCTCAAAAGCGATGGCATACCATTATCAAGGCCAACAATAACATCTGCTGATTGATATGACGCACGCATCTGTCCACGTATCTATGCTGAATGATAAGACAGGACGAATCAGAAGTAGATTGAAAGTGGGACGGCCATATGTGGAAGTTCTTCATCATGGTAAGTAGAAGAGCAGCGCTTCTTAGCTGGTTCAACGTTATATCTCAATAAGAACAGAACTTTCCCAATACACTGTCCGTGTGATGGGAAGGTGCAGTATTCTGGTTATATATAGGGAAAGGAATCTTGCGAAGGCTAGTATATGGAGTATAATCGAGCGCGGAAGCATGAAGGACAGAGCCGGGCGCATATCTGGTCGCCTGGGAGCTGCCCCGACAACTGAAGGGTGGTGTTCTCATGACATGTAGCTGCCCTCTTCTTGATTCGATATGCATAGTGTACGACCTAAGATCTTGAAGATAGCCTCTTCTGCTGCAAAGCCCGTGTCTAGAAGCGTCTCCTTAATGTGTCGCGGTATGCTCTAAGTGGATCCCTACCGGCAGTTCAGTCTGACGGCCATCGCTCCATCTAGGAGAGCCTATCCAGCGCGAGCAACTGTACGAATACACCAATGGTCGGTTTTTAGTCAATGAAAAGCATGAGATGTCGAAACGATATGCCAGATTTGATCTGGATGCTCTTTGTGCACTTGTCTCGGATTTGCCACATGTTTCTTCGCCCATCTCTAGGATTGACAAAATGGAGGGTGGGTTCAACAAGGCCTTGCTAATGACTGCGGAAAATGGGAAAGAAGTTATCGCAAGGTTACCATGTCCCAAGGTTATTCCCCCAAAATATAGCACCGCATCCGAAGCAGCTGTTTTGGAATATGGTAAAGTTGGTCCGTTCCGCTTCCGAAATTGGATATGCTGACCTGGATTCCTCCAGTGAGGTCTCGTACCTCTGTTCCAGTGTGCAAGGTCCTCGAGTGGAGCTCTGACTCCTCAAATCCACTTGGTTCCGAGTATATTCTAATGGAGAAAGCCCACGGGAAGCAGCTGGTCGATGTATGGGGCGAAATGAATCAGCTGCAGCAGTTCCGGCTTGTTCAATGCCTGGTCCGGCTTGAAAGTCAGTTGGCGGCGTTGGAGTTTCCGGCATATGGAAACTTGTATTTTCGCTGTCTGGGTCCCCAGGACTCGGTCAGAACTGTTCCAATAGACGACGAATATTGTGTTGGCCCGGCATATAGTGCGTCGTGGTTTCCACAGCTGGGCGAGGGACTTCATACAGGCCCATGTATGTCACCAGCCAACACCATTGGAACCACTTGCTAAAACTACGTTCTTAAAGGGCAGGGGCTTATGGACCTTGGTATTGGGTTGACCAGTCGGGGTCTTGCGCACCTGCAACAGTCGTCGCTTGCTCCTCGTAGACCCCATTTCGGCACCAAATCCGAGCACTTCGAAATCTTGACAAAGGTTAGGGAGACAATGCTACACTTGGGGAATTTCACCCCACTACAGAAGCTCTCTAAGCCGACACTGTGGCATAACGATCTTCACCTGGGCAATATATACGTTTCCGAAGAGGATCCAACAGCTATAGTCAACATAATCGATTGGCAATTTACCTCGATTATGCCCGCTTTCATGCAAGTTCAATGGCCTTCTTTCCTTGCCCCACCTGATGGTTATGAAGCTGGTACTGTCAAGCCGGAACTACCTCCAATCTTTGAAGAAATGGACGCGGATGAGAAAGCCTTTGCTATCACCGAGAGGGATCGAGCTTTACTCTCAAAATGCTACGAAGCAGCTCTGGTCAAAAACCATATGCCATCGTACTTGGCTATGACTCGGGTTGACTCCGCTGTCCGATACCTTTTCTCATTCGCAGAAGACACGACTAAGGATGGAATTGTTCCGCTTCGTGATTGCTTGACTCAAATCGCTGAACACTGGAACGAAATGGGAATCACCGAGCAGTGTCCTTATCATATTACCGATGAAGCATTATCAAAGCATGGATTGGAGCTTGCGCGGTACAATGATTGGCTGACACTGAAAGGTTATACACAGGAACTGTTGCACTCAGATGATGAGGGCTGGGTTTCCCCTCAACTCGATTTTGAAAAGGTCCAAGCAAGACATGCTGAACTCTTCGAGCTATACATTGAGAGAGAAACCGAAGACATAACTGAGGAAGAGGCAAAAAGGCTTTGGTTTTATATAGAAGATTCTTAACGGGACTCCAAAGGCGACACTGTGCCTTAAATGTGTCATTGGATGCTATGGCTTTGCTGCTTGGCTCAGGTCCAAGCAGTGGCCGTTTGAAAGACCTATCTTAACGCGTCAGATGATTGTTGCGATTGTTGCGGTCCATCAATTGATCATATCTGTCAACCCAAATTATCCTTCGCCTGCTTCTCAACGTCTTTCCATATCTCATCAGAAACGGTTGACATCCTTTCTTTCGGCTCATTGACATTGATGGCCACAAAAGTCAGATTCCCATGACTGGAGTTCTTTTCCCTCCACTTTTGGAGCGACTCGTTGGTGGCCTCTGAGTTTACTTAAATGCAAACCCATTTTCTTGCCATCCTTCACCTCTTCCGCGTCCAAGCGCAGTTGCCAGTTCTTGTCTTTGTTACCGCTCTTGGGAGGCGCAATGTGAGCTTTGGGAGAATGGGTCTTCCATAGCTTGCTCACCTGGCCTTCCCGGACCATCATATTCTTAAACTCTTTGAGTGCCTTCGACATATGAAGTCTGAGGGAACGGCCAACAAAGAAGATCACCGAATACAAGGAGTATGAGGAGGAGGAAAGAAGACTTGAGGTTGCGAATACTTCTCCCTATGGTCTTTCGTCTCCCTTTCAAGGCTTTCTGAAACAGAGACCCTCAAAACTCCTGTCACTTGAACCTCCTGGCCCAAATACATGCGAAGCCAATAAGACCTCGCTCCTCGCACACCACTAACTTACCGTCAATGTTTAACTTGCCCTAAACGCCTTGGTGTTTCGGATCATGGAAATATCGCAGGGGCTCTCAAGACCCCTCCACTAAGGGTTGCTAAAGCGAGCATGGAGTTGGCCAATCAATGAAGACACTGCTATCAATGCACGTCTTTTGTGCCCAGACAACGCCATTGAACCAAGTTCGCGTCCGATGTTCATTTGCAGCTTGTAGCCAATGAGCAGGGAAACGTCAGCAAAGGAATGAGACAGCATCGTCCTCTCCTGTTCGGGTTTCTATTTCGGCTTATAACTAGCGAAGTTAGTCACTCCTGAACGGCTATATATTTCTGCTCATTTGTTAAACAGAAGCCGTACTTCAGTCTAGTGTCCTTCCTTTATAATTTGTACACGCTACCCCAGGCTCTTCCTGAGCCGCATTTGTTCTTCCACCCATCTTATTGGCCCTGTCTGGGGCGATAGATGGACTCCCTTCACGCTGTAAGCGCTGAGTTCTAGGCATCGCTATTATACAGTGCGCACTGTTCATTTCTGCCCGGATAGTAATAAATTATTCATATGGATCACGTAGATTTGCTGTACAGTGTGGAGGGAAATGTTCATCCGCGGCACAGTGGTAGTTAACTCTAAAGGCAGTCATATCATTGTGAAGTCAGCCATTGCTTTGCTGACCCACAACCTGGTGGGCTAGTTTCGTGGTTGACTGTTTGCATTAAAGCATATTCCCAGATTACTTCTTCATGTTTGGCTATCGAGTAGATCCGCTCTGTTGTGCTGTTGTGTTTGCGCACGATAGAGTTTCTCGTCATCTCTATGCCTTGTTTTTAACATGATCTGCATGCGGACGTGTGCTCCAGCGGAGCTATATCCGCACGGTTCAGTAGCTGACAACGACGAGTCCCTCGAAATGGTAAGCTGTGGCGAGCTGAAACCTATAACTTTCCCAATCTTGTATCTCGAACCATTCATTTGGAGCGTATCTCGAGAGAAGGTTGTGGGTTGCAGGAGGAAAGAGCCGTAAAGACTAACTCAAAACCCGCCGGGCTGGAACCTTGGCGAACCTTGGCCACCCACCAGATCGCCACCATTTTTTTGCTTCAATAATCCCCCGCCTCACTTGCATTGTGGTTGGTAATTCTGGGCTTATACGAGTTGTGTCTTCTAATTGCCATGTGGACTATGGATCTAGTTGAATCTTGAAGCATTGATCTGCTGTATTGCCCACGGGAAGTTGGGACCGAATCTTGGCCCGTGTGCAGGCCCTGTACAAGGTTAGATGACGAAATTGACTCCGACAGCAATGATGGAATACCCAGGAGAACAGAAGCCAGACTATAGATCCCCAACTCAGTTTGGGGGCTCGATGGATGAGGGTGACAGCAACGATTCGGCTCTCTCGTTACTGGATGAGAAAAGAGAGAAGCATTTAATTCGCAAGATCGACCTACATATCATACCCTTTGTTGTTCTTCTTTACCTGTTTAGCTTTCTTGACAGAGGTATGTCTTCCTACCTCCAGACGATGACAATTCGAATGGTTGGCACACTCGCTAACAAGCCCTAGTTAACATTGGCAATGCGCGCCTATACGGAATGGAAGAAGACCTGGGTCTCGTTGGAGATCAATATCAGGTGGCCGTGTCTATTTTATTTGTGACTTACTGTGTATGTCTGGATTCGCATACAAGCATGGTTTCGACGCAACGTCTAATGCTGTATAGCTCTTCGAAGTACCGTCAAACTTGGTTATCAAGAAGCTTAGGCCGTCACGCTACATTGCGACGATATCAGTTCTGTGGGGTATCATAGCGACCCTCACAGGTATAACCCAGAATTACGGAGGCTTGATTGCCTGTCGCATCCTTTTGGGTTAGTTAGGGCCCGCGGGTCAACAATGAGAACCCAAGCTAACAAATATAGGCGTCGTGGAAGCCGGACTGTTTCCTGGGATGGTAACCTATCTCACCATTTTCTACAGCAAGCGTGAAATAGCACTGCGCACAGGATATCTATTTAGCAGTGCAGCCGCTGCTGGCGCATTTGGCGGGCTTTTAGCCTACGGTATCGGCTTTATGGACGGTGTCGCCGGTTTACGAGGTTGGAGATGGATCATGATCATCGAGGGCATTCCAACGGTCATACTAGGCGTCCTATCCTGGTTTTTTCTTGCAGACGACCTTGATACAGCCTATTATCTCGACGATGAGGAGAAGGCCCTAGTAGTTCGTCTCCGTCGTCGCGATGTGGGCCAAACATCATCCGCCCAGAAGTTCCATTGGGCAGACGTCAAAGAAGGTGCGCTGGACTGGAGAATTTATGCCTTCTGCATTGCTCAATTTGGTGTCGATACTATGCTTTACGGGTATAGTACCTTCCTCCCCACGATTATCCAGGGGATGGGGTCCTGGTCAACACCCGAGGTGCAAGCTCTTACGATTCCTTGCTATGCGGTGGGCGCAATAAGTTATCTGATAATTGCTTGGGCGAGCGATCGAACTCAGCGTCGCGGAGTATTTACTTGCATCTTTGCCGCAATATCAGTGGTTGGGTATGGAATCCTGATATCGGATTCTTCGTCCGGAGTACATTACTTCGGCGCCCTGCTTATTGCGCTGGGATTATACGTCGCAGTCGGATTACCTCTCGCATGGCTCCCGACTACACTTCCTCGTTATGGAAAGCGTACATTCGCTACAGGTCTGCAACTCACTTTCGGCAACGTCAGTGGCGTCATGTCTCCTTTCTTATACAAAACGAATGAAGCGCCGCGTTATGTTCGGGGAAATGCGGTGACTCTATCGCTGGTTGGATTTGCAGGTATTGTGTATGGTCTTATGTGGTGGTATTATTATGGGAAGAATAAGCGCAGGGAGCAGGGACTCGAAGATGAGAAGATTGTCGGGATGTCAGAGGAAGAGATTGAGGAGATGGGAGACAGAAATCCTCGCTTCAGATATAGTACCTAAGACGTTGCGCAAGCAAGTCTTCATAATGCAAACAGATCTTGGTGTTTCCATGGCTGTGGGATACAGGATATAGTACATCGTTTGTTTCTTGGTATTGATAAGCCGTCTGTCGATCATCGACATTAACTGTAATATATCTCTTTTCAGATCTCAATATGAACTGAATGCATCTGCTCATGACGTCGGGAGGCCGTGTCCCTCTCGCTTAGCTCTCTGTCATTATTCTCTTTTCACTGCAGTGGCAAGAATCCTTTATTATGACTATAATCTGTCGCGCAGTACAAACTGTCGTGACTCTGTCGTCCCGCTGGCTTGTGGTGCAAGCTGGAGGGTCCGGTTCCGAAGTCCATGCATAGAACAACATGATGACTGGAAACTTCACCACCACCTGGGCGGATATTGGCCTTGGGTCAGGAAATCCGGCGGAGGCGATGAACTACGGGGGATTGACATACCGGATAGCTGCAGTCGACCAGATACATCCCTGCTTATTCAACATGCTATGGTTTCAAATAGATGACTAGATGTCGCGCCATGCGGCGAGATATCTCAATGAGATCTGCAAGAAGCCGTAGTTGATCTTCCATTACTAGCGTCCATGGAACACACTGACGAGACATCTGAGCATGGGTACAGGTCACCTTGCCCTTTTGAATTGAACCCATAAAGCAGAGATTCCGCTGAACCGCTGAGTGTCATTTTTAAACAACTGGACTTACATCACCAGCAGTCCAGAACGAGACTTCAAGCAACTGACCCTACGCAGACACTCGCCAAGCCCTCGGAATTGGAGTCCGATTCGCAGCCCGTTAATGACACCCTACCCCGTCTGATGCGAAGACAAAGCTCTGGGGGATACACCGACAGCGGAAGATACATGGTTGAAGTACATGGAAGACGAAGATCGCGGCTATGATAACGGCAACAGAATACTCACTCTGTTCAGCAAGTGTATATCCCAGCTATTGCGGAGCGACTGCTCGTCGACGAGGACAGCCGTGAGCTTGACGGGTTCACCAACTAAGAAGTCTCCAGCATGCAAGAAATGTGCGACTTTGGAACGACTGTTCGGGCTCGAGGTCCCAAATGCGATGTCTTTACGCGCGAAGATCGTAAGAAATTCGAATTCGGACGTGATTTAGTCCATTACTACCGTGGAGGCCCGGGACCTTACGCGGGCGCAACGGGCTGGCTGAATGCTACGGCGAATCTTTTGCGTGAGGGCTCCAAGGTGGGTACAATGTTCCTTATTCTATGAGTGACTCGACGTATTACATTTCTTCGGCAACAGCAATAAGGGACTTGAGGTATGCCATTTAATTGGCATAGTTGCTCCTGGCCTGTGAAACATGCCATGTTCAAGAATGCTGGCCCATGCACGGGTTGATAACAGCTTCTGGAATTATTCGATATTGCTTCAAGAGGAAGGACTGTCGCATGAAGCGCTACTTTCTTGTAGACACATCAAATATGTGCATAGTATGGCCACGGTAGCTACTAGTAATGGGATATTCGCTAGTCAAGTAGATTCGGGTAGAGTTGACAACCTTGGGCTACTAGTAGTATATAGTACATTGCTTTGGGGGGGAGGGAAAAATGAAATCACTATCAAACAACGGCCTACCATTCAGACTGTGAAGTTAGACACTTAAAAACCAGCATATGGAGGATATTTGAACGCTTAGAATACTTCTATCCAAACTCAGAACAGATATCAAAATAGATGGAGATTCCAATCGTGGTAAAGCGACATTGAAGCGGTCAAGATCCGCAGTTCATACCGCACCGGCTCACGTGATGGTATCCGGGCTAACACTCACTGTTTGTTGCGCCCAAAACTTTTGGACGGAAATCAGCTTCCATCCAACGGATCCTTTCTCAAGGCCGCTCCCTTTCATCCAAAACATCACCTACTATCCTTCTACTTTACGGACACTCTCCCAGACCCTGGTTCACTTCTTTCTTGCCTGCATCTAGTATACCAAAGGCGATCCACTTTATTTTCCGAGATGGAGTACCACTTCGTTCCTCCGGAGGAGCGCGCCAGAGACGACAAGGGTAACCTCCTACCCTGGGGCTACGTTTACAAAGAGTAAGTCTTATACCATTGCATCCATTTTTCCCGCTTCAACCCAATCTCACCCATCACCTTTTCCAGTGAATCTCGCAATCCCCGCCGCCCCCCCGAAGAGTCCGGCCCTTTTGGCAAGCGCAGAAACGCCCGCTACGAACACACCCGATCTCGCACACGCACTGGCACGCCGGCAGCAAAGCGCGAAAACCCCAATGTAGCAGAATTCGGGCGTCTATTCGCCCAACAACAAGAAGAGGAGAAAGCGCGCAGCAACACCCTGCCCAAGTCGTCCTCCGCTTCCAACCTTGACAACGCCCGGAAGCAACAGACAGAAAAAGTCGCAACAGAGTGCATACTATACGGATACAAGAGCAAGGATTTCGAATGGAAAGTGATAGACAAGTACGAGCGGATCTCTCGCGGTTTCATCTGTGAGGACTATCCACGGACAGACCCCAATGCTTCGAACGGGTATTCGCAGCTTTTGAGCGGCGGTGATGTGGTCATCCGGGCGAACTTGTCAGCGGACGCGAATCGCAAATCGAAGCGCTATGCGGGCGGATTTCACTGGATTAAAGTCACGTTTGATTCGACGACAGCGGCCGATCGCGCGTGCTTTTACTCTCCGCAGGAAATCGATGGCCATTTGGTCTTTTGTGAGCTGTATCATGGCCAGGGACCTGCGGAGGACGCCCCTATCGTGCAAGGATCTGCGGAGGCGACTCGTCTCCAGTCGAAGGCGGCGCCTCGCACTCTGACTTCGTCGCATTCGACGAGTTTCCTCCAACCGAAGGACACAGCCACCAAGGAACGTCATACGCTGCCGAGATCTTTCGCCTCGAATAACCTGTCCAGTATCCTCGACGCCCATGAGGAGGAATCCCAGGAATCATCATCAACCCCCACCGCTAGCTCCGCAACAGCCACCGCCATCGAGCAACCAGCACCTCTGCAACAGCGGACAGTCGTCAAGGAGCCCAAGCCTGAATCAGACTTCATGACGCATATCCCGACGGTGCGTCGGACGAAACTCCGCCCCATTACAGAAGCCCTCCCACCTCAGCCTACGGTCACGGAGCGGGTGCTGCGCTCAATCCCCATTCTCAGCTGGTTCACGGGCGATATTGTGGGCGATGGACCTCAACTCCGCGAAGACGGGGCATTCGATTTCGACAAGTCGAATACTTACTGGAAATTCTGGTACATGGTTGATAGAATTCTGGGGACGGATATCTGCGGACTGAAGGAAGAATCATGACAAGAGTCATAACGTCTATTTCTTCAACACCTATTTGCTGTCTCAAGGACCCTCGAGAGAAAGAGAGGGAGACGAGGACAAAAGGAGACTACACGTGCCGATTGAACAGGCCCTGATTTCTCCTAGCAGATACCCTGATGCATGTACGATAGTGCTTTGCTTCTTTTCCGTGTTGTCAACGATGCCTGATTGTTGACAGTTTCTTACGAGAGTGCGTGGTTTGTGGCGCTGCATTGCAGCCTGTCTTTTATTCTTTCGAACTTTTGCATATTAAGTGTCTGGCGCTGGGTATAAGGTCATTCATTTCATTGTTGGGCTGCATAAAGACGCGATGGAGAAAATAATCATAGCATGTTCACTGTGGGGTTATCATGTTTCCTTGTGAAGTCATGTAGTGTGGTAGACATGCACATCGTATCATCATTCATACATCATGAACCGTTATCATCATCAAATCGGAGCGAACGAAACATGGCAAACATAGTGGATAATTGACCATCCCCATACCCAAAGATCAACCACACCATCATAGATGATATATCACACCCTCAATGCATCACAACAGCCACATGATCATTCATATACTTCTTGATATTCCCCAAGAAACAAGCCGCGATGATAGACACGCCCCCGAACCCAATACTAGCATAATACACCCACTTATAGCTCTCAGCGTAGGCGAGCTGACCCGCTGCTACGACAGCATTGTACGCAGTCTCGTTACCCGCGATGCCAGGGATGACCTTTAGTTCGTCGAGCAGAGATGCACCGGTGAGTTCGATCGCTTCGGCGATATACGTGGTGTTGGTGATGTTGAGCTCGGTGAGCATGACGCCGCCGATGTAGTGCTGTGCGTTGGGGACGAATTTCGAGATGAAGATGTTGTAGTAGATTGTGTAGCCGATGCCGCCGCCGGCGACGCGGATGGAGAGAGTGAGGGCTGAGATGGTGGCAATTAAGTCCTGGGGATATATATAGTTAGTCTCTGAGATCTGTGGAGGGTTGGTGTTGCTTATGAGGGACGACTTACGTCTGGACATATGATCGTCGTGATGATTGAGGCTGGGACGATTATTCCTCCAATCCCTAGGCCTGCGATGATTAGGATACCCCAGAGTTGGTATAAGTTGTCTGGTCGGCCTATTGACATGGCACCGCAACCTGGGATGATGTCAGCGTTATGTTCATGTTCGTGGTAAATGGATTACCCAGACCTGCTGTCATAAGGACGCTGCTGATGATGAGAAGCTCCTTGTTGTGGCCATGCAAGACACTGAGGAGCCATAGGATGATACAGGCACCTGCCATGATGCCGAACCCGATGGGGAGGCTCCGAACACCAACGTCGACAGGATCATGGCCGTATACGTTGAATGACTGCGTCGGCCAGAACATGAGAACGGAGAAGAAGTTTGCTCCTGAAATGAACGTGATGACTAGGGTCAAGCCCAGAATGCGTGGCTCTTGCTTTAGCCGGCTTGGGAAGATGGGATACTTGGCACCATAGATCTCCCAGAATGAAAACACGACCAAGACTACAAAGCCAAGAATCAGTGGAACCAGAACATGAGCTGATGTCCAGTCATACTATTTATATATCAGTTACCAGAACGACGTTTCGAGACGGGAAATGGGGACCGAACCATATATCCACCCCACTGCAGTCCAGCTAAAAAGATGATAAGGCCGGAGATACTGAGGAATCCCCCGATGAAGTCAATACGACTGATTATATCGGATCTAGTCAAGCCCTCTGAATTGACTCGTGGTGGCGGGAAGTAGAAAAGGGCTGTAATGAGCAAACCGAATCCACTCCATGCTCCGCAGAAAGCTCCGACATAGCGCCAGCCGCTGTATGCTGCAATAAGCTGAGCCCATAATACGGATGGGCAGAATGGCAAGATGGTGAAGATCAACACCGAAACATATTTCCCTCTTTGTCGAGTTGGAGCCATTTCCGAGGTGGCGGCTAATGCAGTCAACTCATTGATACCTGCACCTGCGCCCGCAATCGCCATCCCCGCTGTATGTCTATTAGACTCGAATTCATTGAGCATTCGATATGGAGGATAAATTATGTATACCTACCAATGAAAATGTTCATCGTATGCGCCGTACTGCTGACGATCATACCAAGGCAAACAAGGGAGGCTCCGATGAGGGCAACATATCGACGACCGATCAAATCCGAAAGTGATCCGACGAAAGGGCAAACACCAGCAAGCGCCAGCAAGTTGGCCAGGACCTGCGTTTTGTCCATCAATTGTCAGCGTTCCGGTCATTTTAGTCCTCGGATGATACTCACAAACCAAACCCATCGATCTGCGCCGCCAATGTCTCCGTAGACGTAAGGTGGTATGCCTCCTAGGAGGTTATTAGAACGTTGATATCCGACATACAGGCGAAGATCTCACCGAAGAGATAGACTGGGATTTGGCTTCCAGTCCATAGGAAAGCCATCGCTGTAAATCCCATGAACCGACGGAAGGTCATCTAACAATCGATAAAGGTCACAGTCAATTTTCGGCTGTGTATTGCCAATGTCATGCCTGATCAGGTACATACTGGATTGTCCACAGGCGCACCCATCTCTTCGTACGCAACAACCTCATCATGACTGAATTTTCTCTCCATATTGCCGGTCGGAGGTGGCTCTGCTACAGCTTTTTCATCAGTCTGAGACTGACTTGAGTGATCAGTGAGCTCCATCGTGAAAAACAGGCTGGTGCGAATCCTATTGGTGCGCAGCGGCAACGGTCAAACAGAAGACTCGAAATCAGAAAAAAAAGCAAATGCTCGCTGCAAGCCATGCATGTACTATTTATTTATCTCCCACAGCACTGATCATCGTGGTGGGTCTTTAATGATGCTGGCTTTAAGAGTATAGATACCAGCGCGTGGATCCGGACCGTTTAAGGACAACGACCCACGGAACCCAGCAGGATCTCAAATCCATCAAAGCGTCACCAGGGACTAGACAGAACGGAGATGCTACCATTCTGAGATACAACCGAGGCAGTTGAGCAAATGCAAGGGCGACCATTGGATCCTGGATAGCCGACCGGCAGAATTGACCGCGTGGATGGATGTGGAGGAGAGGAAAATGCGGGGGAAATCCTGGGGGAGAAGCAGGAAGAGCACGAAGAGCTGGGCCTGGAGTCGCTGGACGGGCAGCCCGCCGCTCCACCAGGCGACAAGTCAACGACGTCGCTTCGGTCTCCCCGGCTATCAAAGAAACTCTATTTTTTCCTTGAACCTTTTCTAGGCTACCGGTGCATAGATTCTATGACCAAAATGTCTAATAATGTCCGTGCAGGAAAGAGGGGCATGAATCAGAAGGGGTGTATGTACACGAGGACGGAAATTTGGATCCATTCTCCTGGATGAAGAACTAAGTTTTCTGGAGGGCCTCGCCAATAACAATCTCCCAAAGTGGCGAGAATGCTAAGAAAGTCCCAGCCAGGAAGGGTCGTCCCTTGCACGACCCTGGCTAGGCAGGATACGGCTGCATGGCCCCCCAAAGGCCCGTCCAGACCAAAAGCATGCAGTATCTTCCAACGCTGCCCGGTCAGTAGCGATCTCCAACCTCTTGAAGCTTATAGGTCTTGGGGACTACAAAGAGGGCGGAAGCCTCGATACACAATCGTCCCATAGGGTCGCGGACTTCCCCCTTCACCCATGCCTTGCGTTCTGTGCTCCGTTCCTCATCCAGAGTAGCATGGAAGGTGTAGAAGTTACCCGAGTACACCGGGGCACGGTATTTGAGCTGCAGGTTGGCCGTGACTCCCGTGCGTTGTGGAAGATGTCTGATTGCGACTCGGGCTAGATGCTCATCGATCACGGTCCCCAGAGCACCTCCATGAACAACCGTCGGCCATCCTTCTAATCCCGGTCCGACATATGCGACATTGATGGCCTCCTTCTCTTTATCATTGTAGAATATTCTCTAAATGACCACTTCGTCAGCCATGTGCCAGGTTACACAGGTGGCCCGAGAGGTATCGGCTTGAACCACAGTGAGAACTGACCTGAAATGCAAGTCCTCGGCTGCCTCGTAAAGCACCCGAACTCAGCCTCTGTAATTTATCTTCCTTCGAATAGTTGCCGTATACATCAGCCTCTATATAATCGGGGTTCTCTCGCAGTTCCTTCACGATGGGCAGCCCGTGCTCGTAGATGTAGCGGATTTCTTCTAGTTTTTCGCGATCTTCCTCTGTATCGGGAAATGGCGGTGGTGCGAGCTTCCTATCCATCCACTTTCCGGCAGCAATCCCAAGGCTACCGAAAATCGCAATGTAGGCCAGGCGTCGCGGCCACCGCGACGGTTGAGGTATCGGTTCATGGGCGGCAGTGCTGGTGTTCCTCGACGGACGAAGTGTATATCGACATGGTAATAGCGGTTTGTTCCGAAGAAGGCGTAGTTGCGTTTGTAGGACTCTGCGCGAGGAAAACATGATGCTCACATCGCAGGTTTCATCGACGACGCAGCATTTTCCCAGAGCTCGACGAAGCAACCAGTGATTAGATAAGATAGGGGATCCCTCGGCTGAAACTCCTTGCTGCATTATCACGTGATTATATGAATGGCTGTCTGGATATAATTTACAGCTGCTACTAGCTACGAAGCAGAATATCGTATTGGTTAACTCAAAACCATATTTGCAATAATTTGTTGAGCAGAAACATTTGTTCCTAACATTCAGCCATAAGCTCATTATCTATGCATACCGTTTCTAGCTTGATACTCGTGAGATAAAGTGAGGGCCCTGCTTAATTCGTCGTCGGCACCTCAACAGCCCGGTAGAGGAGAATAAGTGCAGAATGGGATTCACCTGGAAATGAAGGTTAGAAGTCCGTTGATTATCAGAATCGAGTAACAATGGTTCCAGGGGGCTTACCACCACCAGCAAGCGTCTCAATCTTGTCCCCTTCCACTTCGGTAACCTTCTCATCGTTGAACCACCACCACTTGTCTTCGGTGCTTGCACCATCACTGCTGGACTGCTTTTTCACGTACGCGGTGTAATGTCCGCTGTCCGCACTTGCACCCTGATGTGTGATCACTCCGCGTAGTTCGTAGAGACCCGTCTTGTTCACACCGCTGTCTGAGGCAAGACTGGGGTCAATGAGCTCAGACAATTCTTTCTTAGCCGCGAGAATCGAGGCGGTCTTCTCAGCTTCGTAGTCTGCATCGGACTTGAACACATCGGTCATGGCCTCATCTCCGTCTTTCTCCGCGGCTTTAGACTCTCCCTTGCGCTCTTCAGCAGCTTTCTTCTTCTGCATCGGCTCCATGCTTGCCCCGGACTCGGCCTCTTTCTTTTCTTCCTCCTCTTTCCGGTGAGCGAGCTTTTGACGCTTACGAGCACGTTCAACATCCACCTCTTCCTTCCGAATCTCACGGACCTTGTCTCTCACAGGAATGAGCTGCTTTTTCAATTCGTCGGTGCAGAAGTCCACCGCATCAAGCTCAGCGGGGAATGTGACCTTTCGCATAATCTTGGCCTTCTTCTGTGTTTCGCGCTTCCAGAAGAACCGAACGAAATGCACCGTCAAGTACTTGGGCAAGCGCGCAATGCGTGAACGTTTGGTATATACGGCATCGCGGTCAAGAGTAGAGGACCGCTTTTCGATCTTCTCCTCGAGACCAGCCATAATACCGTCGTGCAAATGGTTAGTCTCTTTACCAATATGACAATCAAGCTTGTAAAACACATCGGAGCTATTAGTAGGTTCTTCACCAGCCTCCTTTGCGGCCTTTTCGTCGCATTCGGTGGTGGACTCAAACCCTCCGGCCATGTACTTATCCACGAAGGAAACTTCGGCGGCAGAGTCACCTTCACCCTCCTTCACGACCAGCTTGTTACGCAGCTGACTCACGATCTGTGACCAGGCCTCTTCGGCATCCTGTTGAGCATAGCCATGTCCATTGCGATCCCTTTGAGCAAATTGGGGGAAAGCATTTCGAAGCGCGTTGAGAAACATAAGCGGCGGGAAACCTTCCTGCGTCTCCGACATTTGCTTGAAGAGGTCCCGCAGAGAGGACGTGAGATCCATAGAAGCTCCCAAGCCGCCAAGACCGAGACTACTGAGGTTCGAAAGGCTAGAACCTCCAGAAGAGCCCCCAGAAGGTCGGTATTTGAGCAGCGCATCCTGGAGTTCGGGAACGCTCCGTAGTGTCTGTAGCGTTGAGTTCAGGTAGCAAGTATTTCCAAGGTTCTGCAGACCTGCAGGAGTTGCACCCTCCGCCCTGGCAGCTTCAGCTTCCGTCATGTCTTCCAAAAACTTGACGACTTCCTTTGGTCTACCCAAGTCTCCAGCACCTTGACCGCCCGACGGAGTGCCCATCATCATGAACGTTTGGCCGGGTTTGGCGTTGAGGGAGGACAGAGGTGTATCATCTTTAAGCTGGCCTCCCTTGACTAGGATCTTCTGCCGCTCGGGTTCGACGCCAGTGAGAGAAAATAGCTGGTATTTGAGCGTTTCGCCATTCAGGGAAGGATCGAGCTCCACCTCGTAGCGTTTGCCCTGGTGCTTTACAACAACTGCGTCATGGGATCAGCGGAGAAGAAACAAGATAGAGTGGAATGGAGCATACGGCCCTAAAGATACTTACCAGGTATAGAAGCCATTGTGACTTGTTTCAAGGGTCCTTCTTGGATGCGATTGATGCCTCCTCTAAGGTCTGGCGGTAGGATGCAGTTGCGTAAACAACGACTGCGTCAGTCATCGCCGGAGAGAGCGTGGGGCAAACGGCGGCCGTACTACGGCGAACTACAGCAACCCTTATGCAAATATGCTCCCCCGAAACTTCACCGCTTTGTCTGGAAGTACTAATAGCTCACCCCTCTCTCCCCACTAACTACTAATTGGTGGTGGCCCGGCAGGCTTAGAGGCTGGCAGAATCTGGTATTCCTTAGGAAAATTGGACCCAAGTAGAGACTCTATCTATCTTCTTTAATTTATATCTAGTATACATGTAAAACAAGAAAAATCATGTCCAATTATATAGACTATCTCTACGCTGGCTATGTGGAGCGTTAACTGATTCTGCCGGCAAAATACTGGAACCGGTTGGCCGCTATCGTCCGCCGTACTACAGGCTACATCGCCGCCGGGCGGCGGGACGTTGCTCCTGACGCAGCTATTCAGGTACCTAGGTGACGCCCGCTCTGGTAGTTTAGGCTTTGAAACTCATTGGGGGGTTCTGACACTTTGAACGCGGATTCTCTGTTTGCTATCCGTGCCTGACTTACATTCTTGACAATTACCATCTCACTAAGCTCGCCAGAAACCTCCTACTCAGCACTCCGGGGCGCCGCCTATACGTCACAACCCCCATCATGGTGATTATCAACCTTGTCCAGGGGATCGGTTTACAATCCAAGCTAACAGAACCAGTCTCAATCATTGCGTCCGTACCTTTTGGCTGTTAGATCTTCATTGACGGCAGCACTCGCGATATCGAACTTCGCTTCTCAAACCTCCGAAAGACAGTACGTTGGGCCGGTTCCCATCCCCTCACCCTTTTGGGTCGGACCAGGCTAATTATGTATCTGGATAGCAATGTCCCCGAAATTGAAGCCGCAACTTCTCCGGAACTACTTCTCAACCCCCTTACAATCTCCCGGAATGAGAACGAGAGGGTCCTTATCGAGCCCAGCGTGAACAGTGTCCGTGTCAGCATCCGAATCAAGCAGGCAGATGAGATCGAACATATCTTGGTCCACAAGTTCACTAGGTTCCTGACGCAGCGCGCGGAATCCTTCTTCATTCTACGGAGAAAGCCAGTGAAGGGATATGACATTTCATTCCTCATTACGAACTTCCATACTGAACAGATGCTGAAACACAAATTGGTGGACTTCATCATTCAATTGTATGTTTCATCTGCCTTGTCCATATGTCATTCGATCAATGAGAGGCTAACGATTTCTTCGTCTAATAGTATGGAGGAAGTGGATAAGGAAATCTCGGAAATGAAGCTCTTCGTATGTGTCCATGTCCATCTGATTGATGGAGGCTTCTAACCCACATTTGCTGTAGTTGAATGCTCGTGCTCGTTTCGTTGCTGAGTCGTTCTTGACACCGGTAAGTCGCCCTGGCTACTTCAGCTGAACCTGGCTGATAAAATTACAGTTTGATTAGATCGCCCTAGCTTCATGGTTGGCACATGACCTTGATTTCCCCTTTCTCTCAGGAACAATTCTTGTACAGAAGTTTGATGCTTGTTCCTTTCTGCAGTCGTCCATATTATATCTCGAAATCAAATTTGTAGCGACCAGTACATCCATTATAAGGATAGCCAGGCTACCTAGAACTGGACACTCTGTATCGTGTACAGCTGAGTCTGACCATGGCCGCCGTAAGTCTCAGTATGATTTACCTTCCTAGATCCTTCTGCTTGCCATGACAGTGCAGATGATCACATTTAGACCGGGAGAGTTCATCTTCTGAGCTTCAACCGGGTCGACCCGTTGTTTATTCTCTCACAGTGTACGGTGTGTTCCATTTGCACAAAGTAGTAAGACGGCAAATGCAAACAAGAGTGGCAGCATGAAAAGCAAGTTACCTTGTTCTTGCCTTTCCACCTAAACAGTGAACAGAGGATCCGCATCTCCCTCTGCAGTCGACGGGTCCCGGGGAATCTCATCAGGGATATGTGTTTCTTCTATTAACCAGGCCCGCTGGGCACATGGCTCTTCTGATGGCTTTCACTGTCATTACATTGCTGTTGTTCATGGATGCCATTCAGATACCTCTCCACATTACCTGCACACTGATCATCAGATGATATTCGAGTAACACTTCAGCTGAGTAGCAGTTCTCACATACAAAGGGTCCAGTGAATTAGCAGATGTGGCAGCGCGTGTAGGGTAACAAATACAGATCCTCCTCCCCTCCACCAGATTATCCTCTCAATCATCTCCCATCCTTCTCTCACTGAGGTTGTTTACTTCACCTTCCTTTTCGCTCCCTTATCTCGTTTTCCCCCCTCGCACTTCCTCTTCCTCGCCCTCACACTTTCTTTCTTGACTGCCATACAGCCTTGAATATGGTGTTTTCCAGACAAAACCCTCCTTCTCGCAAGCTCAATATGCCTCCTTTCGGTAGGATTCCCGTCACTCTCCCCAGGCCTCATGAACCTCACTACGATCCTGTCGCCCCAAGAAATGTGTATTACGATCCTTTCCTAGGTTACGCCCCAAGCCCATCTACTGACACTGTCTGTATCCCTTTTGCTACGAATCGCCTCACCCCGGTTCCTGTTCAACCAGGTCAGCTCCAACAGCCATGCCCCTCTACCACTCCCTTGACTTCTTCCAGCATCCCTGTGATGAATAACGGCATTCATAAGCTTGGACCACACGTGAATTTTGCAGGATATCCCAACCCCACTAGCAGAGCTGCTCCGCCCAACGAGGTGCCATACGGGAGCTTGGTCCGCTACATGGAACCCCCTATCTGGGGCGTCATCAAAATTTCAAACGTGAGTGACTGGCTGACTCGATTCTCGGCGACGTCTACTAACCTTGGGCCAGATCCCCTATTCCATCACCAAGCAGGAGATCTTCCAGTTTGTTGGCAGACAGGCACGACTTGTTCCAGGCCACGCAGTACACATAATCATGGAACGTCCCACTGCTAAGACGATGGACTGTTTTGTGGAGTTTGCTTCGACTGAAGATGCTGAAGAGACGGCGAACCGAATCAACCGAATCTATGAGTGTGGGCGTGCGCCTCGACTCGGCAATAGACACGTTGAAGTTGAGCTCAGCAACCAAGAGGAACTGCTGAAAGATTTGTTTCCACGTGCAAAGTGCATCAGCTGGGAAAATGGTACGCCTAAGGTTGTGGAGAATACTGATAGATATTCCACCGGCTTTACTGGCTTTTTTACCAGCGAAGAGATCATCGGCGCCATTCGTCATGCTGAAATACCTCAACGTGTAAGTCCTTCAGCCGGTGTCATTTTATAGCAGCAATGTCTAACAACTTCTTAGTCTCCCTTCGGTGCCAAGTGTCCGCAGCGTACTTACGAATCTACCATAAGCACGCTCTATAAGGTAGAGTTTTATTCAGCTGAAGGTGATAGTATTCTGACAGAGCACAGTTTCCTTGGTATGCAACCGACATGTACACCGTGCACGACCGTAACCAGCTATTCGAGTTGACAAACCGCCACATACGTTCTCTGGTGTCACGGATGGAAAAGACCAAGACCGTTGGGCTTGACCAACGTCTGCTTCGCGAGCTCCTCTACGCCGGTCTAAATTGCCCTGTATTTAATGAGCGCCAGAAGTATACCCTTTGCATTCACGCCGGCGAGAAAAGCGAAATTCTCAAGTTGGGAGACATGAGCAAGTGGTTCCCCTTCGATACTCTGGTCTACTTGCCTGGCTTTGATTATGACACCTGCGCGGTATGTCCCCTTCCAGAACTATATTAGTCTGTCCATACTCTTCTTGGCGTGCTGTCTAGTCATGCATTCTTCGCCCACTATTTCTTTCCACTGATAGCTGCAGCAGTTGTATGCCAACGTCATCGCAAACGGTAGATTCGAGGGCGCCTGCCGCGAGTTCCCGAACAATTTCCCTGAAGACAATACCACTCTCCTATCACCCTTCGGTCGCATTTGGTTTGAGTGGCCAACCGATGTCGCTAAGAATACTCTTTGGGTTGACGCCGTTAATCGTGAAACCAATGTGCTCAACTGTCTTCTTCAGAGCGGCTCCATGGGAACAATCCACAGACCACTTTCGATGACCAGCACCTCAAGCAATGTTTCTCCCACCTCTCCAATCACTGATAAAAGTGTGCCACGAAACGAGAATGTGTCCCGGGTCAGCATTTTGCAGGCCTCATCGCGTCGTGCCAGCGAATGCTGGAACAGCGGCAGCGTTCTTCTTGATACCGAAGGCGTTTGGAGTCAGAAGGTGTTCTTTAGCCCGCCTAACAGGTTCCGAACTCCTAGTCACCGCATCACCCATTCATCGCCCAACTGTCTCAAGGATCTAAACCAGTGATGTCCGCAGAGGCAGAAGTAAGAATGCTGAGGATATGCTGTGCTGCGCGTTTTCTGAACAGGTACTGTCTTTCCTAAAATCCCTTCTGGACAGAGTTCAAAATCTGCGGATATTAGTTTCTGTTCTCATCTTGGTGTTGCCGCCTTGGACCAGAAGAGAGCTGTCATAGCTTGATGAGAATTGCAGATACGATCATGACTTACGGAATACTTTGATTTATGCAAATGGTTGGATTTAGCGATTTCGTGCGATGTGATTTGGGATCATAACCGGCTTGCGTTCTCATTTGGACCATTGTGTGCTCTCCTTGCTCTGCTGTTTGCTTCTGACGTTCATTTTTCACTGAAACAACTCTACATACGGCCAAGTTTCGACGAATTTCCTTCTTCTACTGAGATATTATCGTGCGACTGAGATTGATTCCCTTTCTTCTTATTTCTATGCATAAACTATTTCGAGCCCAATTTCCGTTTTGATTTAAATAAATAGCCAATAAAAAGCCAAATCGGGAGCCTTCATCACTCCAGACTTGCCCCAGACAAATCCAAATCCACATCATCTTCTTTTCTCTGATTTTGCGCAAGCTGCTTCCTCAACAGTCCTTCTGCCCTCATCCTCTCCCTTCGCTTCTCCGGATCCTCCCAACCAGGGGGCTTTGATTTTCCTCTCCCTTTTGCGCCATGTTGATGGTGATCCGTCGAACAAAGATCTAACAAATTCGTGCGAAATCTCTCCTTACGTTCAGAATTCACAGCGAATCTCTCATTCGAAATATTAACCAGCATTTCAAGAAACTCTTCTGTGACCAGACTGCGGATAATGGGTTCTCCTCCGTCATCATTGTCGTCATCGGTTTCTTCGCAGTACCCGATGACAGACTCCAATGAGAGACCGGCAGATCGCACAGCGACGATGGGACTTGGGCCCTCAATGTCATTTGCTTCTAAGCAACGGAGACTCTGCAGTCCGCTCTCTCGAAAGCCGGAGGTTGAAGCGGCAGATAGCACGGGGTGAGCATGGTGTAGTGTTGCTGCCATAATATGGAGGATCTATTGGAATAGTTTGTCAGTATGTGAGGATTTGAGAACAAGGTACGTGCCTCGCTGTCTGAACGCAAGTCTCACATAGCTTACGGGGGCAGTAGGAGGTCAACAGTAGTAAGGCTGACACTAAGAACCCGGACAACCCGTGACATGACAGGAATACACAGTGGCCATGATACCCACAGAACAGGGACCAGCAGGGAACAAAAGAGGGGCAGGGAAGGACATACCATAGGCTCAAAAGAGAAGCGCACGAGACGCGGGGCCTGACCATCCTTGTTCAACCCGGGAGGCCTGCCATCCCCAGGGATCATCCCAAACAACTCATGCAGTGGCTGGCGCTCTTGCTCTTTTTCTCGCACCTTCCCATATTTTTGCAAGGGCTCATGAGACACATATAACCACTTTCCTGCTCCTTTGCCCCCGGATGGTACGAACTGCCTCTGCTGCTGTTGCTGCTCGTCTGACACCGCTTGCTGCTGCTGCTGCTGCTGTTGCTTCTTTCGCCCCTCCAGGAACACACTGATCCTTCCCGCACAGCTGCTAGTGGTCACCAACCCTGGCAGGGTATTTATATCGTTGATGAGGACGCGAATACCTTCATCCACAGAGCCCTTCGGCGACAGATCAGTATACTCTGCGTCGGGGATGGACAGGTCTGCGAGAATCTTGCGCTTGCGAGATTCAAAAACCTCCGGGATCATGGTTGTCAACGAGGTTTCCATGGGTAGGTCTGTCGTGTTTTCGTTCACTATTGGGTTCTTGCTTATCTGGGATTCCTTCGAACGAACGCATGCAATAACCGTTGGGAATGAACTACTATGGGCAGTCTAGAGATCAAGGGCCGCTAGAGGGGTCCTTTGCTTTGTTAACACCCCCACTATCTCTTGCCTTCCGAACGATGAAGCGTAAGGCTGATAATTTGAGTGGATCGATAGGGATTTCCAGTCCCAATGCCTCACTTCGATTTAGGACTACAGCAAAGTATATGTCCTTGTTGGCTGGTTGATTGATACGGCCTTGTCACCCTTGTGGAACTGCAAAATCCTTCTCGAACCTGACGTCGACTTCCCGAGAGAACGCACTAAGTTTAGCGGTGCGGGAAGCAAAGAAAGTCACCCGCGCTTTTCCCACGCGAAAAGCGCCCCAGAAGTTACCAGCCTTCTGGTCTCAGTTCCCGGTCCCTTTGTCCGCGTCGAACCACCTGAAAGTCAATCTGTCGCTAGCTACGGAGTACACCCGTACCCGGACCAGGGTCAAAGAATTCGTCTAATAGCGTCCGAACGGCTCATAATCGTCATTGAATCCCTCGATATCTCTTCTAATTCATCCGATCTTGCATCAAGGCATACCTTAGTAGCTAGTGTTACCCGCCGGTAAACCTCCTTGCGCGCAACTTAAAAATCTGTACGAATCACCAAACCAAACAGTGCGCAAGTCCTATCCATGCCTAGTCGATCGTCTCGGGCCGTTCCCGCTTCGGCAGCAGCTCCAGTGTCCGGCGCCAAAAAAAAAAGGCGCGCGTCTGCCAGACTGTCCGAATTCTCCAGAAAGGGTTTGAAGGAACAAAAGTACGATGACACCGCCCCTAAGAGAGCTACCAAAATACAGCGATAAAAAGCAAATATCTTCAAATAACAATTCCCCGGCGAGCGAAAGCCCGAGCCTTTGCAGTGTCTCCTGCACCGGATTCCGCTAGCCACAACAACCCAGACACGTCATTCCCCGCATCCTCCGGTGGAAGAGCAGAGCTATCGAGCGCAACTACTCTAAACCACAAGTGATAATTGTTCGGAGCCCACAAGAGTGCACTGAGAAGAAGATAAGTGAAAAGGAGGAAACAGGGCCCGTATGCTTTGTTGAATGGGTCAGAGGCGGGAAAAGGTGGGAGACGTTGAAGCTGACACAGCCACCTCCACCATAGGCTCATTTCTTATGGTAGGAGAGCCTCGCAATTTGTTGGGCCCCTGGGAGAGGGATATTCATCGACAAAGCTAAAGTGACAAGTCCAGAAGGAGTTGCCTACCAGGACAATACCTCCCCTGCAATCATACTATTATAGTCCTTTTCGCAAGAACTCGCTGAGACTTGAGGGGCGATGTAAATGTATCATCAAACCCAACATGTGCAGATGAAGTCGTTACACTTCAGACTGAAAACGGACCTGAGCTATTTGCAGGGCAAAAAGCGGGCTACCATTCAAATAATCCTGGAACTGTTTGAGACGCTCACTGGTATGCTCTTCGAAGGACAGCTCGAGTCCAAAGTTACCTGTTAGAGACCTCGTGAGTGAAGGTGCAAGGCAGCCGCTCGAGGAAATTGACTGCGGAAAAGCCGTTATCGATATGTCTTGCTCTAGACACTTGACATACGCAGAGACATAAGATTCAGCATGAATTTCACACCAGATAAGGTATGATAGAATGTGTATTTCTAACGATATCACTTCGACTTTATCTTCAGTGATGCTACTCGAGGCTAGTCAAGCTAACCGTGAAATGCGAGTAGATACAGTTCGCCGCCACTAGGCTATGAGCATATTCTGCACTATGCTGAGACTGGCGTCAGCTAAGCCCCTCGTCAGGTTCTGTGCAGGTAAAGGGGAATGCACCTACTTACTACGTTTTATTCCAACCCGAAAAATTGCTTTCTCGACGAATTAGCAGATACGAGAGAACGCATACGCCACGGTCGCAGTCACTCTCGACCCATGCGCCTCGCTCGTGTCGTCCAGCAACCAAGAAGATCCTTCACTCTGATCGCAACATCCAAGACCATTTGTTACATCACTTTGAGCTTTCTTTCTTTGCTGTTTATCATTTCCCGATATGCTGAACTTGGAAATCGGCGCTATTCTTCGAGGGACGTCGGTGGGTTATTCAGCTGCAAACGTGGCTTCCTCTGATCAGGTGGTCTTGTAAGAAGCAATAGCGGCTAACAGAAATTTGCTGGGATTGAACCCCAATAACTAGAGGCATGAGGCTGAAAATCTTAAGCTTCGAGGTGAATCAGCTTAATCTTGAACGACTTAAAGCAGTTTTGAGGACGAAACCTTTACGCTTTCAGAAGTCCAGTACAAGGCTGAATGATAAAAGATCAGTTGTGGAGGATTTCTGCAAACACAATGAGCAAACCTCACCCAAGAGATGGCCCATGTGGCCCTCCCTCACGTCTCCAAGTTACGCCCTGTCTGGCGGATGTTGGATGGCCATGACAGTGATCGCAATGTGATCTTCTTGAATCTGTATTTCCACCGCGCTCAATGGAGGCTTGTACCTGGGGCGGTCCCTGGTGACATTTAAGGAGGTTCCTGGTTCGTCAGTGTTATTTGCCACTACGTCTCATCTGATCGAGACCATGGACGTCAACATTATCCCAGGTATATATATACCATCATCACTTGAGAAAACTGAGCAAGAGCGGCAAAGATGAGAGATGGCAAATTGGCGCCAGATGGTGAGCTCATCCCATGGGAGGATGTTTACCAGTTCCGACGGCCACTTCCGAGCTGTCACACACTCCCGCATGAGGGAAAATGACATCGCTCGGCTTCAAAGACTGCAGGGAAAAGGCCAGAGCCATCTCGACGAGAATCGCCGCATCTAGGATTGATGGCCTCCGATCCCATAAAAAGGGGAACACGCCAGAATGGGGATGCATTTGACGACCTCCTGGCTACCTGTGATGGCAGGTCTGCCGTGTGTTCTGGGTTGGAGGTGTAAGCGCAGCCGCGAACGGGACCCTCCGACTGGGCCTACCCGAACCGTGTCTGCGCTCCGGCTCTGCACCCTGGGGCCACGCTGGGTGGATTGATTATTGCACTTGCTGGCTGTGTCCGCCCAAGACCGTCGGTGGATCACTAGATTCATTCCTCTAGTCTCGACGTCCCAAGATGCTGTTCAGTTCTTGGTTCTGACACGGTAATTGCCTGCGCCGTCCCACCAAAGTGCTTTGGTCTCGAAGAGTTTTCTGCACCGTCTCATTTGTTTCCATGGTTCAGAACCTGCCGCCGTCCCGGCGGGTCTCCGCTTCGTCCAATTACGATACTGGGAGAGCTTCTTGTCTGCCTAGGGCTACCAAGTCGATAATGATAATATCCAGCTGCTCCATCTTCGTTGTTTCACCATCGACGCGTCTCTCGCAGATGAGGAGGGGAGAGTTTGGTTCCAGTATGCACAAGAGAGGATGACAGCTCTGACTGGGATCATGGAACCCTTCGTAAGCCATACCACCTATTGTTCCCTCGCTGTTTAGCCTTTTTGCGCCCCCCTCCCCGCCTGCCCGCGCCTGCGTCTATTGGATTTTAGTTGCCGTATCAATCATTACAAGGCCCTTTCCACTGTGCCCCTTGCCCCTCCTCTTTCCCTTTCCCTACCTAGCCTCCCAGCGGTGTGTCTTCGGGCGCAATGTTACCCACCCCTCAACCAGTTGTACTCGGAGGATGGTCCAAGTGCCGCGACAAAAGCCTTTGTCGTGTTGTGGAAATCTCGTAACTGACCTCAAGAAATATCATCCGACAGGTCACGTACTCCAATAGCATCGTCACGTCTGATCCAGTGCAGGAAGAAAACAGTTCAGCCTCGGAAGGGATGGGATGGGTGACTCATGGTTGGGGATCATATTCCCGGATGAGAAACTCCAGGACCTCCCATACTCGCTGGTCTCGTGTGTAGATTTCGGCCTTTGTATGTGAGTAACGTCGTGTCTCCATCTCCACTCATATTGTCTCTCCTTCAAATTGCCCTGTGGATGGTATTAACCTTCCCGTTACGGATGGTTGCGTGGTGTACCTTTGGTCTGCAGTCTCTCTGGCTCTCGACCGGATCCATGAGGTTCAGGATGCTACCACATTTGCTTCCCTTTGGCCGGTTTTCCTGTAAAATCGGTACGACCTTCGTTCCTTACTGCGCTAAGGACCTGGCATACTCCAACACCTAGTCCCGGGATTCCCTTACCGCCAGTTCTCATCCCCCAATGATGATGGCCATCGTGCCAATGACCCCCAAAGGAATGCGCGGGACTTTTGAGATTCAGGCCTTCAGGATGATACTACTGACGTGCATGTTATGGCCGGCTGTCCGCGCGCCGCAGCCGGGCCGTCGGACGTGCCGTTAGCTCCACGACGTTGGCCATCTATCAGCAGCAGCAGGTTATCCACTTCTGCACGAGTGCGAATTCGTCTATGACTTGACTCTCACAGGCCACTGCCTCCCCTCGTCCCGTTGAAGCAAACATCCGTACTCTGCATCAGTGCCCAAATGGCTAACGCACAATTCCTTGTTTCGCTCCATCGTCTTGTAAGACCTGAGTGGGGGAGGATTTGTACAGCCCCTCTCCCCAGGTTGACATTCCCCGGTCTAGCCAATGCTACGTCGGAAGCATATCCTCTTCGAACCAGACAGCTGTAAGCTTGCGGGACACAGAAGGGAAATAGTGGAAAAGGGGGTGGTGGGTGTGCCGCACAAGAATAGCTGGAGAGACAACCCACCCCGACAGGGAGGTCTCCGAATCAGCACTTGCAATTCCATAGCGCCCTGCGAATTCCTTCTCCCGGACTCTACAAAGTTGTGTTGTCTGCAAGCCATGAAACTTTGTGCTTGTCGACGATCGGCCATGATTCGACCCATTGTCCACACTACTGGCGGGGCATTCCGCTCAATAGGCGCGCATCCCATCGTTTACCCAGTGCCCATCGCTTTGCCCAACTTCCCTTTCTGGTCTCGATAGGCGATCATCGCTCTTTTTCCCCTCAATGGAGCTCAATCATCTTCTTCTTGATTCGTCCCCCTTTCTCATCCCCCATTTTCGCTACCGTAAGAGCGAGACTCCCTTGAGAAGCGGTGACAAAATCCGCAGTGGAGGAAGCGCGCCAGGGTGGAAAAGAGACGCGGAATCTGAGCCTTCATTGTGTGCGCCGTGGGGCCCATCTAGATTATGCGCGATATCCGTGCTCAAAACTCTTTTTGTATGGCCGATATCTTTGTTCGGCTACGCTTAGCACTGGATCCGCGATATCTCTCGATATGCTTAAGTGTATTTGCTTCTATTGCCTGTGGAGCCTCTGTTTCCCCCCTCTCCCCTCTTCATCTCTCCAATGGAGACTAGAAACTACCATCCCCTCCTCCTCCTTCTCCCCGGGCACATAGGTGTGTACAAAGTCCCACCCCCTCGTTCTCTACCTGCCTAACTAGCATGAGAGGAGGAGGGGTAGACAAGATAGAAACAATGATACAGACGCAGAAAAGTAAATGAAAAATACCCCCGATTTCGAGGACACGCGGAAATAGTAAACGTCATACCTGTTTCGGTAATTGGAGCCAAACAAAGAGTTGATGGCGCAACTCAATAATACGGGCCCAATCGAGCTGAAGAGAACTAATCGCAGACTGGCAACCTTTCTCTTATTCCTGGCACGGAAGTCGTTTCCTGGACACGGTGTAGTTGGCTGGTTGTGTACCATTATTGTACCCTTCCTCTTACTTCCCTTTACTGGTAGAGGAGCACACCGTAGAAAACATTTGAGGTTGTAAAGTGGTTGGCAGGGATCAGGACCATGTCATTAACAAAGAGGAGATATACTTCGTACTTTGGGCTCCCTACAATCGTGCAGTGAGCTTGACGGCCTAGACGCATGTTTGCTTTTTCGAAGATTTACATCCTAATCTAGATAGCGCGCTGCTGGTGTCGCTGGCTCCTATTCATCCGACGTGAACTTGGGTCTGCTTCGATGCAATCCCACCCATCCCCTCTCCTCTCTAGGAGAAGAGATGATGGAAGAAGATGGTGGAAACAAGGAGTACCGGCTGCCATTGTTCCACCCTTGCATACAGCTGGCCCCAAGGCAGAGTGTACACTCCTACTGTGATCAAGGTTGGTTGACTGCGGCTGATGACCGCGCCCGGAGATTAAGTTACTTGGAGCAAAAATCAGCAATGTGATGTGTCGTCGGGTGCTTTGCGGTAGATCCTTGGTCGCTGGTTACGAGAGCCCACTTCCCCCGGGGTGCTCTACCCATGTATCTTGCCAGCAGATCCGGCAAGCAGGACTATGGTGCGGAATTGAGCAATTCCATCACCAGCTGATTATTGCTCCAAGTAACTTAATCTCCATCGCGTTCTATGTCCAGCTAGCAACGTGTTGGGACGCTGGAGTTAACTTAGGCTAGAAAGAAGAGGAAATTGCCCGCATCGCCCGTGACTGTGAGCACTAAAGACCGAAGGGGTATGTAGGGGAATCTGATCGTTTAGTTCTGCGAGCGGGGATCTCGAGGGTTGTGTGGCCTGTGTGCATCTGCTTCGGTTTTGCCACCTTGACGGCTTAGGGCCCAAGAGGGTAGAGAAATGCGCATTAGCGAGTCAAGTGGTTACAAGCCATCCCTACCAGATCAGGCATCGGTCACCAAACTCTTCTTCCCGAGCCTAACCTCCCATCCCAACGTCACGCGACGGGACGCCTGGACGGGGAGTGTTAAGTGTACCACCCAGAGCCCTCGTACAGGCTGTCACACCTGGATTCCCAGGCTCTTTATCACACGATGTTCCCATGTGCAGGGGGTCAGATGCGCGACTCGAACCGACCCGAACCGAATTAATCCAGAACTGAGATGGGGGTTGGACAGAAGAGAGATTCTGGTGCAAGTTCGTGGCGCTGAAAGCCCAGATCTCTCCCCTTGGATCGGAGGGTGGCAGGGCAGCAGGGCAGGGCCATCTGGAGTTGTTTGTCTGCTCGTTTCGCCACGTCATAATGTGAGGGAAGATCGCTCGCACTTTGCCCACAGACACACTTTCTACCCGAGCGAGCACAGACAGGTCGGGAGGTGAACCTGGTTCTGTGCCTCCTTCTTCCTTAGGGCCAAGCCACTGAACCACCACCCCAGGCCAATCGCTCTGTCATCCCGCCATGGATGCATTACCGACTGTTTCCGACAGCCACGCCAGCCCCAAAACGGGCGAGGATGTTGTGATGGGCTGACCCAGGGCGCCTGCTCATAGGCCCCCCTGTCGTCACGTGACCGTAACCGTATGCGGGCTGATCGATGATCCCAGTTAGCATGGCGAGCTTCCCGTCTTGCTCTTCCCGTTGCCGGCGGTAAACTAATACTGTTCAGGTCCAAACGATGATTAGATCCCAAGTGGAAGGATTCCAGACCGCCTTCCCACCGACAAACGCGGCTCTCCGGCCTGGCCAATTGCCCCGAAGCTTCGTGCTTTGCTCTCGGAGACTTGGAGAGTAGTAAGGTACCTTACTTACCTACACGTAGGAGTAGTACCTTGGTTCCTAATACCTCCTGCAGTAGTATCTCAAGAGGTTCTTGGTACCATTCTCTGGCAGTCTCAATGTTGCCTCCCATGGTGGACAAACAACCAAGCATCATCACGATGATGACGCATGATGACTGGATGCCCCAAGTTGGGCCGCGGAAGTACTTCCTCGAACCCCTGCGCCCAAAGATCACCAGCCACCATAGAACCATGGACGTTGCTGGCGGCCAAGAAGAATCGGCGTTGGTCACGGTGGAGCTGGATCCTGGAGATACCGGAGACAACGACAACCAGGGGGAAAAACAAAAAAAAAAAAAAAAGAGCCCACCACGCAGGTGATGGTGGGTTCAGGCGGCAACGGAAAGACGCGGACGCCAATGCACGGGGCCGCTGAGGGTCGAGAAAAACGTGGCAAGGGAGACTAATGGACGAAGGAGAGGAAAGGGCAATGCACCAGTTAGGGAAGGTAATGAGCTAAAGAGGAAATGAAATTATAGCGCGCCCCCAGTTGCGACCGTCGTAACGCCGCATTATTACCGGTTATAGTATTACCGCGTTTCCGGCCGCCGGTTTGGTTTCGGTTTCTGTTTTTGTTTCCGTTCCCGCTTGTATGGTACCAAAGCAAAAGATACCACCACCCTCAGGCCCCCAAGCCAAAAGCCATCTCCATTTGTTTGGGCCCTTAGGAGGAAGCAATATTATGTGTGTTGTATGGGCGAAAAAGTGAGGCTGGCTGGGCTGGGCTGGGCTGGGCTCTGACAGTTCAACATGTGGAACAGCAAGCGGGAAAACGCAATTCTTCTGGTTTGTTGTAGCATCCTTAATCTACTTGCATGATATGAGCGAGCTGCATGGACCTTGTGCGGTGTGCTAATGTGGGAGCACCTTACCTGGGTTTCTTCCAGTCATTGGGGTGTGTGCGAGACGAGGACTCTTATCTATACTGTTCAAGAAGCAATGGATGAGCTTTCTCGCTGTAGGTCAAGAAAGCGAAACCACACGCATCAAGAAACGCAAGTCGTTAGTACTCAGTGACAGAGATGAGGAGCGACAGAAGGTGGATCTAGAAGGTGAAGGAGGGGGAAGGGGAAAACAGAGAGAAGGGAAGCGTAAGGATTGGAAGGTGCGAAGGGGCCATTGAGGCTGGAGGGTGTTGCAAGCTGGAAGTGGAAGGAAGGCTCGAGTGCCATTCATTTGGCCCGCCAAAGCGCATTGACAGAGATGGTTGACTATCCTGAGACAGCTTGCTGACATTAATTGCCTTTTTCATCCCTAGTAGTAACCGTCATATGTAGTGGACTCCGAATGAGGAAAGAGGATGACTTGGATAACATGGTCCTCGCACTCTCACACACTCCAAGACATACACTCACACACTTTGTCTCTCTCACACACACTACACTTCCTGCATAAGATCGGCGGGAGTCGGGGCGGCCCGTCGTGGACATGACCAGGAGAATGACTAGCAGGGCGACGATGATAGGGGGGCCGGTTGCCCAACGCCCTGACACAAGCGCCTCTGCATCCGGGTCACAGCACCAATCCTCGGCTCCGTTTGCGACCGTGCAATTCCGACAATCTTGTTCTGCTGACGCCCCGTCATGGTCGGATTGGGAATTATTGTGTGCTCGAGAGCCAAAATTCGTTTGCGATTATCTTTTCTCTAAATCTTTGAATCCATATCGGCTCATGCTCAATTGCTGGATAAAGCGATTCTCGTATCGTCGTAGTTAAAGGAGGGTATCTTCTCAGGCCGTAGCTAACCAAATTAGTTTCCAGCCACAAAATACAAGCTAAGTGGACAAGTTACCAGACTAGAATAGATTAAAGATTCACTATGGGAGTGATGACGGCCGCGAAAGAGAGGGGTAAAAAAAAACCATAGAACAAATTAAATAAAAGGGATAAAAGAAATGAAATGCCTACGACAAAACCTTGTTAAAGAAAATGTTATTTCAGCGCTCCTCAAAAACGGAATTTACTGCTGTCACACGATACCGACGACTGATGTCATGCTGCTGCTTCCTTCGTCTACGTTGACGACTCATGCACCCAATCCCCGATCTCCTACGCAAGAGATAATCAGTTAATGATGGACTCGCCGGATTATGGAGGGTGGGAACACAAAGGGGTTCGCACTTGGCCGTGCTATCTCAGTGTGATTAGGTTGCAGATGCTTGGACTTGTTGCGGATGAGAGCGGTGATGACTCTGCCTCCACAGCGAATCGTCGTTGCCAGCCACGTCTTCTAACTTCCACTAAGCACCTACCCATGATGGGCTAGAGACTAGCTCCCTTGCCGTTCCCATGTGCCCAGTGGGTGCATCTGTGTCTGCCTGTCTGTCAGATTCACCGGTTTGGAACCTCTTTCCCCTCATAAAAAAAAAAAAAGAACACCACTTTGGCCATTGCGACATAAAACAAGGATGTTGGCTGGCCCCATTCCCATTACTTCATTAAATCCTGGATATGTCACCGGACCCCGCACAAACACAAACACACACGATCCCAGGCTCCAGGACACGGGTGCTATCTCTCCGAGAAGGGAAAAAACGTTGTCCCCCAATACCTATGACCGTTTCCCGCTCGACAGAAATTGAACCGGGTGACGCTAATGCAAGTTATTTTCAATCGCTACCGATCGGGCCATGGTCATGCCCGTCTGGCGCCGTCCCAAGGCTGTAGCACTGGGAAACTTAGAACTCCCCACTAAAAGTGTGTCTCACGGCCCTTCCCTTTATCAACTAACTGAAGCTAGGGGGGCGCCGCTCGCTCATACTAAATATCTAAACGCCTTCCTTTGTCACAGGGCCAACGCCAAAGGATGGTCTTACGCATCATACATGCGACTTGATCCAGAGGCATACACAGTACTACTACTACTACTCCTTTGATAGGGGGTGAATGTCAGCCTAATTTGTCATTGCACAAGGACGCACACAAGCATTTTGCAACCTGGTTCAAGATTACTATCTCATCGTCGTGCTCGACACCGCCACAATATCCCCCGATTAAGATGCCTGAAGCGGCAGGTGGGCAAGCGCGGATCGAGCCTATCATGTCGGTGCAACCTCGTAGTGGGTTTGGTATCAGCTTGTGGACTTACTTAAGGTAGTCAGGCCTTTCATCTGTTTTCAGCTCGACACGGTGTCGTGCTCGGGGTGTTCATACCCACTGTGACCGCTGGAGCCGCACCACTGTTACCAGCCCTCGGATACAGTGTCTGTAATCATGCATAAGTGGAAGCGCCCTGCTTGCCACTAGAATTCGTTCAAACGTGACGGTAATCCCGGTAACCAGGCTCACCGCCTAATGGATCCCCTCCCATTCCGCCCGTGTATAGTGACCTCCACTCCTTTCCACAGGACGGAGGGGAGAGCGTGGTTAGGTGGGCACGCATTTTGAGACAAGAGAAGCAGAGGGTTGAATCCACTCTGTCTATCTCTCAAGCGCGAGGACACTTTCCCATCGCCACTTTAATTATTTTTGCTCCATCATCCCATGTGGCCGGGACCTTCGATGCCCCTTCGTATGAGCTCCAGTAGGAGGTCTGATCCATGGAAAGGACATAGCTGGCGGCCCCGCCGACCCAATAAGACGCGAGAAAAGCTACTCCGTATCGCAGCGCAATTTGAGCCCCGGTACACATGCCGCTCACCGCACGGTAACTCAAGGTATTATCGCCGGAACCGAACATCCTCCGAGCGACCCAACCACTGGTGGTGCGTACCGCTGACCATGAACCGGCAGGAGAAGAAAAGGGAACCTAAATTCACCGGGATTTGGTGCCCATGGTCCCCGCGCCGTGTGCCAATCAGCTGCCGTGCGACTACGGTTCGGAGCGCTCCTTTCCCTGCTGGACCCAACCAGAATCGAGGTGTCGGTAACTCATGGGCTCCTCCTACGCCAATGGGATAGCGCCGCGGCTGTCGCTTAACCTTTGGACTGACTTGCATCACTCGTACCCACCGTGAAAACGAGCTGCTTTTTGCGGGGACATTCTTAGTCGAGTAATCTTACTCACTCCTTCGCCCTCTTCCTTCCTTCCTTTCCTTCCATTGTTTCTCTCCACTTTGATCGTTTTCCCACTTTTTTTTTTATTTCTCTTTCAGAACAAATGGTATGCGATCTAGGCTGTGTGTCTTTTTATCATTCGTCCAGACGGGAGAAAAATTATCTGTACTATTTTTTTCGGCCCCCAAACACCGTTACCCCATAGCTTACGTACAAATCTGAGCAAATCGAGTAAGTGAGTAGTAGTCTATGTAGTAGTAGTAGTAGTAGTAGTATGATAGTAGTATGACTTACTACCTAAGTAACTACATTCGGTAACCATGTAATATTCACGGTGGTTGGTGGTAAGTGGGGAAGAGTTTGTTAGCAGAATGTGGAAAAAGGAAGGGAAGTTTGCCTCTTTTCCCACCAAATCTAGATAGCGTGGCTTCTTTTCTTCTTCTTCTCTTTCTTTCTTCCTTTCAGTCTAGTCTAGCTCAAGCCAAACCCCCTTCTCTTTTTAATATTTATCCTAATCCGTTTCATTTTATTTTCTCTTCATTTGAGATTGATGGTTTTGGATTGTCTGCTTTCTCTTTTCTCTCTCTTTGTCTGCGTATCGTATTATAAGCCTAGTACTGTGAAGTAAGTAAAGTCTAGATGAAACATGGATAACCCGCGCCTCGGACCGTATACCCAACAAAACTGTTTCTTTGTGTGTCAGGTTCCTTCAAGGTAAAGATAGATGGAATCCATGGCACTGAATCGGTTTCAAGGAGGCGTGCCACGGTATCCCTTTCCGCGTAGATTGTATCTGGAGATATTTCCAAGGAGGCGGGGGGGAATCGTGATTCTTTTGTCTGACTACTAAGGGTAGTAGTGCTACCACTTATGAACATGGAAGTGATTGGTAGTAGTACTCCGTAGCGTTGCAACAACATCAACGATGATAGATGATGATGGTCACACTTGAAAACTCCTCATACCAATCATCAAGATTTTCCACACTCCGTGACCCAATCGTAATTCGAAATGGTCTGGGCGAAATTCGCTATTGGCTGAAAATCGCAATTTCTTTCTCTTCAGGGCAATGATGAAAGACTACTAGAGTTGGTGGTTCCCCCCCTTTCGGGGCAATGGGACGGTACATCCGCCGCGCGCGGGAGTATCTCGCATGTCCCGGTCCGGGCGCCCACCCACCTCCCCCTCTTTCTCTTTCTACTACGTATCTAACATGCCTGTGGTAACTTTGAAGTATGGGCCCTGGAACCATGTATGTGTATGTTGGTTCCTTGCAACCTCAGGTACCATCCCATCCCTTTTCAGTTTTCGTTTGATCATGCATGCATGCACGCATGCAATCAACCCCAAGGCGAGGGAGAGAAACGAGGGGAATCTGGGTAACAAACGGTGGGTAGCGGTGGGTGTGGATGATCCACGCGATATGCCTGATGCCTTGATCCCGCTCAATTCTATCCAAGTCAAGTCTCAAGCTGCATATCTGAGCAGGATCTATTGCTGATAGCCCTTGCGGACGGGTTGGACCGTACCGTTCGAAACATGCCCCAGGTATGGTGGGAAGGATGCAAGGGATCCTGGATATTGGGGGCCATGGGTTAAAAGGTAGGTAGGCCAACCCCTCATTGACCACAAGGGCCGAGTGTTGGACCAGGGTGGTATATCGGCAAGTAACTCGTGCGTATGGTGAGTGAGGGTTCGGTCCATTCATTTTACTCGATGATTCTTCACCCAAGGTTTCGCTTTTATTTTAGTTTTGTTTTCATTATCTTTCTTTCTTCTGCCAGTCTGTCATAACACTTGGCTCTGGAAGATGCAGGCTTCCGCGGATGACGAGTCATATTAGAGACAAGATCGTGAAGAATTAAGATGGTGCAGATGTTTGCTTGTTTGGGAGCCAAGTTGGAGGGAGTTCCCAGTCCTGCTGCCCCAATCAAATGATGCCAGATTGGCCGCAGGGATGTGTGTTGGATAAGTAAAGCCTTGACCACAACAAGGCAGCCGCTGCATGCACGCGGGCACTACTGCGAAGCATACATATTCTGCCTTTCTGTCCGGCGCAGGCCCGGGGCGTACCTTGTTGTATGTAAGTAGTATACTATACTACCCTCGTATGTACCTTGTATCATGATACAACGACCATACGGTAGCGTCCTATCAGCAATGTTTCATTTACCCTTTCGACAGACAAACGACGGCCTGACGAGGATGCAGCCAAGCTGTGAAGTAAGGGTAGTTAGTGGCTGTTCCTCGCATGCGCGATGCAGCAAAGGCGGGCAGGCATGTATCATTGAGCAATGACAACAACTTTAGTTAGCTGCAAAGTACCTACTTACCTTCTAGGCTGGTTGCAGCTGATGACCAAGTTTGGCGTGCTCCCTTTTCCCCACCCCTCCTCCTTTGTCTGCGAAGACGTCCTTTTTTTCTCTCTGAAGTTTTACCCACTATCCCCGGCCGGTCATCGGATCATGGTATGTATGTAAGGAGTGCCCAGGTACCGGCAAACAAAGCCCCGACAATCCCAATGATCATTTTTGAGGATGCGTTGAGGATGAAATTAGTGGGCTGGTTCGAGACACTGTCTGCTTGGTAAGAAAGCCACGATACGTTGCTCCGAGCCCCCGATGTGTGGTACACTAAGTGACAAGCAACCATGGTTCAACATTGCCCGCCCCCCTTGGTACCGCAGCTCTGGGAATTGAGAAGAAAATACCAAGAGGTAGAGCCAACCACCTTCCTAATGAGTATCCCCATCGAAGAATTGAAAGACGGAGAAAAGGAAGTAAATGTGTTGAGAGCTGTTGAGTGCGGTTCCAAACAGAGCGACCAACTCCGTTGAGAGGAGAAAAGTACTCGGGACAAAGGAACACAGCATGAGGAAAGAAAGTGGGACATTAAGGCTGGATTCCCACACTTCCTTTCCATTCCTTCCCTAAACAAAAGAAAGAAAAAAAAAATAAAAAATATTTTTTTCTACTAGTCTTCTGATTGTTGCCTGTGCAATGTGCGTTGCCGTCCCCTCCTGTAAGTAAAGCAAAGCAATGTAGTGTGCAGTGTGACCAAGACGAAGTTGTTTGTGGGCCGCTTTGTTGTCGAGTATGTATGCAGCAGCAAGGTCGGCAGTAGTACTGCCGATGATTATTCATATTCTGCAACCATATTGAAGAACTAGTGATGTGCAGTATTTAGTAGGGTTCCGACAGAGCTTTTGCCATCCACGGGCCGTCAGCCCCTCTTTCTTTAAAAGTTCGGGGCTTCGGGCTTTACCCGGGTGGAGCCAGGATGTCCCCTTCCCCGAACTCAGCCTTGATCAACTTTTCTTGAGGGTGGAATGGTGCTTGAAAAGTAAAATAGCTCGACGCAGTGAGCCAGTATGCATGTAGCAGAGTTATTCAAGCAGCGGTTATCATGATACCTGGTTCTCTATAGTACTTGGTCCAGTGCTACCAATGACTTTTGCCCGTGGAGATTCTAGTAAGCACTATCTCTTACTGAAACCTTAGTTGGAATGATTCTGTCCTTGCTGGCAAATATTCGACGTGGCGTATGGCCTTGTTTCTGAGCCAGTTTTAACTGGCGCCTTGAAGATGCATTGGCTAATAGAAACGATGCCTAGCACCTCCGACATTTTCGAGTACTTAGTGCGCTGCTTCGCATATGTGTTGTGGCCGAACTCTGGACTGCTTGGTGCTAGTACTGGGTATACACTGGTATTTTACGTATGTTTGAAACAAGCGGAGTACTGCCAGCTGTATGTATGGAGTACTTAGCTAGTGTATCTTATCTAGTAAGTAGCTACTGCAGTCAGTTCCTATCTTGGTACCAGACCAAAAGCACAAAGACCCGGCACAAATGCTGTAACTGGGATAGTTTCAACGCCCATTCAGCCATGGCGAAGTGGTCATGTGAATTACAGTCCGCAGCGGTGTTCCAATGCTCACCCGAGTATAATGTTGAAATATAGGGAGAGGAACAGGACAAATAAACTAGAACAAAAGATTAATAATGATAATAATAATAAAATACTCCCAAAGGGAGACAAGAAGAAAGGAAAATAAAGAAGAAAGGGAAAACAGAGAGAGGCGAGGAGGAAAGGCAAAAAAAAAAAAAAAGGAAAAGAAAAGGAAAAAGCCAATGACAAGAAAATCAGGACACCGTAATAAGTAGAAAACCGACTAAGCCCCCAAACTGGAGACGGAAGGACTTGAAGCGGTCGGTGGAGTTCCGTCACGGCGCCTTTACCCGTCCCGGCGTACCCTTCCTCCGTCATCAGTCGTCACTTGCGCCTTCTGGCAAACTTACGCCCCTCTTCAGGCTCTAGACGCAACAAGAGTGGCTGTTGGTGCGGTCGCCGGGGCCTGCCAAACGCCCAACCCGAGGGCCTTACAGCGATTCAGCTGATCCCCATGGAACCGTGAATACTTTAGCTGCGTCTTAGGTGAGTCCCCGTCCATGTCTATGGGTCGCTGGCGCGTTGGACAGGGTCCACCTGGTCTGCGGACCGTTCTTCTACGCTATTCCTTTCCATGACCGCTACTCCATCCTTCCACATTTTTTTTCTTCGTTCTTTCGTTTCTGTTTTATATTTTTTTTTATTATAATTTTTTTTTTCCTTCCCTGCCTTTTTTACACCACCACGTTCTCTCATCGAGTCAGCAATAGATACACCATCACCGCAACATAGTAAAATCACACCACTATCATTTCTTCTGGATATGGACCACACATCTTGTCTTGATTGTTCTATATGAATGAATAATCCTTTTCCTCTGTCGCTCGAAATGGTGGATCGACCCATTGCCCTTCCCAAACCGTCTGGTACTACTCATTTGCCCGATGACGGAGCCTGGGTTCCATGGTGATTCTAGCACCCACTACAAATTAATTGCCCGCGTGGTGATTTTCTCCAGCAGAGCCAATGATATACCCATCATGGAGACAGGTCGAGGACACCATGATACTAGATCGCCTCCGCTTTCTTGTCTTGATTAATACGTACCAGAGTCGCGCGTAGCTAGAACGGGTATGAACGTAGTAGGCGCGCCATGATTCCTCGCTCCTCATACCCGCATCGTATCCAGGGACCCAGTCGACCCAAATAACAACCTGTTGCATTCTTTGGAAGGCCCCATCGCGAATCTTCCCGCCTTTCCGCTTCCGCCAGCCGTGGGACTCGTACCCTGCGTCTCGTGTCGTTTTTGACGCGCTTGATCCAACCGTTTTCCTTTTCGCCTCCCGGACGGACCGGCGGACTCGGCGACCCAGAAGGAGGCCATTGTGGTCTCTTCCCGTCGCACTGGGAAATCCTTTTGGGTGATCGAGATAGAGCCGTCCGAGTTAGTCAATCTATCTATTTGTTTTCGAGCAGCACAAGCGGAAATTAGTTCAGAAGAAAAGCGCCTTGACTGAGTCATTGCCAAGGGTCATTCGTGAAATTGCAAAGTGAAAGAAAAGAGAGATAATTAAACAACGGGTTATAAAGAATAACTCTCTTAGGACTCGAGAACCTTGCCTTTTCCGTCTTCGTCGTTTCGCTAGATTCTTTCTACCTAGAGTTTATTAGATAGTATAGGAGCATAGGTTCTCGATCCGGTCATGTGTATACATCGACCAATCTCTTCACATTACCAATTGTCTATAGTATCTTAGTATCTGAACTCCTTAGTACTCGGGTTTCTTTTCAACTCCCTTGGCCTTCTGGCTCGCATAGATAGTAAAGTCTCAAACAGTATCCTCGTATTTCTGGCCTATCTGGGGAAAGTTCAATCTGTGCCATAAGCATCTGTTCCCGATACTGAAGGTATGGCTTCCCTGTCATCGCATTGCTTTTTCTTTCCTGCAGAAACCATGTTAGCGAGTAACCCTGGGCATCAAGATCTACGTGGGTTCATTAATTTCCTTTCTTTCCTTCTTCTGACTTTGCATCAGGCACTAATTGAGAGAGAGGAAGGGTACGAAAGGGGTGAAAGGGCAGACGGGTGTGTACACGCCCTCCCACAGATGGTCGGTTTGCACCTTCAAAATCCCAGGATGTTCTCTACGGCCAAGGGTCAACAGGCCCGACCCTGTTCTCCTCGCAGCTTCGGTTTCTTTGGTGTCTAATCATTACTGACATTTGCATTGCGCTACTGTTAGGCATTGAAGACGCTATTTCTTCTGGCTTTGCTGACAACCACCACCATTCTTATAACAGACTAGTGACACCTGCTCGGTTCAAACAGAAAACCTTTCAAAAGCTCTCTGCTCCCCTTCGTTTGGACTGGGGTATCTACCACATACTCTCTCTCCTGGTTTCTTCGGGTCTTGGTCTCCCGTTCTTGCTACTAGAGCTTCCATTGCGCTTCCAAATACTCTGGCTGCGTTCAAGTGTCTTCTATATTGATTCACGAGTTTCCCACTACTACATACTATAATTTACCAGCCCAGTCTATCCATTTTGGCTGATATTACGGGCCATCATCATTGGGAGCCCCTCCGTGCTCAACGCTCACGTCATAACTGAAATCCCCGAGGCTCTCGCTTTCTTCCCTTTCTATTTTCTTTTTTTTTTTTTTTTTTTTTTTTTTTTTTTT